GTATGGCACCGGCGCGATATAGAGATATGCATATGTGTGGAGTGTGGGGGGAAGGGAGAGGAAAGGGCGGAGAACGGGAAAAAGAAAGGGGCTCTTAGGGGTCGCTCTTATTCGCTTCACGGGGCATACCGGGTTTTCCTGGGACATGGTTTTTAAACCCCTTTTTAGTATATACAGTTGCGCGAGAAAATAGTAATGCTATGTATGATTATGATATTGTTGTATATGATATATTATATATAAGTATTGTAGATGCTGTCTGTGTTTTGTTTTGTATTGTGTTGTATTGTGTTGTATTTTTTATGGGTTTTGAGGTTTGGTGTTTGAATATTTGAATGATTGAATGATTGAGGTTTTCGGAAATTTTTAAGCGGTCATTTATTGGTTGAAGGGTTTGGGGGAATAGAGAGAGGGTGGAAGGTGGAAGGGATGGTGGAAGGTGGAAGGTGGAAGGAATGGTGGAAGGTGGGAGGAATGGCGAGGATATTGTTTTCTTATTTTTTTTTGGATCTTTTACTGTACGGAGTATACGGTTGAATATTTTTGAGGGGTTTTTATTTATGATTTGTTATCTATACATCCCAGTGGATAATACAGGTTTCTCTACTATCAATACCTCTTTCGCGTTTATATCGTGCAGATCCGTTCAAACTTCATTGAAATTTGATGTTGCTCTTGTGATTTATAGTTGCGGTATAATATAATCTTACAAGCTTTTATATCTCTCTCCTCGCGTCGTCATGATTGTGATCGTGAGGGTGATGGTGATGGTGCAAAAGAGATGTTTAGTTTAGTTTGGTTTGATAATATCTTGAAAATAAAGATGTTGGAAGAGAACTATAGTGGTTTCGGAGTGGATGATGAAGGCTGGATATGCGTTATTCTTTCTGCAAAGTTTCAGATTTTCTCTTTTTTGAAAAAAAGGGAGAATGCCGGTTGAAGAGGCAGGCCGGAAGCCATATTATTGCGTGGGAAAATTATGGGCGTGATGACAAATTTTTAGTGGTGGTCATTTTGTATGATTTTGTTGAAGGGTTTATTCTTTGGATTGTAATCTTCTGTTGATGATGAGTGCTTTGCTGGCTTGGACGAATCTTCCAACCCGAGAGAACTGTGGAACCTGTAAGGGAAGAATAGTCATTGAAGGGTAGAGGATAGTGTACGGTGACATTACTTTGGTCATGAAGCATCAAAAAGTTTCGCAAGCTTTAAACGTGTCTAGCAAAGATTTAAAGCTCTACAGCATCGTATACCTCTACCTATGTCGAGTGCTCAAGTGGACGCACAGTCGTTCAATATGCATGAGATCCCCAACTCGAAGAAAAGGGGTTCTAATCCAGGAATCACTAAAATAATTTTCAGTTGTTTTATGGAAGCTTCGAGCGCAGAATAGAAGCCTCGGTGAATGAAAAATAAGTTATGCAATTACTTCGCGTAGGGCTGAAAAGTTATGTTCGAATTGACCTTATTTTGTTGCGTGACTGTTGTCGAGCTTCTCAACCATCTCCAGTCACGTATTGATTATAGCGTGATTTGATATCTACAATGATTTGGTATTTACGATGATTCAATATCCACGATGATTCAAAGTATTCGCAACCCGAAATTCAATGGAATGAAACATCTTGCAGTGGGATATGACTGATAAAGCTTATCGAGTGCACATTTCCACTTCAATATTCACCAAGTTGATGACTAACTCTGGTTCGAGTGTCCCAAAATGTGTTGTTCCCCTACTCATAATGATAATAATACTCCAGTTACGCGTTGATAGCATTATTTACTTGACTCCTTGATTAAATAAACCTCAAATTACATCAAAGTTATGTGGACATAGGGTATTATGATAAAGCCCGCCCATCAGTATTCTGTTTTTGTGTCATGTATCAACTTATAAAACCATTTCATATGAAAATTATCTACGATACTACAATAACGATGGTTTATCTGGGAATTAAAACTTTATTTAATGGCTGAACGGAGCTCAAGGGTACTCTCAAGTGGGTATAAATAGGTTGCTCTTTCCCCCTCTGATTCCTGGTTTTTTTTTTTCAACTTCAAAAGAAACCTCTAAGTACGCAACATTATCACTTCCAAAGACAAAAAATACATCTTTATCTTCACCAATAATTCAACGGATCTTCAACATTCCCCTACTCTCACCCCACCATTCCTCTACTCTTACATCACAATTCCCCTACTGTCACTTCAACAATCCCAGTCATGAGTGCTAGTATGTTACCGCCACCTCCGAAGACTGAGCACAGCAAGGACGATGATTATCTTAGACAACAATGGGCCAATCATCTAAACACCCAGTATGAGAATTATGAGGCAGCCAAAGCTGGAGAAGACGCCGTTGTAGAGAGGATTGTGGTTAGAGCCGGCAACGGCAGAAACACAAACAAAGAAGAGATTGAAAAAACTTATGAAATCATCAGACGTCGTGTCGATCCAACTTCTCTCAAGGCGACCGTTGAACAGGAATACATAGTGGCTGAAGCTCAGAAGTGCTTCCATAAGTGGGGAGTAACCAAGCCCAGAGAAGCTTGGGGTTTTCAGCACGAGGCATCTGTAGGACAAAAAACTCTCATTGATGATATTGTTAGCAGGTACGGCGAAAAATATAAGGAGCTGTCTGCTATTGGAAGCGTTTATCTGCTGTACAAGAGGCCTTTTCCTGAAGCCGAAGATTTTTTAGTGCGTAAATGGATGAGCTTTTGGGAAAGCGGCTTCAGCCTCGAATTGGAACGTCGTAAGAAACGCGATCAGGTAGTAGAGGATATCACGTACTGTTTCGGTGTCGTCAGGAATGAGGCGGATATCAAAAGATGGTATTTAGAACACGCGAAGGCAGAAGGGTTCACAAACTACCCCGTAAAACCCCATCCGCTCGTTGATGCACGTCGCCTCTAGTTGCGCTGAAAACGTTTAAGATTGGGAGCGAGAGTTGGTAAGTGGAACACGAATATTTCCTTTGCTTCTCGTATCTGACATGAGCTAACCATATCAGTACTAGTTAGAACGGCACCTAACAAAGCTTCGACATGGCAGTGAGGGAGTATTTGGGACTTCCTCCGCAATGATATTCTTTTGTCAAGTCTTTATCGTTACTTTCGGAGTACTTCTATACGTCTGATATAGTTAGCTTCCATTGTATACATCGTTGGTTAGGCATTGAGTGCTTGGACTGGTTTCTCTCATTAGATCCCGTTGGGTTTCAGGGAAGCTTTTCAATTTTTGACTTAGATTTAGACGTTAGGACAGAAGTTCATTGTTCGAATGAGATTTAGATATTGTCCGGTAATATTCAATTCCAGTTTGAATATATAGATGCTGCACATTTCATTCTTTTGTTTGTACTTAAAAAGTAGGCTGGAAAAGTAACAAAAACCTATTCGATACAAGATCGCATCTAACAAGAAATTTTATGTCCTCTGTCTTCCATGTCATATAAGACGTGAAATAATTGAAATAGGTAAAAGAATATCAAAAACTTCTGTATGGAAAGATCTAATTCAGTATGGGGTTGAGCAAAAGGTATTTTCTACCTGGCTACCCTATAAATACTTCGAATGCTAGATTATCTACAAGTATATAATATACGAGATCATATTTTTGGTGGAAGCTATTGATCCAAAAATGTTATGACCAGATCATCGTTGACTCACATGATTATGATTACATGACTTTTTCATTACATATCGCATGAAATTACTTATAAATTACTTATAAATTACTTCAAGTTCGGATGATAATACCGAATGGCTGTATAATATTCACCCCTAAAATAACCTAATATCTAACAGTATTCTCGGAAAATCCTTTCGAAAACCCTTTATAGGATAAAATAATCCACCTTATAGAGGTCAAATATCCCGCGGAGGGTACAGATGCCTGGCCCAAGAATTCCAATACCATGCATATAATTTTCGTCATCCGGGTGCATTCTGATAGATATATTGAAGAATATTCACGGGTGATCCAGAGTTCCCGTTAACAATCTGACTGGAAGTATCCCATTGGCAACTAAGAAGCATTTTTGCCAGAATTGGATAATTGATTTTAAGATAGGAATAATGATCAACTCCCACTCACCTCTTGAAATTGGCATAACAAAGCATCCTGCAGACAAATTATATCTGCCGGCCAAGAGTCCTTTGCACCCATATTTCTCAAAATCAATCTCATCAATAAAATTCATCTTCCACATTTACTGAGCTACGAGCTATTTATAACAATACGTGGTAGAGCCGCCTCGTTAATCTTTGACAGGAACAACTATCTTCAAGTAAACATACGTATCATTCCTAGCCCCATAACTCAGCAAGCAATTAATTTTTATCTTATACCCACCTTCATTCTCAAATGCTGCATCGATGGCAGTATGAAGATTCAAAGCCAGGGGTATAGAGAATCTGTCTGTACTCGAATATGTGACGCTGTAAGCAGATGCGTGACGAATCTGCCTTACTAAAACCCAGCAAAACTGAGAGTACAATTTATTTAGATGACAGAGATTGGCGTTTTGGAACTATTATATGCATAGCAGAGGGGAGGATATAGATTTGAATTGACTGAAACATTTACCGAACTCTTTCTGATAGCGCAAATGGAGAGGTCTTGAGAGTTTGTGGGGGTAGGGGTGATCTGTGTTGGAGGAATCCCAGGTTGAGCAATTGTTGTTGCTGAAGAACAGAGGGAGTAGAAGAGCTAAGCGGATAACCATGATTTTGTGGTTCAGATAAAAATTTTAACCAAATATGATGGTTGTATATCTACAGTCCTCCACAGATATGGCCCGATCTATATCAGGAAATTCGAAAACAAGCGTCCACCACACTCAAGCACGAGCTAGGTAGACACTGAGCTAATTGTGGCGTAATTAGTGCAAGATTTTATTGGGATGAGGAAGTCAATCTTGAAGCCGTGGGTATTCACTAACTGCATGAAGTAACAAGAAATGAATTTCAAAAGATTCTATAAAGAATGTTATGCACGCTTTGGAAGTTAAGAAGAAAGATAATCACTTCAATTTCAGTTGGTCACAATAATGAGCAGTTGGTATATACCAACAGCTCTGACATAGGAGTTTAACCCTTAACTCCAGTTTCTTCGTAACTCTAAAGGTGTCACTGCTTGCTTGGCTTAGGAAACACATCACAGTTGTCCGACAACAAAACTATAGCGCAATGAGTAACAGAAACTCGTTTCATCAATGTTTTTGCTCTACTTTCCATTCTTAATTCTGATTCTCGATTGCCCAAAATACATTAAATCTATTCATTTGTCCTCAAAAACACTTCAAGTAGTCATGCCATCTCGCGATTGATACTCCCAGTTGATAGCTTCACCATCAGGACATCATGACTTTAACTGTAATATTTAATGAATTAAATCAAAATCGTTTAAGGTGATATACTAGTGATGCAAAAGAAGATTAAAGACGGCTGACAATAGGCCCGCAGCGTTCGTACCAATTTTGCAAGACGTAAGGAAAGTACATATTTATGACACTGAATTGCAATACGGAATTATAGATATCTCAGAAATACTCTTCAGTTGTAGGTGAAAATAACTTGAAAGTAAAAACTTCAAACCTAAAGCATACAGAAATGAATTTTCGCAAAGAAAACAGATTATTCTTCTACTGCCCAATGCTGTTTCCAATCACAGTATCCGTATAATTTGACGTCAAAGTCTTTGGACTTCTACTCTTTATGATCAGTCTATCGCCCCGGGCCGGATTTGCTTTTGGATCGGTAGACACAAGATACGCGGAATAATACTTCACGGTTGTCACCATTGAAGGTTGATCATTGTTAAGTAAGCTTTCAATCTATGTGTTTCGGGCAATATAACAGTTCCATATTGTGACACATAGTAAATCTGCCTGAGATCAAAAGATATATTCCATGATGAAATTCTGCCCTTCAATGACGAGAATTTTCCAATTCGAAAGTAGCTTTCCACGCTGGCCATTTTCCAAAGATACTGATGTGTAACTTATTTGAGGATCTCGGAACACTTCTGTAATTTTACTATCTTCGAGTGGTGAATGATGGCCACTCAATAGTCTGATGTGCTTCCAAAGGCTCATGACGATAGTTAATGGGCTGAAATAGGTAATAGCTACCCGGTAGGTAAACACAGCTGAACCCGCCTAGACAGGCAAGGTGAAGATCGATTATGAATGCAAGAATAATTTCGATCATGTCCATACTCTGTATGTTCAGTTCTAGCCTGTTAAGGTTGCTCACCAGTTCAATTTGCCATAGAATTCTGGTATTGTATTCAGATGAGGCAAAAACACAAAAAGTAGATTCGGCAACGGGCATCACCATGCCACACACACACAACAAAAATGTATCTCTTTGAGAAATTTTTGACATTCAAATGGGATTATTGGTCTGATGAAAGCCCTCCATACTAATTTCTGAAATTGCCATCTTGGTAGTTTTTGAAGATTTTCTTCTTGACGCCGCTTCGTGTTTATCGGGTTATGCAGTCTTCTTGATTGATATACAGCATTGGCGAACCAATCTGTGAGTCCGGGGATAGCTCCAATCACTGGAACGGCTTTACATCCCGGAAAAGAAGTTGAATCATTAATCAAGCTAGAAGATCAATTTCAGGGATGGTCAAGACTTCTGATATGGCTAGTCCAGTGCCATCATAAATCCTCATCTTGTTCTTTTAGAAAGCCCTATGGGTTATGTCATCCTCTTTAGCAATCCAAAAAGCATTGAATTTGCAAATGCAATTAGTGATGACATTTTGACAGCCGAGAGATCGACTAGTCAGGAAGGTGGTTCTTCCTCTTTGGGCGGAATATTCTGAATCGACGGTGTTTTAATAGAATCCGTTCGTTTTTATTTCTATTATCAATTGTCCGATATATGCAGCAGCGGCCATGAGATTGTATCGTCCTGGTTTCATTCTTGCTTTTCCGGATCGGAAGGGAGCGTAGGATAAGGCCAATGCCATGAGTAAGGGCTATCTTTGAGTCAATGGTGCTAAGTTCTTTCCTTGCCATTAACAACCCACCGGATCGATATGCTAGGTAATATTCGTTAGGCTAGGGGTTTTAGGTGAGACTAAACGATCATTACCAAGATTGCCGGTCCAGTAAACAGCATTTCAAGAACGTTATAAAATCCTCAACAATACATTATTTGCCAATGTTACAAGCTCTGTTACATTGTAACAATAAGATACAACTGCAAGCATATTTGTAACACCCTTGGAAACTGTCTCCGGCAGTACAGCTATTGCATCATGATCATATTCATGCGCAATATGAGAGTCATTCTCAGACATTCTCACAAGGTACAGGAAATGAGGTATCACTTCAACCTCGATAAATTAGGAAGAAATGGAATCAGATGTACTCATTGACTCGACTATGTAACAAGACCAAGAGCTGTCTCGATCTCGGCGACTCAGACACAATAACTTTACATGTATGAGTAAGCATCGTGGATTTTCTTGCCAAATCAAGGAGAAAAGGAAGAAAAGAATTAATCCGGTGATTTTGTTGACAATTTCGCGTCGGACTCGATGTTCTTAAGAATCTTGATTGTTAATAGCGGAGGGGACTAGATTGGAAATTACTCGAGTAGCGGTTCACCAGTTCAGTATTTCTCCGCAGAAGTGGGGTTAGTGCGTGTTAAATGGTGGGGTTGCCAGATATTTCATCATACCTCCACTTCGAGGGGTGATGGTAAATTGATAGCTTGACACTAACCAACCAGTATTAATTCTTCCCCTCCCCCACGTTAAAGATGCCACATCCCACATCTTGTTGAAGTTTGTTCTTGTTCTTCAATTTATCACTGTTAATTATAAAGGAAGCAATAACTTAACCAACAACATACCACCAACATAATCAAACAAAACCGCAATGGCAGACACAAGATTTAAGCTCAATACCGGGGCCGAGATTCCAGCTTTAGGACTCGGTACATGGCAATCTGAGCCCGGAGAGGTTGCGAAAGCCGTTGCTTACGCATTATCGATTGGATATAAGCATATTGACTGCGGTAATTTCTCCTTTAAATCCTAATATTTCGGGAATCAATCGCTAACAGAATGGCGCAGCATATGTTTACGGAAACGAAGATGAAGTAGGACAAGGTCTCAAGGAAGCTTTCGCATCCGGAATCAAGAGAGAAGATATCTTCATCACCACGAAATTATGGTGCACATATCATACACGGGTTGAGGAGGCTCTCGATAAGAGTTTAAAGAGCTTGGGCTTGGACTATGTCGATTTATATTTGATGCATTGGCCCGTTCCCATGAATCCAAACGGTTAGAATATTTTTCCCGCCAATATTAATTACCCCTTCATTCTTCTCGGGTAATAAATTCTAACACTTCAGTTCCTAGGAAACCACGAAAAGTTCCCCAAACATCCTGATGGCTCTCGCGATCTTCAAACAGATTGGTCCCACACTCAAACATGGCAAGAACTCGAGAAAGTCTCCAAAACCGGCAAGACCAAGGCCATTGGAGTTTCGAATTACAGTGTGAAAAATTTGGAGGAGTTATTCTCAAAAGCTACCATTACTCCAGCCGTCAACCAAATTGAGAATCACCCTTCATTGCCACAACAAGAGATTTACGATTTGTGCAAGTCAAAGGGAATTCATATCACAGCTTACAGTCCTCTTGGAAGTACTGGAAGTCCGTTGTTCACTGCCGCTCCAATCGTTGAGGTTGCCAAGAAGAGGGATGTCCCACCTGCTTCAGTCTTGCTCAGCTATCATGGTAAAATCTCCTCTTCAATACAGTCTTTTCCGCGCGAGGTATGCTAACGAACGACAGTCGCTCGAGGAAGTTCTGTTCTCGCAAAGTCCGTCACTCCAGATAGAATCAAGGCAAACATGAACATTGTGAAGTTGGATGATGCAGACATGAAGATCCTTAATGATTACTCGGATGACCTGAAGAAGAATGGAAAACTTATGCGATATGTATTCCCAGCATTTGGTGTTGACTTGGGATTCCCAGATAGAAAGCCTTAGAGGACGAAACTGAGCCAGTGTTGAAAAAGTTTTCTTATGGTGTGCGATGGATAGAAGATAATGGATCCATTAATCGAAGTTATAGAGCTTAGATATACAGTAGATAGAGACTAAAATATAATGGACACCAATTGATAAAGTGGAAATCGGGAGCTCACCTGGTTAAGACCCATTGCTTGCTCGAAATTGTGCATGCTGTACAAGCAAGACTCATCACCGAAGTAGTTTCTCTGTTTTCTTAGCCTTAATCTTCTTCACAAACCTCTGCCATCCACCCGCCGCGTTTCGTCTTTCCACAGCAGCCAGCAATGTCTCCGCCAAGATTTGCTTGCTTGATCTCGACGACTCAATGACCATACTTGGCTCTGTGGCATATCTACTGCCTTGAGTGTATTGAAAGTTGACCTACAGAATTTCAATTTTATATATATATCAATACAAGACCTGCAACTCACTGTCTCTATTAACTCACAAGGGCACCCCACATGAGATACTGTCTAGCCCAAGTTCAGGCCAAGCTCAATCCCTTAATCTCACTATTCTTGAAGAGGAATAATCAAGTTTTGGAAGCAGGACTTCATATCTCGGGTTGTGAGCCCTCTCCATAGCTGGATATAGAACTTGAATATGGTTTCTGTGTTTGAAGTTCTGATCGATGTTCTAACTTATCGTGGCGTGGAAGCTGATCGAATGCAAAATATTGAAATATCATTCTATAATGTATAGAACGGTTCGAAAATTAGTTTAGTATCGAATTCTCCATGTACAGGTCAAAGAGAGAATTGATTGATGTAAGGTTATTAAAAAACCTGGAAGACCTAACCCTAATATGGAGGAAGGAATTCCGATGCCTAGATTATGTATAACTTGAAGCTCAGATGCATAAGGCCCGAGTATTTGGGTCAAAAACCATGCACACTTTTGACTTGGCATGATTGAAGGATTTATTTATGGAGTATAGATGATTTATCGGGTCGGGCTTAGGGGGGTGGAGAAGGGTGGAGATGAGAGTTTGGAGGCTGAGTTTATTGGTACTGGCGTTGATGTTAATTTGGTTGGTTATGATATGACATAGTTTGGGGATGTAATGGATGGAATGGGATAGGCTCGTTTTGTGTATGAGAGTACAGAATGTACAGTGTATCTGGATCTTGAGGGTGGTTGGAGATAGATAGATCGGTGCATTGATGCTAGAATGCTTCGGATCGAATATAAATAGTGGTTTTTTGTCTAAGAGCTGTCGGCCATTATAGCATGCATGCTATCAGCATTACACCAAAACTTAAATCATTATAAAAGAAGCCGATGATGAAACAAATCCGAAAAAATATCTTTGCGGATATCCTAGACAACCGTTAGACAACCGTTAGATCGGGTTCCGGGCAATGGTGCAAACGAAACAGATGGAGAAGCTTTGAGGATATATGGAGTATAACCTTACTTACGTACTGCTGAGCCGCAATAGCTGCGTGGCCGCTGTAGAGCGATTCACTAATTATTAAAAAGCTTATTAAGTGGTGATCCAATTTCGATGCCAGGGCGAGCAACAAATATATGGTATATTATCATTTTAGTTGTATAATTACTAAGGTTGTAGCTAACACACGATAGACTATATATGGCCAGGTGCGGAAACAAATGTGTATAGGTTATCCCACGTGATATACAGAACCAAGCAAACGACCTCAACAACAAACCCCGCAGTCAGTCAGCCTCATGAAAAATCTAATATGTAGTCTAATAATCAGCTGTAACCTTAGCCCTTAGCTTACAGCAAAAACCAGCCCTGAAAATGCAGTTTCGAGATATTCTAGAAATCACAACATCTATGTATGTATGTATGTATGTCATACCGACTTTTCCATATTGGAAATTCACTCCGTAGAACCAGGAATCAAATCCTCTATCGCGTGGACGAAAGAAAGGTGGGGATATGCCAAGAGACTGTAGCTTAGATTGACTTTAGGATAATGAATGCCCTATCTATTTTAAGAATAACCTATCTAAGCTTCTTGACATCAAGGCCATGACAGCAGTGCGGGGTTCTGTCAATTTTTACTCTATACATAGGCATTTTTCACGTCAGGTCAAAGTTGAACGGGGAAAGTTTTCGGAATACTAAGGTTAGGTAGGTATGGATGTATGTAGGTAGGTATGTATAGCTAGCCCGTAATATTATCTAGTAAATACCTAACCTACCTAGATAATCCAAGCAAACAATAGATTGTACAAGAGCCTCCATAATTCCCCACCAAACGCCAAACCTCGTAGATAGACCTATCCTATCCCATCCTATCCCATAACTAAGAAATATCTAACAAATGAGGCTCTGGTAGGCTATGCTTGATACATAAGGTTATGCATATGATAAGGTTACATCTACATATTTTGTATTTGCTGATGCGTTGTTAGCTTACTTGTCTTTTGCGAGTTTCTTCTACTTGCGGAATAACCTTAAATGTATATGTCAGATTATGATGGAGGGGTATAGGATAGGCAGCACGTGGTTTGGAGGGGCGGGGGTTATTGGATGGTTCGGTAGGAGTTAGAGGGTTTTGAATGGGGTGTTTTGTTGTGCGGGTAGTTAGCTACAGGTAGGTAGGTAGGTGGTTGTTGATTAAGTAGTGCTTGAGGTACCTGGGTATGTAGGTACATAGATAGGTATTCTTTTGGGGGCGGAGCTTGTTGCACACAGCCTTTTTTTTTAGTTTCCCTTGCTTCGATGTTTTTTTATCGTTGATTGATCTTCTTGTATATTTAGAGTTTTGTTCTTTTGTTCTTTTTGAGAGGTTCTTTTCGAGGTGTTCCTTAAAGCTCCATATATTTTCTTATCGTCGGATACCTAGGTATAAATAGATGTATATCAGTTGTTGATCATCGATATCATGGCTAATGAACATCCCTATGCTCCTTGGAGGAGAATGATTTTAGTACCTTGCTGGATCATCCAAATTCTACTTTCGGGCTTTACTTTGGTTATTATTTCCATTGTTGTTGCTCGGTTTATGCGCGATGATTCTGGAGATGGTGGTGGTGATGATGATGATTATAATGGTGATTTTAAAACAAGCTTTGGGTAAATATATCTATTCTGAGTGTTGTTTCCTGGTATGAGTACTGACGGATTTTGACAGTATCGCATGGTTTTACATTGTATTCTCCAGCATATACATCATCCTTACTATTACAGAAATTGTCCTCATGTTGAGACATAAATTAAAACCCATTATCTTCTTCAACATGAATGTCCTCAAAAGTACAAGTTGGACAGTCTTATTCATCATCAGCTGTTGGAACTCTTTTGGTCTTTTTAAGATAATGCCGAACTCTGTTGGCTTAATCTTCCACATCATATTACTGTATGTCCAATTCCCCCTTCACTGACCTATATATCGAGCACAAACTAACCAATCCTCCACAGCCTCGCTTTCTACATCCCCCTAACCCATGGCTTCCTAATCATGTACCGCAACCATAAAGCTGCAAAATACGAACTCGTCAATTTCAAACACGTCAGCTACGATTCCACCACCGAGCCATTCCCCGACACATTCCCCCAAATCTACAAAGCCTTTACTACGGTAGAAACCGCCGATCTCGAGGCGAATAATCAAACCACTGAGCGCCCTCGACGACTCAGTTACAATCATATCAGAGACACCAGATTCGACACATATAAACAAACTCGAAGAAGTTTCTCAGATCCAAATGTTATGCGGAGTATGACTGCTAGTCCCCCCGGATTTGGTGCTTTGACCCCTGTTACTCGGAATAGGAGTGGTACGTGGAGTTTACCGATACCGCGGGTGGTAGTAAATGATTATGATGCGCTTTCAGAGGCGAATATGAGATCTGAATTTAGATAGAAAAAAAGTGTATTTGGGTGGGCGGCGTTTGGGAACATTCCAGGTATAAATTTTTGTGCCGGGGGATTCGGTCTATGTTTAAGCATCTGTCTTGCTTCTATGTACATATTGTATGGGTGCATCTGGGGAAATATATCAGTATCTTTTTTTGCAATACCATTCAGGTTAATACAGGGACTATGGAATACCATGATTTACGAATTAAGATTGATGCTAAGTTGCAATGCCTCATATCTATACTTTGCTCCGTGTGTCCAAGTGCATCGAAAGTTAGCCATGAGAATGGCATGTTAAATGCATGAAATATAATTTCCCATTTTCTCGAGGTAGTCTAGAGCTACCCTAGACTTGCAAACCACGAAACGGTCATTCTCAAATTACAGCTTGTTAATACAAAATTTACTCTTCCTGATTGCTCAAGCCCATTCAAACATCAAAACTGTGAACTCACCTCGCCCCTTCATCTTCCCTTGTAGACGAACCCCACCAAATGTTCTCGAAACATTTAGACATTACCAAGCCCGCTACAGTACGCCTGTACTTTTCTTAAAAAATTGGGGTATACCTCCATAGACCTGGGTATCAAGTATCGTATGATGTCAAATACTACCATCTAACAAAACTAACAAACGTATCTGCCTTTCATCCCAACGATTCTCCAGTTCATGATACTTGCTAAAATACCGAAATTAAATAAAACACGGCTGCTGTCCTTCATTTCTATCCCAGGAGAGGCTAATCATCGTATGAACTGTACATCGGCATCGCTTTTCAAACAAAGTAATTCAGTGCACCATGGTAAACCCGAAGTTCATGTACCCCGCACTTGCCGGAGAATAGAGCAATATATCTTTTGCGTGCATTAGTAAGTTTTCTACCAAAATGTAGAAATTTTAGTAATGACAGGAACTTTCGCCGCTCGTTGAGATTCTAGATTGAGCGAGGCGCCCGGCTCATTTCAATTTTTCCTCGTGGGTTGGGATAATACTCATGGTAGGAGTAGTCTTTGCTTCCACCTTTCCATTTCTTCAAAAATGCCAAAATCTCTGGTGAGAGCAAATTGACCCCGCTTATAAAGAAGGCTCACCAGCTTGATATACTCGATCAAACGTAGTGTGCTGGCGCCAGACTGCGAGAAAATTGCCGCATAAAGGTTGGGTATTTTCGATGCATAGATAATGATGAGGCCATGACTACAGCACGTCATGCATTGTGTTTTTCCTACCTCTGCTACCTAAAATCGGATCTGGAGGCCTCGAGAACGGAAATTGTTTTGTGGAAAGGTTGGCGTATAATCAACCTCCGATGCAGATGAATTCATCAATGGTAAGTTTGGGAGAGGACTTGGAATCGAGAATATTTAGTAGCTTTTTTTCTGCTCCGTATAAGGGCTGCTCCGTGGATTTATGGCCGTGCTGAGACGCACTGCAGGTACAGACAGGTACAGACGGGTATAGGAGAGTGGTGGAGTTGGGCGGATATGTGGCGAGCGGGAGTGATGAGGATAGAGGGATTGGAGGGAATGGAAAAGAACTAAAAGAGAGAAGAGCGGAGACTAAAGAAGGGGAAAATATGGAAGAATAGAGAAAGGACGAGGTGTTTGGCAGATGGGAGTAGGAATATATTTGTTCCGATGAGGGTCTCTAGAAATACGCGAAGGAGGTTGGGGATCTACAGATTTAAGGTTGCAAGGAGAACAGGAGGGGAACGATAATGGGAATTTGATTGTATTGATGCGGAATCATGAGGGGTATGAAATTGGAGTCTAGAACCTTTGTAGATGGTTAGAAATTGTGTTCAAATAATGATTGCTGAATAGATAGAAAGATCTTTCATTTGCCATCGTGATAAGATATTGACGATGGACGACGATCCGCGATAAGGTCACAAAGCGCTTGTAGACCTGAAGAATATAAAGCATTTTCTCTTTTCTCTTCAAGCTTTGATTGTAGTATTGTGTAGTCTTTGGAAGGAAGGATGTAGATATTGCTTGGTATCACTTCGTACACGACTCTATAGCCAGTGTAACATAACATCCAAAACATCTTAATTGAAGCACAGATCACAACAGATGCACCTGCAGCTCCACTTGCTGGAAGCGAGACCAGAAATCCCACCCGACGCCCTGCTAATGCCCAATTGACCCCATCTTCGTACATTAGTGCCACTGAAACGTATCTCCATTCAATTGATCAATATGGAAAAATGGCTGGAGACCATCTGGACATCGCACATAAAACGTATTTTGATAGGTGCTCTGAGTTACCATGTATTGTCATTTGTGAGGCGAAATAGACGCTTTCCCAGCCACCTTTTCGCGCAAACCCTGTACGAAAATCGAAAAACTTCACGGCGGCGACCCAACACCAACATCCAGCCATCTTTTTCAACCGGCCACTTTTTAACTGATAGATGCTTGTTTCGCGCAGAAACCTTGGAGATGCATTCCTCAATTAAGGGCTTATGTTATTATTGGTGGAGTTGCTTACAAGAAGATGAATCTTGAAACTTTGGATTTGCGGAGAGTTAACCGTGAGTTGAGTCTTAGGTTCACTGTTCTATTCTCTTCACCTACATTCTGACTTTTCGCTTCTTTATCTTCTTTTTACTAACATAGACCTTGTACATAGACTCGCGACCACAGTTGCAACAAGTGCGAACCTCAAAGTTAATTAGCGGTGTGGATGTGCGGTACGGGGAAAACACACCTTCAGTAGAATCGAGTAGTTCGGATGCAGCTACGGTGACACGGTGGGCTACCCCTCCATCTCAACTCCGTACTCCACAGAGAAGCTACGAGAACCTGGGAGATTCGACAGAGGCGCCTTTGATTAGGGCAAGTGATTGGGAGGCTTCACATCAGAGATACAACAATACTATGTTTCAATTTGATGAACAGCAGATAGGGAATATGGAAACTGAAGCTTTGAGGAAACAGACAAGGATTTCGGATCAGGCCGATGACGAAAGTCCACCGACTCCTAACACTGACGATACGCCATTTATTCGATTTGCGATTGATCAATTGACGAGAGATGAAGAGGCCAGGCGAGAAGCAAGAAGGACTCAACAATTAGAGCAAGGTCAACTACCGACCGATTCGCAGAGTTCGGAGGATTATCCTGTGGAGAGACTTATTGCAGATGATAATCGATATGTTCCTCAACGACCGACGAGAGCAGAACTGGCACTCATCAGAAAACATCGCTCTACACCGGGACCTGGACGATTATTAGGCCTCAATGCCACACAACCTCCCTCAACTCCCCCTACACAAGAAGAGGATAGAATACCCATAAGAGCACCTCCAATACCTCAAACACATCAAACACCTCACGACGATAACGATGTCGAAATATTTATCCCCACACAACCTCCTCTAAACACCAAACGATACCTAGAGCTGAGATTTTTACCCACGATTTTACGACCTTTTTCTTTACTAGCGCTTATTACATTATGTCTTCTCATGACTGCAGCGATTATGTTTTGCGCGATTTACTCGAATTACCACGAAGGTCTTTATTCGTGGAATACCGGCGTTTATGGCATTAGATATTTTATCTTTGGATTTTTACCCCAAATTTTGGGCGCGTGCATATTTTTATATGTTCAGTATCTGATGGCTGCCATCACGAGAATCATGCCATATACATTAATGGCGATGGAAGATGCAGAGCCTAGAACCAACGCGTTGTTCCTGAAAGCTTTTCCAATACATATGCTTTGGCCGAGATGGGATGGCCCTATGATGATTGACATTGGGGTATTATGTTTATGGTTATCTGTTTTTACGATTCCTCTTCAGGGATGTTTGTTCTCTGTTATATTGGTGGATGGACATTGGAAATGGACTGCTGTTCAAGGGATCGCGTGGACTTTGGTTGCGATCTACATATCGATGTGTATGGGATTGGTTCTTATTGGGGCCTTTTTCTTTCATCGAACAACTGGGTTAGTGTGGGATCCTCGATCATTAGCTGATCTGATCGCGTTATTGCCTCGCAGCAATAGTCTCAGAGACTACCCAGGAACCGAGACTATGAAGTCGAAACAAGAAATTAGAACTAAGCTAGCCGATCGAAGTGATCGATTGGGTTACTGGAAAACCCCTAGTCCTACACAGGGTATATTTTATTCGATAGGAGAAACAGGTGCACCGATAAGACGATACACATTGGAAAGTGGAAAAGCCGAGAGGAAAACTAGCAATGAGAGCGCTACGCATGATTTGGAGGAAAATCACCCATTTCTTCATGATACCGCTACCCGATTTCGATATATCCCATGGTTCCTGCGCGATACATTCGTAGTACTATGGTGCGTCACAGCATTTTTCCTCTTGCTGGCATTGATCATTATATCATTCCTTCCATCGACAGCCATTCGCCATGGATTTTTACCCTTGGTCGCTGCTGGTCCGAATGGATCTGGATATTCCACAGCAAATTTCTTGTACAGTTTCATCCCATCTCTAATTGGGATGATTCTATACCTCCTATTTCAACCCCTCGACATGAGTCTTCGAAAACTTCAACCCTGGGCTGAATTAGCCAACCCTGACGGTTCTCCTGCGTCTAAATCTCTCCTACTTGACTACACAGCCGCTCACCCAATCCAAAGCAGCATCGCCGCCCTCGGAAATGGTCATTTCCGCGTCGCCTGGTTTTCGCTCGCATCCTTTTTATTCATCATCCTCCCCATTCTCGCAGGCGGAATATTCTTCCCCTTAACCACCGCCTCGAACGAAGTGCGCATGCTTCCTAATCTCCCTTCCTTCTACATTTGTCTCGCATTCCTTATTATCTATTTCCTCACTCTTCTGCTCCTCCTCCCCAATCGACGAGCAATGCATTTACCACATCCCGTGGATTGTCTAGCTGAAATCATCAGTTTTGTGCACTCGAGTAATGTTCTAGATGATGCGGCGTTTAGTGCTCCTAGGTCGAAAACAGATTTAGTGACGAGATTGGTTAGTACGTCGGCTCATTTTAAGGGGGAGGAAGCAAAATATGTGTTGGGGGTTGGAATGGGAAGGGGTGGGAAGGAAGTATTGGGAATTGAGAGGTTAGGGAGGAGAGGGGGTGATCAGGTTATGGTTATGGGATAGGATGGATGGATGGGTGGATAGGAATTGGAATGGGAATCGGAATTGGAATTGGAATAGGATGGTGGGTGGAAATTTGATGGCTTATGGTTTATGGTTTATGATTTACTTTTTAATGATTATACGAATGCTTGATAAAGCTAATGTGATAGATAAAATGGATTGGTCTTTTGCTTTGAACGAATTGGAATCGGAATGAGGATGAGGATGTAAATGAGAATGAGATTGAAAATCTCAACGTGAACGTCAATCGCACGCAGTGTCTGGGATTGGAAGCCTAAGATTATCTGGGAAGTGTAGTTGATTATCAGGTTTTTGTGTCACAATAGGGAATATATAATATAGATGATAATAGGGCTACATTTAATATAGAATTAAACCTTACTCTTTTATATTTAAAGATAAATTAGTTTTATATAAATTATTATTAACGTGGTTTATCAGCGAGTCGCCACTATCAGCGAGTCACCACTTTTTCAATATCTTTTATCATTCAATTTCAAGACGCGATATTTCAACGAATTATTATGGAAATACAATCAAAAGAGGCCAGAATAATCTTAGCTATTGAAGCTATTCAAAAATCAAAAAATCTTACAGTTGGAAAGGCTGCGAAAATCTACAAAGTCCCTCGAACTACATTACGAGATAGAATGGGCGATCGAATTCACAGAATGGAAACTCGAGCAAATAATCTTAATTTGATTGAAAAAGAAGAAGAGGTGCTTATTCAGTATATTATCGATATAGATGAAAGAGGATTTGCATCTAAATTAAGTGGTGTAGAAGATATAGCGAATTATATTCTCGAATCAAGAGATGCGAAGAGAGTTGGAAAGCTCTGGGCTTATCGATTCGTAAAGTATTGTACAAAATTAAAGATGCATTTTAGTTGTGTTTATGACTTTCAAAGAGCTCTTTGTGAAGATCCTAAGTTTATTAAAGAGTAGTTTGGATTGGTATCGAATATACAGGCGAAATATAGTATTCAAGATTGCGATTTCTACAACTTCGACGAAACCGGCTTTATGATGGGTATAATATGCTCTGGAATAATTGTAATTAGTTCTGAAAGAAATGGCAGAAGTAAGGCAATACAATTAGGCAATCGAGAATGGGCTACGGCAATTATATGTGGTAATGGAGAGGGTGAAACTATACCTCCATTTCTGATAGTTCAAGAACAAGTTCATCTTTTCAATTAATATACCGAAACCGATTTTCCTGCGGATTGAGCTATTAAACCTACTTCTAATAAATAGACGAATAATAAGACAAATTTAGAATGATTAAAGTACTTCGATAAATATACTAATCAACGAAGAAAGGGCAAATATCGAATATTAGTATTGAATGAGTATGAAAGTTATGAATCGATATCTTTCCAATCATATTGCAAGTCAAATAACATTATATATGTAAAGTTACTATCGCATTCAAGTTATTTAACTCAATCATTTGATGTTGGATGTTTTAGCGTACTCAAACGTTCATATAGTTATCAAATTGATGAGTTTATCAAGGTATATATCAATTATATTTCTAAGATTGAATTCTTTATAGCTTTCAAAGCTGTATATCAACAATCGATTATAATTCAGAATATGAAAGCTGGCTTTCAAGGAGCAGGACTAATATTATTTGATCCTCAAGCTGTGCTTTCGAAATTAGATATTCGAATTCGCACACCTACCCCTCCATCGATCCTTTTGGAATCTGCCAACTCTTGGGTCTCTCAAACACCTCACAATCCAACTGAAGCTCTTTTACAATCAATTTTAATAAAATCTCGAATTGTTCAACATCAATCAAGCTCTCCTATACCTATATTCGAAACTGTAATTGCATTAGCTAAGAGTATAGAACGATTAGTTTATGAGAATACACTTTTAAATACAGAGATTTGTATGCTTCACACGCAACAAATTTTGAAGAAAAATTATTTTTCGAAATACACCCTTTTTATATATCATTTGCACTAAACAAATCAGCATCAATCGAACGCAATTGTCCCCAAAGAAATTGAACCAGTAGTTGTTGTGATACTGTCGTCGACGTCCAAAACACGTGAAACCACGCTAAAACGCGTGAAATTTTCACCCCCTTCATCAATGACGGGGACCACTCAATCGAACTTCCCAAAAGTGATCTTAGGCACTCCATGCCAAGTGAACCACACTGAACAAACCCATGAAAGAAGCAATAGTCCGTCATTCATCCTCTCCAGTCCTACCCCCTCCTAACCCTTCAACTTTCAAACTCAATGCAATACCTTGAGCTCTGATGATCCATTCAAATCACTAATCAATCGCCCAACGCTCCAATTCAATAATAAACGAAGACGACAACCCAGCCACTCAGAACCCCGTATCAACTCACCAAAAGAAGCTATCCAAAAAGCTAGAAGTCTACTCATTCTAGCTGCCTCCCTGGAAGAGGATATCGAAGAACAATCGAAAGTCCTAGACTTAATCGAAATATTTCGTGAATATCTTGAAAAAGGAAAACTCACAAAAGCCTCAAATATCATCACATCACAAATCTCCCATCTAGAAAATGCTACCAAACGGATCGAAAAGCAAGTCAACCACCTTTCAAACCTTCCCAATTATACAATCCCCCCTACAATAAACACCCCTGGAACCAAAGCCAACTATGCCACTATCACAAAAACCTCAGGAGAATAGAACCTAATTACAAAGGGAAAACCCACAAAACAGAAAACTACAGAACAAAAGGAAGAAGCCTCAAGCAAACGACTAATCCTCATCAAACCCCTTATTTATCAATCATATTCTTTTATATCATTAAATACAAGGAACAAAGTCAACGAAGCCTTCAAGAAAGCAGGAATCAATGGACCAATCATCTCAGCTATCACTACTACAAGGAACGGCAATTTTATATTAATCACTAACAGCTCTTTCAATGCATAATTCCTGATGGAAAAGAAGGAAATCTGGGACAAAATCCTTGATGCCGAAAGAATACAAATCGATAAACCCTGGTATAAAGTCATCATTCACAAAATCCCAATTCAGGAATTCTCAGGTCTGAAAGGTATAGACCTAATCAAAGAGGAAGTCAATACCTTCAACTCAGGGCTCAGTATTATGAGTACTCCTTACTGGCTTACTAATGCCTCCAAAAGAGCCAAATAACAAAACAAAGTAATAATCATTACATTTGCTACACAAAAAGAAACAGATATAATTATCTAGAAAAGGCTATATATTGCAGGCATTAGTGTTAGAATGGAAAGATTCTATTCATCTATTTCTTTATCCTAATATAACAGATACCAGGGATTCGGTTATAACGAATTATATTGCAAAAAACCTCCAGCTTACGGACTTTGCAGTAATAATCATACTACAGTCGGTCATTTCTGTATAATCTGCCAAGCAAAAAGCAAACCATATCAATATCTAAATGTCAAATGTATTAATTATAAAGGAGAACACAAAGCCAACTCGAAAATATACGAAGTATATCTATCAATTATCAAGAAATCCAACTAATGCTATACAACAATATTCGCATTCTTCAAATCAATCTAAACAAAAGCCCTTAAGCAACCGAAAGTACTCTCCAACTTGCTTTAGAACTCAAAATTGATCTCATAGTCATTCAAGAACCCTGGATCCTCTCGAATCCTGAGAAAGACTTCTTCTCAACCAGATCTATTGCCCACTCCAGCTTCTCTCAACTCCTCCCAAATAATCCTTCGAACCTATATCCCCGAACTATAATCTATATTTCAAAAGGATTCAAACCGCTAATAACCCTAGCTCCCAACTCCCCTAATGATCCAGATATTCAAATCATTGATATCACTCAAGGAAAACATACAATACAACTCATCAATATCTACAATGAAGCGGATCAAGCCAAAGAAAAAGGCCACACCATCGAAAGATGCCTTTACAATACCCCTCTTACTCATCACACCATCCTCGTAGGAGATTTCAACTCCCATCACCCTTGGTGGGACCCCTTCTCTAACAAAAGCTCAAATGCCGACCTACTCACCGAATGTTTTGAGGATCACAATCTCATTCTATTTAACGAACCAGGCACGAGCACCTTTTATCGAACAAATATGACAAATCCAAGTGTCTTAGACCTTACTTTAGCCACAGATTCAGTATCTCCCTATATCACTGATTGGCAAGTCCTCCCGGATCTTGGATCAGATCACTTAAGCATTCTCTTTGAAGTAAAGGGCACTTTATCCCGTACAACGAATATAGCTCAGCCAGCAAGATTCAATACAAAACTTGCGGATTGGGAAAAATTCGCGAATACCCTCAAATCGAAAATATCGATATCAACTACCTTAAATTCGAGTGAATACCTTAATATCGCTACCTCAGAATCCAACTCTCTTGATTCCCTTCTCGACAAGAGCCAATACATACAAGTATTGGATGAAGCTGCAAAAGAATTCACCCGAATAATCACTTATTCGGCTGAAACCAGTATACCGAGAATCAAGTCCACAAAAAGAGCTAAACCCTGGTGGTCCCCAGAGCTGAAAGCCCTTCGAAAACGACTCTCTAATGCATTTGAGAACGCCAAGATTTACCCGGAAGACGATATGTTCAAGAAAATCTACCAGTCAGCCAGGAATCATTACTTCCAAGCTATTAAAACAGCAAAGAAAAACCATTGGAATGAGTTCCTTGAAAAAGAGGATACCCAATCCATATTCAAGGCAATGTCATACACAAAAGATATACAAACCGAACGAATCCCGAATATTCGATCCAATCCCTCTAAACTAGAAAATTCTTTCGAGGGAAAATGCTCTGCATTTAGATCGACCCTATTTCCTCCTCCTCCATTCACCCCACCGCCCAATTGGGAAAGCTATAAACAATCTAAGAAATAGGAATGGCCTGATCTTACAGAGAGCGAACTCCTAAACGCGTGCTCTGCAAAAATCAAAGGAAAGACCCCTGGCCCCGATGGGATCACTCAAGATATCATTATTCACGCGTACAAAGCAATACCAAAAGCATTCTTCACCCTCTTCAGTCATCTTATCAATCTTGGTTACTATCCTTCTTGCTGGAAACAAGCTACTGGAGCGATACTCAAGAAACCTTCAAAACCAGACTACTCGGTCCCAAAAGCTTATAGAGTTATCGCCCTACTAAATTGCCTTGGCAAAATAAGTGAAAGAATTCTGGCTCAAAGGCTTAGCTACTTAGCGGAGACTACGCAATTACTTCATTACTCTCAAATGGGTGGAAAGCAAAAGAAATCAGCCATCGATACAGCAATCTTACTCACTACCGAAATCGAAAGAAATTCAAGATCCAAGAAGAAAACCTCAACTCTCTTTCTGGATGTTAAAGGCGCCTTTGATCATATATTGTTGACCTCCTGGGATCTTGGCAGCATATGCATATATAGTACATATGCATATAAGGAGCAAACAAAACTCAACTTTTAATTCATTCTTTCCTTTTTGGTATACTGTTTGTTTGCTTTCAATATTTTGATTTCAAAGCACTTTAATTCCGAAGGCCGAATACCCAACCTATTCCTTCATTTTTTGAATATATACTCGCAGCTTAACTGCTCAGCTAGAAAATAAATCAATTCAATCTGATACTCTTTCTGGTCTTAAGAAACCCAACACTTATCCATTTTAGAGGGAATAGGGGTTGGGGTCGGGATAGTAATCATCTTACCAAATGGCCGAATTTCATATCAAGAGATTATCAATATAGGTGTGAATCAGTTTGTCTATAATAGCGAGCTCCTAGGAGTTACTAAAGCGATCGAATACGCAAATTCAATAACCCAACGAGGAAACAAGTTCAAGATATACTCAGATAATCAAGCAGGATTATTCCGGTTGAAAACCCCCTTCGATTTACCTGGTCAATCATGCCAAATCAAAGCAATAAAAGCTGCAGAAGCTATTCAAAATAAAGGAGCCGAAATCTCTCTCAATTGGGTCCCCGGACATACATCTGTACAAGGAAATGAGCTAGCTGATTCTCTTGCAAAAGAGGCGACCAAAATACCATCTTCATCTCACGAAACCAGTTATGCCTCCATTGGAATGGATATAAAAAGAATGAAATCAGAGAACTGGATAGCCATCCTTAACACTAACAATTTTCATCAACCATCGTCAACATATTCAAGAAACTACCCCTGGAAGATCAGCTCAAAAATCAGAGTTCCAGGAAACATCAAAAGAAGCACAATCTGTGCTCTGTTCCAACTCAAAATTGGACACGGATACTTCAAATCTTATTTGAAACGATTCGGTATCTCCTCTAATGACAATTGTAGATGTGGGGGAAAGGAATCTCCTGATCATCCTCTGCTCAATTGTCCTTTATATAAAATGGCAAGGAAAACCCTCAATAAGGATAACCCCATAGTCCGACCTACTATGAAATATCTGCTTCATACTAAAGCAGGAATCATCAAGACCCTCGAATTTATCGAGGCGACAAGAATAGCCACCAGATCATGGCATCTCAATAGAATGCATGAAGAAGAAAAGGAAGAAGGCGGAGAAGAAGGGGGTGGACCGGAAGATTGTGATTGAATTGATCAATTATGGCCAATTTGGTCAATTTGGTCATTTTGGTCAATTTGGTCAATTTGGTCAACTTGGTCAATTTGGTCAATTTGGTCAAATTGGTCAACTTGGTCAAATTGGTCAATTTGGGCAATCACCCCAATGTCAAATTTCATTACATTTCATTTGTTATTCCTCTTACTTGAATACGAGAGTATCTGTAAGGCGGGCTTGGTTCCCTAGTATTAGTTTTCACTTCCCCCATTCAAACATTAGAAGATTGAGGCTTTCAATCTCCCCAACCTGTATTAGCTACGGTCGAATAAGGCCAGCCACCCTCCATTTACTATTGTTAGAAGCCTACAAAGCTCCTAGCCGTCTTAGATAGTCATAGACTCAGTGTAGACGTTAATTTAATCAATCAATCAATCAATTTGTATGCTTCGAAAGGCAAATGAAACATTAAGCAAACATCAACATATTAAAAAAACTCAATTACATCAAGGAGGAGTACTTACTGATCAGGAAGCTATAGATATAATATCACAACAAGAGGTAGATATTCAGATTCGATGCGACGAGCATTAAAATAGGGGAAATTCCAATAGAGAATCATCTACTAATCGATGCTGTAGTAAATGTGGAAAGACTGGTCACAATTCAAGAACTTGTTCTAATAATATAATAGACCCTAGATTATTAGATTCTTAATAGTTTAAATCAATTGATTCAATGATTGTTGATTAAAATAAGTTTAAAGTGGTTGAATAAGTGAAAAAGTGGCGACTCGCTGATAGTGGCGACTCGCTGATAAACCACGTTATAGTAATTATATATAATAATAAAAAAGATGAAATTATATTATTATTTTTAATAATATAAAAACAATATCATCTTTTTAATTAATATACAAAAAGTGATTTTCCTATAGATTAGATTATTAAATCTACTTTTAATAGATGGACAAATAATGAAATAGGTTTAGAATAATTAAAGTATTTTGTTAAAAGGAATGACCTCACACAGGGAATAGTGGGAAGCTGATAGGGCAGAACTGAGGTAATATTGGTCTAGTAGGTTAATCTCTCTTCTAAGTTCTACGGAAGTGCGAAGCTCTCTGTAAGAGAGCTTCTCAATCTAGTCCTAATAGGACTAGTGCCCTGTGCACGTGCTACGCAGGAACCATTCACTTTAACAAATTGATTGATTGATTGATTGATTGATTTTATTAACGTCCATCTTCAGTCCAAGACTATATAGGACGGCTAGGCCCTAAGGGCCTAACGGGTAACTTTTTAATTTACAATATTGGATATGATCTAATTGGGGAAGTGAAAACAAATGCTGGGGAACAGTGCCCGCTCATTATACGCATTGCATATAATAAAAAGATTTTGAAAATCAAGAAATTGTGAGGAGGTCAAACCCCTCTCTTATTTCCTCAACTGCTTCTTCTTCATTCTCTTCTCCTCTCTCCTCTTCCACTACTACTCCTTCCTCTATTACTTCTTGTTCAAGAGTCCTTGCTAGATGCCATGCCCTTGTAGCGATTTTAGTGATATTGATAAATTTGATAGCTAATTCGATACCTATTTTTGTATGCAATAGGAATTATATAGTGTTTTTGGATAATGGTATCTTCTTAAAGATCTCTTTTCTTTTTGTTTTATATATAGGACAGCTAATAAGGAGGTGTTGTGGTGCCTCAATATTACTGCATATACATTTGTTATTGGTGAGTTTGAAACGATGTAAGTAGGATTTGATATATCCGTGACCTAATTTGAGTTGAAAGAATGCGCTAGCAGTATTTCGAGTAGTTCCGCTTGGTAGCTTGATTTTGGAACCTATTTTCCATGGAAATAGCTTCGAGTAAGTTGATGGGGATTGGTTTGATCTGAGTTCGTATTGTTTGAGAGTATTAAGCCATTGATCTGAGGCATATTCTTTGACAGTCATACCTAGTAGTCCAAAGCTTGTTTCGTTCGAGGTAGGTTGTATTGTGGTTGCTTCCTTGGCTAGCTTATCTGCTAGCTCATTTCCTTCAACTGAGGTATGATCAGGAACCCAATTTAAGGAGATTTCGGCTCCTTTTGCTCTGATAACTTCTGCTGCTTTGATCGCTCTTATCTGATTGGCTTGTCCTGGGTGATCTGAAGGAGTTTTTAAGCGGTATAAACCAGCTTGATTATCCGAGTAGATTTTGAACTTTTGACCAGTATAAGCGATTGAGCTAGCGTATTCAATAGCTCTTGTAACTCCAAAAAGCTCTCCATTATATACCAATTGATTAGTACCAATATTGCTTCGCTCTTGATATAGAATTCGATTATTTGATTGTATAGCTACTATGCCTACTCCAATACCTATTCCCTTTTCGGTGGAGGAGGCATCAGTGTAAATATAGGTGGTATCTTTATCCCTATATTTGAAAACAATATTATGAAGAATGGCAGCATCCTCTTTTGACGAATTGCTAATGTTAACTCGGAAGGGGGTTTCTCTTTTCCATGGGGGGAAGTTAAAATGAATGATCTTTTCGAGTGAGGAAGGGTTGAAGTCCTGGTTTATCGATTCTTTGATTTTATCCAGTTGAGTAGGTTTATATCGTTTTCTTCGAGGGGTAGAGATCGCATCCAAATTGGCTTGATATTGGATTAGTGATGCTTTTTCGATATTGATTGGATGATTTGGTGAAAGTTTAGCTAAACGGAATGCGTATTGCCTAATATTCGAGTCTAATCGAATTTTTGAGGGTTTTAAGCCTGCTTCTACTTCCATTGGAGGAATTGGAGCAGTTTTGAATACTCCTAATATCTTTCGAAGAGCTAGATTTTGAAGTGATTGCATCATATCCTTGAAATGGGCTTGGCCTCTCCACCAAATCACTGATGCGTAATCGGCTATACTGGTCACACATGCTATATATAACTGTCTAAGAGCTTTCGGACTGAGGCCCTTTTCGATATTAGCTAATCGGGCCATTCGATGGAAGGCTCCTTTTGCTTGTGTGATTCGAATATTAACATGTTGATTGAATTTGAGGCTCGGGTCGAACCATATTCCCAACCATCTAATTAGAGATTGAGGTATAATTATTTCCGAATTGGGTAGTTTGATTGGGTAGTTTTTCGTCAATTTGGATGATGAAAAGTGCATTAGCTCTGTTTTTGCTAGGTCGAATTGAATAGCATTCTTTGAGCTGAGTTCGTAGATTTGTTTTGTAGCTCTCTCTAGAGATTTGATATTCTTTTTCCATGTAGATGAATTGGTGATTAGGGCAATATCATCAATATAGGAAAGAAATTTGATCGAATTGGATAAAAAGAGGTCCCTAATGTATATAAGGAAGAGAATTGGAGAAATTGGACTGCCTTGTGGTATTCCGGTCGAAATTGGCTTGAAAGATTCGATTTGGTTATTAAAGGATAGTTTTAGTTGTCTTTGTTGAAGAAATGAAGCTATCCAGGAGATGAGATTCGTCGGTAGTCTTAACTTCTTGCAGATATCCAGTAGTCGATTTTTTGAAACGTGATCGAATGCTCCCTTTATATCCATAAATAATATTGAGGTCTTCTTGTTAGCTTGCTTGTTTCTTTCGATTTCTGTTGTTAATAGAAGTGCAGCATCGATTGCTGATTTCTTTTGGCGGCCTCCTATTTGACTCTTGTGTAGAAGGTGGGTAGTTTCCGCTAAATATCCTAATCGTTGAACTAGAATCCTTTCACTAATTTTTCCCAGACAGTTTAAGAGTGCAATCACTCTATATGCTTTTGGAAGTGAGTAATCAGGTTTTGAGGCTTTCTTTAGAATAGCTCCAGTAGCTTGTTTCCAGCATTTAGGGTGATATCCGAGATTGAGGAGTTTGCTGAAAAGAGTAAAAAAGATCTGTGGGATTGCTTTGTAGGCCTTTGTAATGATTTCTTGAGTGATCCCATCTGGACCAGGGGTCTTTCCTTGTATCTTAGCTGAGCAGGCATTACTTAATTCGATTTGAGAGAGATTGGGCCATTCCCATTTCTTGGATTGTTTATACCCTACCCATTGTGGTTTTAGAGTAGTAGGAGGGGGAGGGAATAAAGTCGATCTGAAAGCAGAGCATTTTCCTTCAAAAGAGCTTTCTGATGAAATATCCGGTATCCTTTGATCCTGGAAGTCTTTGGTATAGGTCATTGCTTTGAAAACTGTCTGTGTATCCTCCTTTTCTAGGAAATCATTCCAATGATCCTTTTTTGCTGTTTTAATAGCTTGAAAGTATTTGTTTCTAGCAATTCGATATTCTTCCTTAAGATTAGGGTTCTCTCGATTTGATTCGATTGATTGCTTTGCTTTTCCTAGCTCTTTTCGAAGATTTTTCAACTCGGGTGACCACCATGGTTTAGCTCTTTTGATTGAAACAACTTTGGGTATACACCTTTCTGTTGCTTTTTGGATAATCCTTGTAAGTTCGCTTGCTGCTTGATCTAGAATTGAATGGGAATTGTCTCTTTCTTTCAAGAAGTTTAGTGAGTCCTCTTCCGTAGAAGTTATTGAGTCTAAAATAGAAAAAGTAGGGGAATACAGGGATTCCAATTTTAGTATTGATTCAAAATTTTCCCAGTTGGCTAGCTTTGTATTGAATCTAGTTGTTGATTCTGAATTGAGGGCGTTTAAGTCTTCTTTTCCTTTCAGTTCGAATAGTATTCCTGCATGGTCGGATCCTGTATCTGAAAGAGTTTGCCAGTTGTGAATTTGGGGAGAGATTCCTTCTGACGCTAGTATTAGATCAAGGACACTTGGATTAAGGAGATTAGTTCGATAGAAAGTGCTGATTCCGGGCTCGTTTAGAAGAATGAGATTCTGATCTTCAAACCATTCTGCTAATTGATCAGCGTTTCCGCTTTTCTTTGAAAAAGGATCCCACCATAGGTGGTGGGCATTGAAGTCGCCAAGGAGGATAGTTTCTTGTGTGATAGATATATCATATAAACATCTTTCAATTGTGAAACCTTTCTCTTTAGCTTGATCAGCCTCGTTGTATATATTGATAATTTGAAAGGTTTTATCTCCATTTTGACAATTAAAGATTTGTATATCAGGATCTATTGGGGAATCGGGAGCTAGGTTGATTGTAGTTTGAAGAGTTTTTGAAGTGTATAGTAATGTACGAGGTCGAAAGTTAGAATCGAATCTTGGTAGTGTTTGTATGAAATTAGAGTGTATAATAGATCTTGAATTTGAGTAATCGATTCCATTTTTGATGATCCAAGGTTCTTGAATCATAATAAGATCGATATTGAGTTCTATTGCAAGCTGTAGAATGTTCTCTGTAGCTTGTGAGCTCTTATTAAGATTTATTTGAAGAATTCGAATATTAGTGTAACTCATAAGTTGGTGTTATTTGCTTTTTGTTGGATTGCTTGATAGATTTCACAGGTTCTTGAATTTGCTGTATGCTTTCCTTGGCAGTTCGAGCATTTAGCAGCGAGATGTTAGCAGAACTTTCCTCTGATATTGCAGACTACACATAGATGTACTGATGTGATATGTTTGCCTCCACATAGTCCACAAGAGGGATCCCTTCTGCAATGTGTATCCTGATGTCCGAATCCTTGGCATTTTTGGCATTGTGTAGTTGGTTTGGATTCGTAGAACTTTTCTACTCTTGTACTAGTGCCAGCGATATATAGTCGTTTCCGAATGGCTAGCTCTGCTTCTGATTTTGTTGCAAAAGCAATCATTATTGCTCCTTCCCGTTGATGAGCTCTTTTTGATGATGGTGTAAGCCAAAAAGGGGTTCCTATGGGCTTGAATTCTGGATTGAAGGTTTTGATTTCCTCAAGAATGAGGTCCATTCCTCTTGTTCCAGAAAATTCTTTTATAGGGATTTTATGAATAATGACCTTATGCCATTCTTGATCCTTTTGAATTCTTTCGAATTTGATGAGATTACTCCAGATTGCCTTTTTTTCTAATAGAAGTTGTGATGTGAAAGGTGCATTTGTAGTAATTATTATATTTCTATTCAGCGATAGAGTTACTCCTGCTATAACCGGGCCTTTAATTCCAGTTTTCTGGAATGCTTCGTTTATTTGGTTTCGAATTGATATAGGTGAAAAGGAGGTAATGTTCGTGATCTCTGGTTTGATCAGGATTAAGCGTCTTTGTGTGATTTCGATCTTCTTATCTATTGGGGAAGATCTAATAGTTTTTCCCTTGCCTACTAGGTTCCATTCTCCTTCTTTTGTTATTGCTGCATATGTCGATTTAGTGGTTGGTGTATTGATTGACAAGGGAGCTTTGGTTAGGGCTTTAGCTTGAGTTTCGATTTTCCGTGTAGCGGATTCTAGATGAGTGATTTGGGAGGTGATGATATTGGAGGCGGTGGTGAGCTTTCCTTTTTCGGTATATTCTCTAAAGATCTCTAGGAGATCTAATAGCTTCGATTGCTCATCATATGATTGAGAAAGAGTTGATGCTAATACTATAAGATCTCTTGCTTTTAAGATAGCTTCCTTAGGTGTAGTTGGATTGTTTTTTATTCTGGGTTGTTTATTCTGATTGCTAAGGGGCATTGTAGGGCCACGTTTCTTATTCTGATTGAATATATAGGTAGTATTAATTGTATCTTGAGTAATAAAGAGGTCACTAAGTAGATTGAAGTCTTCAACTCTTCTTCCAGAACTGGTTGGCTGATTGGTTGGTAGACTAGGGCTAGAGATTTCGAATTGAGGGTTTTCGGAAGGCGGGGGAGGGCTTGAGGGTATTGGGGTACCTAGAATAACAGTAGGATACATGTTTGGTATGATGGAGGCTTCGGGAGAAGCCTCCATCATAGCTGTATCCTTGAGTATTGATGGATTGTTGAAGTTATTCATATTGAGGATCTTATTCTGATAGTTTGAGGTGAAAATTTTACGCGAATTTTCGTGCGAGTTTCGTGTTTGGAGCGCCGACGACAGTATCACAACAACTACTGGTCAGAATCACTTGGGGGCAGTTGCAATCAATTTGGTTTAATAGCTATGATCTAGATCGATCGCGAAAGGGTCGTGACAATAATGGTATGCAATCCGTAACTGATTGAGAAGCTCTCTGTAAGAGAGCTTCGCACTTCTGTAGAACTTAGAAGAGAGATTAACCTACTAGACCAATATTACCTCAGTTCTGCCCTATCAGCTTCCCACTATTCCCTGTGTGAGGTCATTCCTTTTAACAGAAAAGATTATAAAATCTATAATAATTTTAATTAACAAAGTATTATATTAAATTTACAAACACAATAGAACACAATAAAATAAAAGTTACGACATTAAATTAGCAATTAACAATTAGCGCTTAGCAATTAGTACTTAACATCTACGATTTAGCAATCAATCAATCAACTACCCATACAAGAGAAGAGAAATACTTCCCACACATCATCTAACTACTAGGTAGGTAGGTAGATAGCTAGCTACCGCCCACGCTTGTAATTTTCATCAACCATCCTATGCATCCGTCATTCTACCATCAAGATGGCATCGCAAGCATAAAATAAGTGCAACCATCATGATATGTGAATGGATATCCCGAAGTTCGTTTCAAGCAAAACACCTTAGCCAGCCAAAACCGTGATAACACCAAGCAAAAGATCAACAAAAGCTACCACCTCCTTCATGATTTTGGATGCATTCCCCAATGTCTTGCCCGAGTTCTTATCATACTTTCAATGAAGTACTTGAAAGTCAAGAGATGCATGAGAAATGCGGTCAATCCTGCCAGAACTTCGAAAATCCATAACCTCCCCGTTCACTAGGCTGTACGTCTACTAATCCTACAAATACAATTTTCTTATTTTTTTAATTATTGCAAAAGGCAAAAGAAAAAGAGGAAACAGTAACAAAAAGCAATCAATCATCTCGAGGAAACAGAATTTCCATCATACTCAAAGAAAAATGTCGAAAGTCGAAAGTGGACAAGCAATTTTTGGATAAGCCTTTCTCGCAAGAAAAGACTCGATGATGAAGAGCCATAGTGTTGTTCGGCAATTCAACAGAAAACTTCTCAGAGCACCGTTTGATGTATCGTTTTGCCGAGCGATTCAGTCTTGAAGATCGTTGCTTGGATCGTTTTGACGAGGTTTCGACATTCACAATTACTTCCATCGGGATTGAGAGAGCCCTTTGACTGTCATCGGTCGCGTACTAAAGAACTAGTAAGAATCTAGTAGCGCTGGATTCGGGCGTTATGAGTGTTTGGTACATTAATTGCTACTCCCCAGTCTTCTCCAAAGAAGGAATCATTGCCTCTTGGGCTGGTATCGATGTGCCAATCTGGGCTTTTGGTATATCTCATGAATGGTAAAGTGGAGTTACCTTCCTCCTGTTGAGCTTTGATAGCAAACAGATTGCCAAGAGCTCCATCTATCATTGGAGCGATGACCTCGGGTATGGTCTTCTTTTGCATTTCTGAAATAGTGATACCGGGAAGAGGTCTATTGTCGGAAACCAAAGTTTTCTTCGTGGGAGGGCCAATAGGACCAAAAGGGTTGGCATAGGTTTCAATTTCCGTGATGTGATCTTGGATCGTCATGTTCCAGCGTTTCTGGCCTGCGTAAAACCACTCATCCTTCTCCTTTTGTTTTCTTGTTCGAGCTTGCTCTGGAGTTTCTTCATCCACGAGAAGACCCATTTCCTTTTGTACATCAATCGACAAACGAGTGAATCGCCCAGTCATGTCAGCGGGGAATCCGTGGGGATAATACCGAGAGGCTTCTTGCATAGAGATTGTATCGGTTGCTCGTGCGGAAGGAGCTGGAGCCGGAGCCTGGGCTGTGTACTGTTCATTCGTCACTTTCGGTTCCTGCCACGGTGAAATGGCCCCGGTGTTCGTATGTGAGTTTTGTTTCACTACAACTTGATCTTGTGTCCATGCCTCCTCACTATAATTGCTATTCTGTCTGTTATTAGTGTACGAGCGTTGACCTGGTGGACCGGCAGTTAGTGGTTGTGGATACCCAGGTACCCCCCTATGATGTCCAGAATCCCTTGAATGACCGTTAGCTCCCGCATAGGCACCATAAAGAGGATTGTATGCCGCATTAGAAATGCCCGGTGGAGGAAATGTATAACTACGGTCTAGTTCTCCATTCTTGGTGGCATGTACATCGCCCAACACGGTTTTGTCTTTTGAGTTTCGCAAGAGGTTCTCTAAAGCTTGACTCGAAACTTCTACATCTTCATTGAGATTTGCAGTATTTTCTGTTTTGGGTGCCTGCAGTTCTGACAATCGACGTAAGGCTGAGGTTTGCATTGGGTTTGGGAATCGCGCAAGTCTTTGTAAGGTCTGCATCTTTTCTAGACCTGATATCGGACCTTGCAAATCATTTCCTCTTCCCATATCTTGATCGTCATTTGAAATTGATGAAATGTGATTTTGATGAGAAGCAGGGGTTGGCGTGTTGGGGGAAGCAGGATAATGTCCACCAGGCACTCTAGCGTTGATCATCCCTTGAAGTCTAAGAAGCGTATGATTCTCTTGTTCCGTCTGGGACAGTCTCTGAGAAACTCTTAGAGAGCGAGCAGATCTCGCAGATGTCGCTGGAGGGGTATTGAAAGTATTAGAAGCTTGACCGAGTTGTTGCGCATAGTGCATAGAATTTTGCATATTTAGAGGGGGTGGTGGACCGCGGGTGTGAGTATAATAATTTGCCTGTCGGTTATGAGTTGGATCCAACTGAGGTCTTCGAATTGAGCCTTCACGTTGAATGCGATTGGGAGCTGAGATTTGAGGTTGTAAATTAGGATTGACACGAGATCCGACGGTAGTGTAAGCTACAGGTTGCGCTTCAACCAATAATGGCTCCGGGGAGTCGTTAATCGAACGAACCGGAAGATCTGGATCCCATTCTACAGAATCGAAACCATCGTTGGCGGTGGTAAGATCACTCATAGTTCTCGTCATCAAGCCTGTTGATTCAGCGATGCGAGCCATGACTGCTTCGCTTTTATCCTTAAGCGACTGTGTATCCGAATCGTCACACTTCAAAAAGTCCAAGGAAGAATGATTGAGATCAATTCCACTATCAATGGTATAGAGAGTTTGCGCTCTGGTGTTATCAGAGGTTGAATATGATATGGATGAGACTCTCGAAAGACCTGGAGGAGGTGGTATAACCAAGGGTGGAGAAATTGAATCAGTTAAAGGCGTATTGGTAGTCGCAGAAGAAAGAGAAAGAGGCAGAGGAAGGGTAGTGGCGATATCTTTATCTGTAATAACAATTGGTTGAGAAATGTTGCGATTAATATTTTCCTTATCGCTGTCGTCCTCAAGTTTGTTCTCTCTCGAGATATTAAAATCCTTCAAGTTTTCTGTATCTTTTTGAAGAATTTGAATTACTCTTTTTGGCGCCGGAGCAGTGGAGGTGAATTCTGATAGATTTTGTTGTTTCTGTAAAGTTGTGTGGGGAGAGGGGAAATCGAGAGATGATTTGAATTGTGGGGTCGATGTAGGTGAAATGGGGCGTGATGAAAGTCCACCTGAATTTCCACCTCCATTTCCACCTCCTACCAATTCGGGGTCTGTTCCAACCTCACTAGTACTTTCGCTGTGTCCCATATCCATGTTTGCCTCTTCATTTGTCATTATACCAATATCTTCACCTCCATTATTACTATTATTAGTAGACTCAATCGCTTCAATCGCCTCTTCATTCAACATCGACGCTGAATATTTCGATTTCGAGTTCTTCTTCTTTTTAAACGTATATTTGAATGGTCCAAGTGATTCAAGAGTCATCGGTCCTCCTAATCTCATATCTGGTCCCTCATCTAATGCTTCATTTCGACGACGCGAGCGTGAAGATCTAGCAGCCATAACTTCTGCGTACGTACTATGCGGAGGATGTGATATCGAAGGGGGACTCCTGGAATGATTATTTCGAAGTGATTGTAATCTTGTTTCGTATTCTAACTGATCTTGTATTTCTTCTTGAGCTGATTCTTTGATAATGAAATCCGGTGATTCAAGTTCGTCCTTTGACCCAGGATGTCCTGGAATGCTCTCTGCAGGTCTTGTTTGTATGTGCGAATGATTGACAAGATTGGTCCTGCTATTATATTCTCTAATAGAGTTCGAGGTACCATACGAATTGTCTTATTGAGTAAGCTTTCCATATTTATAAATTTTGAAGCAAAAGTGAGATAGGAAAGGGCGACAACGAAATTTTCATACTTACGAGCTCTTACAGTGCCGCGTCTAGAGCTGGATGGCATGTTTACTGGAAAGCTATTAATGTCGAATATATGACCGCCCTCATTGATCTGTAGTTGTCTGGTAAATATTTGGTGGCAATTGAGGATCTGGTGGGAAGATGCCGACTATCCCATATCAAAACAAACTTACAATATATTTATTCCGATCAAGGAGACGTAGCGATGGAAGCCTTTATCGGTCCAACCAGAGGGCACCAGATTAGAGAAACGGCATCAATTTATATTTGCACCATCAATCATGGTCTAGCTCAAACTTACATATAAGAAGTAATTGTTCAAAGCTTAACCTTCATCCGAATCCAGTTCTTTTGAGCTAATACCTTCCAATCAGATATGGAGGATATTCACCTGGATGGGAAAATTGGCACAACTTGAAATTTGGTTATGACATAGGTCTATATAATTAACGATGGGAGTGGCAAAAAGATTGAATTGGCTACATAGATATTGACTTGCAATGTATATCTCAACAATGGATAATACAAAGGGTCTAGCCAATACTACGAATACCAAGTATATATGTGTCATTATAAAGCCGCCGACCCAGTACGGCACATATGAAGCAATGTTGAAGACCCTCTGTGCGTAGTCCAATAGACCCATGCTATGATACCTTTTTGTGGGCTTCCACTTGGAAACCAGACCAGCGGTACCAGTATCTGTCATCATATCCTATACCGATTGAGACAAATCTGTTTAGCATACACAAATCCAGATAGGATGGTCTAAGAGGCAGTACGTGTTGAGTACTTTAAGTGAATATGCCCAGATTTGACACCGACATTGTTGACAAGTTGCTGTCTAACAATGACACAATGGCTGTCTATCTGGCATCGCTTCGTGATCCTTTGCCAAGTCAGTATTCCATCTTGATATTTCGTTTTAGATATCAATGCGGAGTGTAATCCTAACCTCAAGACATTTGAAAACATACATGCAGTTGCATAGTAGCAAAACACAACAATGAGCCGTTGCAACATTCCAGTTGATGTATTCACCACCATTAACCGATAGTCCCTGCACCGTTGACTGTTGTGAACGAACTGGAAGGCCTGAAATATGCAGATAAGAAGCTGTTCTTAATGGATACCAGGAGATACATCATGAAGAGGTTTCATCAAAGTTCCGAATATCCCTTTCATGATGCACCGATACTCCTCTGCAAGGGAATCTTGATGATATGTTTGATTTCTGGTGAAAAGGTTTGTCAACTCCCGGTGGAGAGGTGGGTTTCCTACATTATGGAGTAGAAGTATATATTAGTTGTTGATAAGTGTGATGTTGATGTAGAGAATGGGGTTGAGTGGGTAGAGTGTTGATTGGAGTGAGGTCAAACCGTAAGCGCCCGGGTTAATTGTAAGGTTCTAAGATATAATGCCGGCCACCGTATTCATCGCAGCGCACGTGTGCCGCAGGTGGATAACTTGAACACATTATTATTCTTGCAGTGCCGCAGTACTGGCGGTCGGCATACGAGTTGGATTTTCACCAATTTGCAACATATGTAATCTTACCATATCAATCTTGAAAATGGAATAAACAACGTTGACATGGTGGCAAAGCATTTTCGGATTGGACTCTGCATCATCAGGATTCACCTGTTTTTTCCCGTGCTACATCGATTGGACATGAACAGATACGATGCAATGCAACAAACAATCAATCAACGATGTAACAATGAATTACATTGCTGCAATCTGGGGAATGATGATCTGTACTACAACGAGACAAATCGGACGTTGATTAGGCTGAACATCTGGAAAATTATGTCCATCGTGGAAACGGTTACCACCACCACTGCGAGTCTGACTTTTTTCCTCCCGAAAGTGGATTTACCAGGGTATGACTTCACATTCACGATGCACGTTCTGCCAAGCAACGATCGTGATTCGCCCGAAATGGCTCTTATGGCTCTTTCCGATTCTTTCCAACGTCTGCAGCAGTTGTATGCATGTATGTATGTTGATAAGGTTCCCAATATGGTTGGTACTCTGTTGGTCTGAATCTATGCAGATATATATATGCTAGGTATGTATATATGTAAGTCTAAGTTAGCTTTCCTACTTCCTATCCAGTACTGCAGTACATGCATGCAAGTTCATTTTCCCCCGAGATAACACGGCAGGTCACACGACAAACCGTGAACATATATCATAGATTGTGTAACCTGCAATTATAAATTTATTTCAAGGAATCAATCTGTTTGGGAGTTCTATTCATTTGGAAGGACCTCACCCTTCTGGTACATTTACAACCATTTATATATCGAAACATGACAGAAAAGGGAACGAATGTCGAGATCGCCGCATCTCCAAATGCGCCAGCTATACCACCCTCCGAGGAAATAGTCTCAAAATCAAAGCAGTCTCTTTCCGATAAATTCACAATTGTTAGTACTTCAAACCTATGTTTCAAAGTCCCAATTCAACACAGGAAGTGAAATATCAGTTTCGGCCTACCTTTCGCTGGCACTGCTTGAGTCCAACATCCTCTAACCTGGTGACATTATTCTAGTTTGCTTCCGGAGCTGCCTTAGTGTCCGATGGCTACTTCAACAATATCATGACCATGGCGAATGTCATCCTCAAGAAACAGTATCCGAAGGAGTATACAGCAGCAACGAGTACCCGTGTGTCGAACGCTCTTCTGGTTGGAGAGATTTTTGGTCAAGTGACTATTGGGCTTACATGCGATTACTTTGGGAGAAAGTTCGCCATCATTGCTACCACTTTGATGATTGTTTTTGGTGGTGCCTTAGCTACAGCTTCCAAGGGGGTTACAATTAATGGGTAAGATGCATTTCTCAACGTTAGAAACCTTAATTGCGCGGATTACGGTCTTCGTTCGAAAGCCCCAGCGTTCAAATGGATCATATATCAGATAAAGCACATTTGAAGTAGAATCAACGTGTGAAAGGGCTCAGGGATCAAAACTTTCTTATTGTCAAACTGTATTCTGCACAATTGGAAACACTATCCAGCGCAGCATTTTAATCAGCTAACTCCCATGTCTAGCATGTTCTGGATGATGACTGTTGCACGAGGAATTATAGGATTCGGTGTAGGTGGTAAGTTTTTTGGAACCCCGTACTATCAGCCCTCAACTAATCATTGCCTCCAGGTGAATACCCAGCATCATCTACATCCGCCTCCGAGGCTGCAAATGAGCATGCCCCCAAAAATCGCGGTCCAATCTTCATTCTCGTCACCAACCTTCCGCTGTCCTTTGGTGGCCCACTAGCTGTGTCAATCTTCCTTATCGTACTCGCAGCATGTGATTATAAGCACTATAACACAGTATGGCGGGTATGCTTTGGTCTGGGTTGTGTACTCCCCTTATCAGTCTTCTACTTCAGAATAAAAATGCTCAACAGTACACTTTATCGCCGCGGAGCTATTAAAAAAGACGTTCCATACAAACTTGTGTTACGTTACTACTGGAAATCTCTCATTGGAACTTGTGGCGCCTGGTTCCTCTACGATTTCGTAACCTTCCCCAATGGTGTCTTTTCAGGCACAATCATCGCCTCTGTAGTTCCTTCGAATCCTAGCACTGTCGTTCTCAAAACTGGGGAATGGAATCTGTTACTTGGAACCATCGCGCTACCTGGTGTCATCATCGGTGCATTACTTTGTGATCGCATTGGTCGAAAAAATACAATGATGATAGGATTCTTTGGATACCTGATGTTTGGTCTCATCATCGGGCTATCCTACCATAAAATCACCAAAATCGTCCCTCTCTTTGTAGTTTTCTACGGCTTGATGCAAAGTTCCGGAAATCTAGGGCCTGGAGACATGCTGGGACTAATCTCATCCGAAACCTACGCCACCTCTGTACGAGGAACTTGCTATGGACTTTCCGCCGCGCTGGGCAAAGTTGGTGCAGCAGTGGGTACGCAGGCTTTTACTCCGATTCAAACACATTTGGGAAAGCAGTGGACCTTTATTATTGCGGCTATTTGTGGCGTGGCTGGAATCCTCGTTACGTATTTCTTTGTGGAAGATATTACTGGTGAGGATTTGAGTGTTAGAGACGAGAAATTTAGAGCGTATTTGGTAGCTAATGGTTGGGATGGGGAGATGGGAGAGGATGATTTGAAGGCATTGGCGGAGGAGGGTGTTGTTACAGAAATGGAGGTAGAGGGAAAGTAAGAGGGCAAAGACATTTGTGATGGTCTAAAATAAAATGGAAGAATGAAGTTAATGATCGGGAAGATTGTATTATGTTTAGCTCGTTGGGAGTAAATGGATGAGCGTATATATATAATACATAAACATAAATCGCTTCACATTCTAAATAGTGCAATGTATTGAGCATCGTAGCAACAATTTACAAACTATCTGCCCCTAGCTAAATCCTCGACATTTTGATCAGAAAGCCTCTATCTCATCCAACTTAATGGTATAACCTCATGTGGAATCACTTCAAAAGTCAATTGCATCAAAGCCAAATATGAGACCAGAATATCTCGGACCTGATAGTGTTACTTTTTGTGGTTCACTACCAAGCTTTCCCGTCAATCAAAAATACCTTCATCATATAATGACTGAGGGTACACCGTAACTTCGTGCAGAACTTATCAATACAGCGAACTCGTCACTGAACCCGTCTCACGAACCAAGTTGATGGTTTCTTACCACCGGTCCATGTCCACGCTCTCCCGGTCGACTTGGTCGTAATATGGGACCATGAGGTCCCATATCCGGCTTCTTCTTCTCCTCGTCTTCATCCACCCGCTCACCAACAGCACCATCACGATTTGCCCTCCAAATACCACCCTCCTCACCACCAAATTCTTCTTTCTTCCACACCTCAACTTTCTCCTTACATTCCTCCAGAGCTTCCTCACCAGCCCTCCAAGCCGCCTGGCGATGAGGCGACGATACCGTAATCAAAATGCTCTCTTCTCCAATAGGTACCACTCCCAAGCGATGAATCATAGCAATAGAAGTCAAAGAGTGTTTGTGGAGAATCGTCTTGCAGATACTGAGCATGCTCTGTAAAGCACGTGGTTCGTATGATGTATACTGAAGCTCTTTTACGGGCTTTCCTCCGAAATTGTCTCGGGTTGTTCCTACGAGTTCTTCAGTTCAATATCCAATACTTGTAGATTAGTTTCGCATGGTTTTGTTACCTGCGAAGAGAACAATGGCTCCGGCTTTGGGACTGCGGACTTTGTCCATCATTACTTTGGCGTCAAGATGTTCATGAGTTAATGCTACATAGCAATTTTCTTCAATAAGCTCTTTAGAACTAGCCATAATTTTAAATTTTTGGAGATGTCTACTAGGTAAGATCTTTCTGATGTGATTGCAGGATCATCATGGGAACTTCAGCTCTATGACGAATTACCTGATGGGAGTTGTGGGGTAGCCTTGTCTATTGTGGCGTATAACTATATAGTAACCTAGGTTAGTGGGGGGTCAGCCTTATTCTTAATGTGGCTTAAAGCTGACCTTCCAAAACGACCAGGCTTAATTTAACAAACATTCTTTGATACATTCACAATTCACAAACGACACTCACCAATCTCCAATAAATCCTCACTTTTCCATCCCAAATATTTGTGGCCCATTTAAAAGATTATACTTGTGATACCTCGTCTTATGACTTTTTCACCATCATGAGTTCCAGGCCTTATAGACCCGGCCCTGACGCCGACATGTATGATGACCAAGAATATTCGAGCGAGTATCGACACCATGGAGCGCCTGGATATGATTCCTATAATTCGCGGAAGGGTAATCGATAGTTTAGATATGCAGATTGCCAAGTATATGTGCTGATCATCAATGTCTCAAGATAACTCAAGGAGTCCTCCACGAGGACATGCTTCTGGCAGACCATACGACTCAGAATACCCAGAACGCCCATATCGACTCGATCGCAATCAGTATGATAATAGACATGAACGTGGTTATGATAGGGAAAGATCAAGCTCTCCGCGCAGAGACAAGAGAGGTCGTTATACGGACCGCGATCGCGAAGGATATAGGTCTCCAGTCCATGGGAGAAGTCGCAGTCGTTCGCCTCACCATGGCGCACCACCAAATCGAACAATCATCTTTGAGGGATTGCCTCTAGATATGACACAGGAAGACGTTGGCCGCCCCATTCCTACAAATCTACACCGAACCTGAGATTCCACTTCTAGCCTAAGTGTAATGTGAATTTTTTTGGAATTCTGGCTAAGCATAGCGATTGGCCTTGTTGGCCGTTGTTTTGATTTATAGATATCAAAAGAACTTCAAAATAGTCTTAGAGTTGAGGGTGTGGAGGAGATTAGATTGATCAAGGATAAAAAGACTGGTAGGCATGCAAACCTTTACTTTAGTGTAATGCATCACTAACGATTTGGTTCTTAGGTGTATCTCGAGGGTTTGCATTTGCGCAATTCTATACCCTACCAGAAGCAAAACGATTCCTCGAAGAACATCACCCATTCGTTTCATTCTACGGTCCTTCGCAGGCATCAGAACCAGCCAAAGTCAGGATCGCTTACAGCCGCGAGAAGAATGATCAAGAACGACCAAGCAAGCATGAGGATGATTGGAAATGTGACGTTGTGCGTTGTCTTTACGCTATTCCAAATGTTTGAAGCTAATAGAATCCAGTGTTACACATTGAATTATTCTTACAGAATGATGTGTTTCAAATGCAATGGTCCTAGAACTAGTACGCATTTCAGTCACAAGAAGATTCTATATCGCTAATTATCTTAGGACCAACTGCCCATGGTGTTGTTATGACTCAAGGAAATGTATCTAGTTACTCAGGATTCGCTACCACCGGAGATAGTGATGCCTCGCCCGACGAAACAGCCTCTCAATTTCTCTTGCTTAGAGGTCTCGAACCTGGTGTGACAGAGGAACTTCTTGCCAAGGGAGTAAGCAAACTTTACAAGACCAAAGCAAGCACATCAGCGGATGTACATACAGCTAAGAAGACAAAAATATCTTCTACTTCTGCTGATGCCTCACTTGGCGCCAAAGAAGGTTCCCTCCGTCGCGTGTTGCTGATTCGAGATCGTAAGACGAATGATAGTTGGAGATATGGGTTTGCTGAGTTTGCTTCAGTAGAGGATGCTCAAAATGCTTTGGCCAAGTACAACGCTACAGACAAGTTTACCATATCTTCGAAACCTGTGATGGTTTCGTACATCCACGCAGGCGTATTTGTGCCTGTTCTTGACGTACTGAACGAAGAATCCGCGAGATTTACATTCAGTCCATTGTCGAACTCTGCGGTTAATTTGATGTACTGGGATACTACAGCTTATGCTAGCGAGTTGTCTACTGTAATCCCAGAAGCACCAGTGAAGAAGGCGAATAATGAGCGAGCTAAATTAGCTAATGCAGCAGCAAATGAAGGACTTGTTGGTGGCAAGGATGGAGATTTTCGGTCTAAGAAAAGGAAGATCGAAAAAGATTCGGCTGTGAATACTAAGAAGGTTGTTGCTCCCCATCTCCAATTTTGGACCAATAGGCATAACGAGATCCATGGTCTGCCCGCCAAGGATTTTGAAGACAATGAGCCTGAGTCTACTGCTGCAATTGCAAAATCTACATCAGAACCTATTGCCGATGCTCCACCTGCTCAATCATACGCAGATATGGATCGAAAATGCTGTATCTTATGTTCCCGTCAATTTAAGACGGAAGCAGAAGTCAAAAAGCACGAAAGAATCAGTCAACTTCATCGCGACAATACGAAGAATGAAGAACTGGTTTCAAAAGCTTTAGCCAAGCTCAAGAAATCTGCAAGTGATTTAAATTCAGCCGAAAACTCCGCTTATAGAGATCGAGCTAAGGAACGTCGTCAAGCTTTCAATCAACCAAAGCAACCTGCTGCGCAACACAATAAATCGAAGACTTCATCTACCAGTTCCCCTTCTCAGAAAGAAGAGGATAATGGGCCTGTAGTACCAGCACAATCTAAGGGTGCAGCACTATTGGGAAAGATGGGTTGGAATGCCGGAGAAGGCCTCGGTGCTCAAGGTACAGGAAGAACGGAAGCCATTGCCACTGAGCTATATACTCAAGGTGTAGGTTTAGGAGCTGAAGGTGGGAAGCTAGGTGATGCGATGGTGGAAGCGGAGAGGCAGACAAAGGGTGATTATAAGGCGTTTGTAGGGAGAACAAAAGAAAAGGCTAAGGAAAGGTATGAGACTTTGGATTGAGGATGAGGGTTTAGGGTGGGGGTTTGAGGGGTTGAGGAGTGAGGTTGAGTGTGTATTGTATGAATATATTAATACGTACTTTCTTAAATGGAATGACACTTCCGGGTTTATATTTCTTTTCTGTTAATATCCTGTTTATCGACAGTACACACATATAATATAATGAGAACTTAGATGCACAGCTATATTTATTGTATTGTCATGTATATAAATACACAATTATCTACCACGAAAAATAGCATTTCATCCTGGGGTGTGGTAAGAGTGAGTATTCGCAGTACAACCAAACAGTCACTTTTTTTTGTTCGAATAGAATATCTTGAGTTTCATCCCCTCTTTAATATCCTCCTTTATTGACATTAATATTATCACTAACACTAGGTAGGTATCAAAGGAACCTCATTTTTTATTTTTAAGTTTATTTTATGAGAAATCTTATGATTATGTATATAAACGAATCAAAATCAAAATCAAAGAGAATGAAATAAGATTGATATTCATATTCATATTCATATTCACAATGAACTTCTCGATGAAGAGAAGTGTAACAATTTGATTAAATATTAGTAGATTATTGAACTGAACTAAAGCTAGCCTAGTGTGAAAGGTCCAGTCCACTGATGACCTTAATAGCAGGTATATCCACCGTCGACGACCTTAAAATCAGTAAGTACTTTAACATATATGAACAAGCTTGGTTTGGACTCACCAGATCGCAGCCATTTAAATAGCTTGATGCATCACTCGCCATATACACTAGTGTTCCTTGAAGCTCACTTGGATGAGAAAGTCGACCCATTGGGATATCTTTGACCCAATTCTCTTCGATATGTTTTCCTTCTTTCTCCAAGAGATCAATGATCAGGTCTGTTTTTACGTATCCAGGGCATAAATTGTTGACTCTAATCCCATGTGGTCCCCACTGAATGCGGATAAGTCCTAGCCCGTCGTCAAGGGATAGAATACTGGAATTCTTACCTCTGTCGCCAAACTCTTACCAAGCATTGAGACGGCCCCTTTGGACTTCGTCATGTTAGCAATAAATTTCCCATGAACTTCTCAACATATTCGTAACATAACCGGAGTCGTTGTAGAAGAAACTAAAACCTACAGCATTGTAAGCCGCTTGCTTTTGTGGTTTCACACAAATCATGCTGCTCATCGATGATATCAAAATCAAGCTTCCCTTGGACTTCTTCTCAATCCAATATTTCCCCGCTTCTCTGGCAAACAAAAAACTTCCATTAAGATTTACATCCATCATTCTCTTCCACTTATCAAAAGGATATCGCTCTGCCTCAAAATTCTCAACAATACCCGCAGCTGTAACAACTACATCGACATGGCCGAAATCCTCGATGATCTTTGCCCATGTTTCTTGTACTGCTTCTTCGGATGCCACATTACATCCATAAGGACGAAGGTCTGGAGTGTAGGAAAGGTTCGAGGTTTTAATGCTGGATTTGATGTGATCGATTGATCTTTCACCGATAGATCCAGATAGGTCAACACAAGCTCCGCGAGCACCACTCAGCGCAAAGGCAGTAAGACATTCCTTTCCAATTCCTCTTCCAGCGCCGGTGACTACACAAGTCTTTCCTTCGAGTGAAAATGATGGAAGAGTCATGAGGGTTCTTCGTGGTACTGTGGCTGGCTTGGTAGTGCGGAGAAAGTTTCGAAATACAGGTACTTTGGTAAACATGTTTGAGGAGGATATTGTACTCGAATATGTTGGATAGAATATGCTGAGGCTTTTCGAGGTAAAGTAACGTTATCAAGTATTCAAGCTTGATTGATTAGTCCAACTGTGATCATTGTGTGTTAGCAGAAGGTTTTAATGTGAGCAATTGGTCTTGAAGTATCATTTTGCGCCATGGATTCCTGTATGCCGTGAGAATTGTTGGCGTATAGGTCGAAACGAGGGGTTGATGAGGGGAAAGCTAGGTATTTACGTCGTTTCTCGTCCAACAAGAGAGGATTACATAATTTGGGAAAGGATATTACCCGATTGGTTGATTCAGGAAAGGATTAATGTATTTGTGCATAATGTGAACATACTTGCAGAAATATTTTATACCAAATTATTCAACAAATTGGGTACATGTTGACTTATTTCTCAATTCATGGCTGTTACTTGGGTAAATACTAAATACCATTGACATCACCTATTACCTACCATACCTCCTAAATAGCTTAAAGTCCTTCGAACATTGACTTATTCACCAAAGGCCTTACTCTTCTTACACATACATCAGTCCTTATAATCCACTTCTCACCCTCCGTAACTTCTCTCCCTTCATGCAACATGCAATCATCCCCATGCTTATGTAACAAGACCATTCCAGTCTCTAGACTTATGACAACAGGCTTATCAATAGGAGATTTCTTGTTAGGAAGTTCCTCAGGGTAGAAAACTGTTTCACCTCCTTGACAACCTGTTGCGGGTGATGTGAGATATAGTAATAATGTCCATGTTGTCTTTGCTTGAGTAGATGTAGGTCTTGTTGGAAGTGTGATGAGATTCGATTCATCGTCTGAGAAGTATGTGAGAACTGGAGACTCGTGACTTGGAGGGGGAATGTTGACTTACAATGGCAATCAAAGAACTGTCCCTTTGAATATCTATATATTCGAATGACGGGATTTAAACCTACAATCTCCCCTCCCCTTTACTACTTATTAGCATCATATAATCTTAACGAGTGCATAAATTATGGACACTCAAACGATGGGGAAATTCACCATAACTCTCTTCTCTCCTCCTCACTCATCTTTTCACCCTCTTCCTCATATTCCCTCTCAATCTCACCACATAAAAGCTCCTTGAGCCCCGTCTCTCTCCAAAGTCGTTCAGCAAAATTCCAATCATCAACTCGATATCTATCATTGACTCTCAAAGCATCACCCTTTTTAGGTTTACCAGGTGTTGTGGTTAAAGGTAAAGTTTTCAAGAATGAGACATAATTTTTACATAAAGTAGAAGTCCAAAAGTTTGGTATTGTGATGATTTGACCGGGAACAATGGTTTCCAGGGTTAAGTTTGTAGATGGCATGAGTGGTTTGAAAGGGGGCCAATTCGGTGGTGGTGATTCAGGTGTAGCGTCACTTTGTTTGGGCTTTTTGGAAGGCATGGTTAATGAGACTGTCTTGCTTCGATATAAGCAAAGGTGTGTAAGAGTGAGTTAACAATACTCGAGGGTCTGTATCGTCGTAGAGTATTTATATTTTGATATTGAAATTAGGTGGGTTGTCTCTACTTCTGCCTGTTGATATACTTCGCATAGAATGAGCGGCATTTTAATACGGTGACCGGGATCTTTTACACACGACTTCTCCCGTAAGACCACCGGCCCAACATCAGATCATTCTTCACTGTAAGAACCTTCATCAATTCCATTGCCAACAATCATATATGGCAAAATTGCAATTGATTGTCTTTTGCCACTGTCTTCAGAGTCATAAACCTATTTATAAGACTTAATAATTCCTAAATGGAATAAGCAATGATGAGAATGCCAGGGCGCCTGCCCCTGGCATGAACATTCCTGAACCAACACGTTCACATTCCACGTTTATTTCTTGTTGTCAAGCAGATATTCAAATAACAGTCAATATCGTGTTTGAGTGATGTATCGGTTCATGCAAATCGTTGACGATTCTATTTACCCATCCTTCACATTTCTACCTTTCTCCTATACAGACTTGGATAGTCTTCCTTTCTCTTTGCCCTTTCCATTCAATTATCGTCAACAGTCATGTTAAGGAGCTTGATCTCTACTTTGATGCTGTGCATTTTACCTATTGAAGTATTAGGAAGATTCGAGAAGTTAGATCGTACTTACCTTACCTCTGCTGGTTCAACAGGAGATGACGATCAAGAAAACTACAAACCAGAAAGCATTGCACAAGCTTATCAAGAAGAGTCTACTGGACAGACGACCTCGGTCAACTCTACCTTACTATGGCCTGCTACTAAGTCTATTCAACCCACTGTCACTTCCCAAGGAATGAATGTTACATCGGTGATTCCCATTTACGAGACATGCAACTTGCCAGGAGCAAGTACTACATCATGTTCACCATCTTTTCAAACTCTCATCACTACCAAATGTTCAACAGTCTTGACAGGATACTTCACAAGACATACCGTCTCAGATTGTGATGAGATTATCACTTTTTCTACACAGTATGGCTATTCTTTAGCTACCACCACTGCCTCCGCGAGCGGATTCTCGCGTCTCCACAGACAGATTAAAAGCATGTCAGCTTCGAAGAACAATGTTCATAATATTACAACGTATTACGCTGCTCCATGGCAATCAATTGCAGCGGATAATCCTTCAGACATACATGTTACCATTTGTGGGCTCTCTTCTGACGGGGTCCTTGTGTGTACGACTGTCACTGAAGTTTGGGTCATTCATACGGAGTATTTGCCGGTCCATAATACCGAGGTCATTTCAGTGTCGACTGTAGTATCTTCAGTATGTAAAAAGGCGTATATGATTATAGATATGGCTAACATCCTTAGACCGGTGTGCTGGCATTTGCTCCAGACATGTATATCACAATCACGCCCGGAACTCTTATCCTCTCAACGCAGAGAGTATCTACAATTTTATCAGCAAAAAATATCACCTCAACGTCTACTATCGGAAGTATGAGCTCGGGGTCAGCAGACCTGTCATCTAGTATAGAAGATTCCACAACAACAATTTATATTACAGGTCCTACAAGTACCACGACAGTAAACTTGGGTTTGATCTCATCTCCCACTTTGATCACACAGTCGTGAGTGTAGACATTAAATGCATTTTCATAGATGTTACTGACAGCCACTGTAACCAGAAGAACACGCACCACAACCATCACTAGTACAAGAAGGATAACAACAACAACCACTTTTACACCTGTAGGTCGAATCATACAACTAATTCTTAAACCGTCAATTAATCACCATTCATAGTTTCCCACTATATCCCAAACTACTTAACTATTCAGCAGGTTCCGAATTTGGATTGGGTTGGTATTATGAGGTTCATTGGCAATTTATTGTCTGTGTAGCACAATATATTTGAAATGTTGACATTTGATACATACAAAAGCTGCTAGATTACACACCTCAAATTCATGACTTTTACCTTTATTGAGTGGCTTTTATATAGCTGACCTTTACCATGTTGATATTTTCCTTTTTTTGAGAAGAGTAGAGGAAATGTGTGTATTAGTGTTTATATAACCTTAAATATTAATTGGAATATAAGAAGTAGAATACTTCAGTTTAATTCTAGGCTCTATATATTACATAGCAAATCTAGATAAATGATTAAAAACATATTTAATAGGTATCTCTATCCAAGGTTATATATAGAATTAAGATCATAGAGCCCCAGAATGGGAAGATAATTGAGTGGATATATACTCGAGTAGTAGGTAATTAATAGGTATCTCTGTTTAGAATTATTAGTTGAGTAGGCAGATAGGTAGGCAGGGGCTGGAATTCGATTGATAGGTAGTTGATGTTTATGTGATGATGATAAATGAATGAGAAGAGGAGGGTGTTGGAAATGTGATTTTTATAATAATTATAATAGCGGTTATATATCTAGCATCTGATTATCTATATGAATAAATGCGTACCAAAATATTAATATCCTCTGAGTCGTTTAAATGTAACAAGCATCAGTGGGTAAACCTTCCATCCTCTAATTATCATTCATCTGTACCTGTCTTACAAGATGGACATAATTACTTAATGATTTAATAAAACATCACCTATATAACAATATTTGCACAACACCAAGTTACAAAAATCCCAATCACTAAAAGAATATCTCTTCTAGTCTCCTATTTCAATACCACCCAGAAAAAGATTGCCTTACCTCGAGCTCGTCTCTCAACCTACCCCTTCCTTGCAAAAGTATACCAAGCAAGTACTTTAGAAAAAGGTGTAAAAATAATAATAATGACAAAAAAAAACATACAACAGTGGGGATTCGCTGGTGGTCACCCACCCAACTACTAATCTACCGATCTGAAGCTTGTGTATGGCAGAGCGGACGGGATGCCCAATTCTCTTCAGTCTATGGTCGTATGTGGGAGGGAGATGGCGGGGTGAGTATATATTGGAGAGAGGATGAAAAGTGAAGTGAGTGGATAAAATATGGGTTAGTATAGAAAATAAACGATGTTCAGGGGTATAGAATAGGAAGAGGAGTTGTGGGGTTTAGGGGGGTTTTAAAGCTTAAAGGTGTGGTTTTTGCTTTTTGCTTATTTGGCTGAAGATGTTATGGTCGCTGGATGTATGAATGTGGGATTTTGTAGTGGTAATGTTGGGGTTGTGATTGCTATTTAATTTTCTGGGAAAATGGGGTGGTCTGAATAGGAAATATCGCTCTTTCTGTAATCACCCTCACCCAAAAAGTATTATCTGTAGCTTTGTCTAGTTCGAAAAAGTGAGCGGGTATATTAATAACAGTATGATTGCTGCTCACATGCGTTGATGAAATAAAAAAGCTTGAGATGCTACTGTTGAAAAGACACAAATCATACGATGGATGGGGTGTTTGTGTTGATTCTCTCCACTCTCAATATTTCATCCGTTTTACATTCATATTAGTACAATTTGTCATCGATTTAGTAATGATCTTAAGTCCTCTGCTTTTTCCGAGTTTCATTGCAGCCTTCAGAAAGCTCTCCTAAGCTTAGGGCTTAATATCAAGACCACACTTACGCACTTGCAGTAATCTTCTCCAGCAATAAAGAGATAAGTATTTGAGTGCGGAACACCAACATTGGCTGCCGCTCATTGAGGGATTTGGATTTAGTAGTTGAATCTTTTTCAATGCAGCAGTATATTCGGCATCAATGGACAGACTTGTGTTCTCGACCCGTTGTTCCATACTTCGGCGCCGTCAAGCTAGGCATCACTCGAGGCTTGAAAAATGGTACAGGCGAAGTCATAACCTGGAAGTATGGGCTCTTTCCAATCGAATCGATCAAGGATCACGCTGGAGACATCGGATTGATTAGTTCCAGCTGCGTGAATGCGAACTGAAGTTGTGTTGAAATCTAAAGAAACAGCGGTGGTAGGCAAATCACTGAGAAGAAGATAGAAATTCTTATATTACATGTTTCATCGTCGATTAATTTCATGACACTTGATCCAACCACTGTGGAGGAGAACATTGTATTGTTAGTAGCCTTACTTCTTTTCACCCCCTACCGCTTGTGAACTTTGATGATCTATCACAGTGGTAACATAACATCATTTCATAAACTTGATTTAATTCTTTATTTTCCTGGTAGTTGGTGCCAGTTTAGTACACCTGACTACAGGAGTATTTGAGCAAGCTGCAAAGTGCTGTATGTAAAGGGGTCAAGGAGTCAAGGGGAAAAACTGTATAGACAATGTTGGTGAACCTTGAAAGGGGGTATGAAAAAGAGCACCAGGAGATGCGCATTAGGATGTAGCTCAGAAAATTCAGAAAATTTAGAAAATGAGTTTCTGATTCTTGGATGATAACGTAATAGTAATTGAACGTACTTTTGGACCCAAAAGACATGATGTTGACTCTGCGATAAACTTCTTAGGAGAACTGTAGTTTCGTAGTTTCCTCAAACCTCAAATCGTTCAAACCTCACGCAACTATTTGATGGGTTTATCCATGGTAGCAAACAGCATTCATTGTCCTGTTTCCCTAATGTGACTATAGATATTTAGGTAATGGGAGATGGTACATTCATCCAGCCTTAAGGTCAAAGGTAGCGAACATGAGATGAGATGACTTGACTACTTGGTAAGTTAGATCTGACGTGAAAAGCTCAAACAACTAGATTGATTGCGACTCGACCCTAGGGCTTCAACCCTGTGTCCTTAAGTAGTACCTTTCATTCCATCGTTGTTGACCATGTGGATCTAAGTCTCTCTGATTCCCAGATGATTGGATTATATTATGGATGACTGTTGAATTTGTAAGATTGAAGAGTTCGTGAAAGGTGGTCTTCCGCATTCGTCACTTTTTAGCGCTGTCAATTCAGCATCGTACCCACTAAATTTCCACTTCACAGCCTTGTCGCATATTCCATCAAAAAAATAAATTTACCATCTCAATTACTTTACAACAACACATCTTCACAATCTACTCTACTTTTCCATCTCTCATACTAATAACACAGCTCTCCATAATGGATCAACTCCGTACCGTCCTTCAACCCCTAACTCACAACCTCCCTGCGCCTATCAAAGACTTGGGAGTTTCACTCATCGGAGAACAATGCTACAAAACTCTCCTGCTCGACATCGACCCATCCCATACAGAATGTCTCAAACTCGGCATTTCTAAAGGACTCGGAGTAGGAATCATTGCAGCTTCCTCTATCGTCAAGATCCCACAACTTCTCAAACTCATCTCCTCCAAATCTTCCTCCGGGATATCCTTCCTTTCCTACCTTCTCGAAACCTCCGCATACCTTATTTCACTCGCCTATAACTATCGATCAGAATTTCCTTTCAGCACATATGGCGAAACTGCTCTTATAATGGTGCAGAATGTAGTGATTGCCGTGTTAGTATTGAACTATAGTGGAAGAGCTAGCACAGCTGCTCTGTTCGTGGCAGGATTGGCTGCAAGTGCCTTTACGCTTTTCAGTGGAAATATGTTGGATATGCAACAATTAGCATACTTGCAAGCAGGAGCTGGAGTTTTGGGAGTTGCAAGCAAATTGCCCCAGATTTTGACTGTCTGGCAAGAAGGAGGAACGGGACAGTTGAGTGCTTTCGCTGTAAGTTTATTTCACTATGTTTGATTCAAGGTGAAAAATATGCTAATTTAGAATTGCTAGGTATTCAACTATCTCGCCGGTTCTCTTTCTAGAATCTTCACTACTCTTCAAGAAGTTGACGACAAACTCATTCTCTATGGATTCATCGCCGGTTTTGCTCTCAACGCTATCCTAACTCTACAAATGGTATACTACTGGAATTCTTCCAGCAAAACCAAGAGCAAGAAGAACAAGAACAAGAAATCTTCAAACACAAAGCAAAAGGAGAAGGTTTCTGTTGCAGCATCTCCTGCTGCAAGTACCACCCAATCGCAAAAGAACACAGCCAAGAGCCCTAGCACACGAAGACGTGGATAGGTCTTTTAGGTTTGGGGGATTTTTTTGTTTAATGTTTTGTTCTGACTCCTGCTCGTTGCAGTTGTAGTCCTTTTCTGTCTATTATATGGATGAATAGATAAATTAATCTAATCTAATTATCCTAAATATTGTTATTTAAACTGTTGCACAATTTTTTGTATTTGTCATTGCTAGACCCCTTATTACTCTCAAGACCCTTACCAAGTCATTCCAGGGGAAATCCCTTCAACTAGGTCCCTGCATGAAATTCAAACACCTCCTAAGCTTTGTAGAAATCTTGGCACGTCCAAGACAAAATCTAGATCTTCCTCTCCCTCACCTCAAATCAACTTATTCTCCATTCCTCATTCCACCCATCAATTCCTTTGGAGATCTCCTGTCTCTTATTCGTAAAAGAATGTCTTTGCACATGTATTCTTGCTAAGATCTTATAATAAAGTAAATATAGCTGAATACTTGAGTATCTTGATAATCATCCTAACTCTATCTTTGAGTTAGTTATAGGGTAAGTGATGAGATTTATTTGCTTGAGGAGCTTAGGGGTTTGAGGGGAAGAAAGCAAGAAGGGAGGAAATATTTGAGATGGGTGAGTCGGTGCATGAAGTTGGTTTAGAAGGATATATCATTCCCCTCACTTTTTTTCCTTTCTTTATAGCTTGCAATTTCTTACATTTTTACTATTTTTGTATTAGGTATTTTAAAATATATAAAAATCTACATATCTTTCCCTTTTTAACTATTTCTTTCATAATCTTACCGTACATGCCGATCTAATTCTCGGATTTGATGTTGCTGTAAGACTTCCAGGTTATTTTTTCAGGGGCAGGGAGGAGGAATGTCTATTGGGTAAGGAGAGGGAGAAGGAGACGGAGAGGGAAGAGGAGACGGAGAGGGAAGAGGAGACGGAGAGGGAAGAGGAGACGGAGAGGGAAGAGGAGACGGAGAGGGAAGAGGAGACGGAGAGGGAAGAGGAGACGGAGAGGGAAGAGGACAGAGTTGTGGTTGATGGAGATGAAGATGAAGATGGGTTTTGAGGGTGTATTTGGATTTGGAAGGGGAGCGGAAGGAGCAGAAAAAGTTGGATGGTATTTAATTGTGGTGGAGCAGCCAGGGGGAAAGTGCAAAGAGCCTAATATGGGCTTAGTAGATACTTTGGAGGGATCTGAGGTGGTGTTTTGGAAGGATGACTTGATGTTAATTGATATTGTGTTGTAAGAGGGGATTGAGTGAAGCAACAGCTTTTTTGCATTGATGAGGTTTTATTCATTGGACATAGGATTTATCGGGAGTGGAAGATATATAGATAGCGCAATATATGTTGGAATGATGAATTTAATTTCTCTAACCTCGACACCACTCTTGCTTTAATGATTCGGATCTTGAGGGCCTCATCGCATCTTTGGGATGAAAAGACTAGCTTGAAGAATACACCATAGATTGATATCTAACTCTGTAGAGTACCCAAAGCTACATCAGTAGTTTTGTTTGTATGTGCCCACCCTTACTTCTATTGTAGCTTCCTGGCACGTTTCGCCTGACTTCTAGCCAACTGCATACGAGGAATTGAATTCCTCGTATCCAATAATAGGAATGGTGACTACACCGACCAGATTAGAGTTTAGGCCCATCCTCGAGGCATTCCAGCCTTGGATCGTGAAGCTCAGCTCTTATATCGACGGTGAAAAATGTACCCTGTAAGGTACAAGATTGAGTCTCTGTAATGGCAATTTGCCAATACAGCTTAATATATCTTCCCATATGTTGTGCTATCTTCAGATAACCCCACTGGCAGCGAATCTCAAGATTTCTTCTTTACTTCTCACCCTACCATCTTTTCTCATAATTATCTTCTCTGGCGCCTTTTTCTTTTCGGCACTTCGATCCATTCCCCCCATAACCTCATCATCCTCGTCCCCTTCCTCATCTTCTTCATCACTCTCTTCCTCATCCTTAAGCCCCGTATTAACATTCTCAACTCCACTTTCTCTCTCTTCCGCCGTATACTCATCGCCCGCTTCATTCAATGCATATTCCCTTATCCTCGGCCCAATCCATTCCGCTGCCCATTTCCACGTTTCCTCGAGATCTCCCTGATTCGCTCCTTCCCCTGCACCATCTATTTGTAAATTTCGACCCTCTTCAACCCATGTTTCGACTTGCGGTTCTAGTTTCTTGCGTAGTAACTGTAATAGAAGGCCTTCTTGTGTGCGGCCGGGGAAATTGGTAGAAGGGAATGCGACGATTCGAGAGAGAATCTCACTATTGGCAGCCAGATGATCGATGACTGATTGGATGTTTGTGCTTAGAATAGATGAAGATGTCATTACTGAGGAACTGTATATCGATTAGTCAATATGAATGCCCAATGCAGATGCGACATGTAAGGTGAAGTACGTACTATTCAGGTAGAGGTGCGCCCCTTTGGAAACCAGTCTTTAAAGATGCGATATTAGATGTTAGATGTAAAAGGCGCTGACGAGTCTGCTCGAGAGCTTTGAGATCTTCTTGTTGAAGTGCCATGATTGTGATTTCGTATCGTTGGCGCAAGATCGATTACTGGGTTCCTTTAACCGTGATGTTGATTTTTGAGGTTCGGACTCCAGGGTCTGTTGGGCTAGATCGTAGGCTTTTAGCGCGGAACTAAGCCGCGGGGTTGATGGTGATTAGCGTACTACTGTGGGAGAATCACTAAAACAAAGCATCATTTCTTTTCGCTACACATCGTTGCCAATTACATACAGATAAAAGATATGTTATTACCATTCAACCCATCAAATGAAGCAATGCATGGATTGACATGTATTCAATTTGAGCGCAGTGCTCAACTTGTTCAATCGACTATTGCTAACTAGAAACAAAGAAGACGACTTAGAAAGAGAAAAATACATAGTGTAGGTTATTCATCCGCTTTACCTTCTTATCCAGCTCTCAGGACTTCTTCCTGTATCCAACAGGCACTCCAAAATCTCATCAAGTCAACTCGTTCGCAGTTACAGCCTCCTCACCAGTGGTTTGATTGGCTTTCTTCACAACCTCCATAGCTGTCTTCTTCATCTGCTTAAACTCTGGTACACATTGAGCCCCCACACTATTCAACCACATCTTTGTCTTAACAACACCATGCTTCCAAACATCTGCCCCTCTTGCCATTGTATGCTCAAGAAAGCCTAGAACAATAAAGGTGATCCACAGTTTTTTGGCAGTGGCATCTTTTTGAACGTTGAAGACGTCATGGGGGACCTTGAAGCCGAGAACGGGCTCGAGATCTGATAGAGAAGTCCAGGTACCATCGATTTTTTGAAGCTCGATGATTCTCGATACTCTCTGTTTTGATGTAGCGGCGGCCCAATCCTCTTCAATTCGTACTGTAAAAGAGAAATCAGAAGGGACATTCGATGTGGTGTTAGTAACAAGCGGATCTGAGTTCATGGAATCTGAAATGGGCTTGTTTCTTTTCACGAGTTCTGCCGATGGTATGGCTTCGTGGTTTCTTCTTGGTTGTTGAGCAGGAACGTCACTGAACCTTTGAAAGCTTCGCTTTAGATTACTAGGAGCCTGATTCCCTTTGACAAGTTCCTCGAGTCTGTTTATACCTGTTGTCGAGTTTACACCACTGGAAGTCTCGACAGACAGCAGAGATGAGACAATTGGATTGAATAGGCCCGACGCTTTGTGACGACTATTTTCAAAACCTTGCGAGGCTGGAAAAAGCGACCTACTCCGATCAGAACTTGATCGAAAATTATCTGCGGGTCTCGTCATCAAGTCCACTCTAGGTGGATGTCTTCTTGGTTGTTGTGAAGTTTCAGTGGCAAAGGAATCAGAGTTTGGAGACTCTCTCTTGCTGATCACGACGAAATCAAGTTCTTGAAACTCTTGTTTCTCAATATCCTCGGCGTTATTCTCAACGAAGGCTACAAACGAGCACCATCGATTAGCAACTTGAAATTGCTGTCCCAATCGTACGGCCTCTCGTTTAACAATATCATCGAACTAAGATGGATCACGATCTTTTAAAAAAGCACCATGATCCTTTTTTACATCGTACACCCAGCCCCTACCCTCCTCAAGATCTTGCATAGCCTTTCTAACTGCTAGCTGATGCATAGTTTGGCTTTCTCCCGGGAGTTTTTCGATATGAATTGATAGCTCCACGGGACCATGTACAGATGTACCCCTCAAAACAACGGCTGTAGGGTTTCGTTGGATGGTTTCCGGAGACATCAACAAGTATACCACCGTGTTGACTCCTGGGAACAAAGAAGGAATATTGTGCGGGGCTTGTAGGAGTTTTGGGGGTGTGATTTCTGATAGCTGTTGGGATGCGATGATTCAACACCTGTACGTGGTGCATCCTACGAACCTGTAATTTTTCTTACAGAGCCAAGATTGAATCAGGCTGAAGCTGGGCAAAGGTCGTGCTTTAAAAAGGAGCGGTACTGGGAGTGAAGGTATCGTGAATTTGGCCCGGAACAGAGGACTATCAGTCGAACGGAGATGAAAACTACCCGACAATCAACGAAACAACGACGGATTTCGAAGCGGAACCACCTTTACGAATCTGCAGTGGGATGCAGAGCCTGAGAATTGCTTTAAGGAGCATTTCAAAACGGACTGCCTTTACGAATCTGTGTGGGAGCAGAGCCTGAGAAGGAAAGCGTTGTGCCGGTGATTGACAGGGCACCTCTGGGGCGCTAGCGTGCAGAATTTTCACGACTCAACAATGCGTACAATCTGCGGGTATACCGGATTGGAAGTTTACAGGTGGTTAAGGGGAGTAATCGAGAATGTATAAAGGTTGTGGTAGAGTCTTATTGAGGCCAACGGAGGTATGGGTGGATTAGGGATGGAGGGACGCTTTTGGCACTTTGCTCTACGAATGTACAAGAGCGGTATTATGGCGGCAGAGGAACTCTCGAACGAGGGGGATGCTTTTAGCAAGATTCACTCTTCTGCGAAGCATTCTGCAGACATCACGGCAGCGGATGAGCTCTGGCAGAAGCTACCTTATGAGACACATATCCGATACGTTCTCAACCCTCCGCATTATCGATTACAAACTATACATTGGGGGAATGGACTTTGCAGGCTGTGCTTTGGTTAGTGAGCTGGAAACGTTGTATTTTTAGTTGCCTGGCTAGGAGTTAAGACACAGCAAAGCTTGCAAGATACGGTCGGCCTTGTTGTGCAGGAGAGATCCGGCAAGGTAACGCGAAACGGTGCACAAGCCGCGGGGCGTAGCGTATAATGGCAGCGACAGTGACACTGTCTATACGGCTCGAGAGGACGGATGCGCGTATCGGTCTACAATAGGGTACAAGGCAGCTGGCAATGGAGATACCGGGTAGGCTTAGGGAGCAAACAGGATAATAGGTGTAGAAAGGTTGTTTTTGCCTGGGGGCAACCTTCTCAAAGGATATTGAGACTGACATCTTGTATCTGGGAAAGCATGGTAAGAATTGGTTACTCTTACTTATATTTGTAGTCTCACTGGATATATTATAAAAGACTCATAGATTTGCAAATATAATATTATCACTGTCATCTCACGAAACCAGTTATGCCTCCATTGGAATGGATATAAAAAGAATGAAATCAGAGAACTGGATAGCCATCCTTAACACTAACAATTTTCATCAACCATCGTCAACATATTCAAGAAACTACCCCTGGAAGATCAGCTCAAAAATCAGAGTTCCAGGAAACATCAAAAGAAGCACAATCTGTGCCCTGTTCCAACTCAAAATTGGACACGGATACTTCAAATCTTATTTGAAACGATTCGGTATCTCCTCTAATGACAATTGTAGATGTGGGGGAAAGGAATCTCCTGATCATCTTCTGCTCAGTTGTCCTTTATATAAAATGGCAAGGAAAACCCTCAATAAGGATAACCCCATAGTCCGACCTACCATGAAATATCTGCTTCACACTAAAGCAGGAATCATCAAGACCCTCGAATTTATCGAGGCGACGAGAATAGCCACCAGATCATGGCACCTCAATAGAATGCATGAAGAAGAAGAGGAAGAAGGCGGAGAAGAAGGGGGTGGATCGGAAGATTGTGATTGAATTGATCAATTTGGTCAATTTGGTCAATCACCCCAATGTCAAATTTCATTACATTTCATTTGTTATTCCTCTTATTTGAATACGAGAGTATCTGTAAGGCGGGCTTGGTTCCCTAGTATTAGTTTTCACTTCCCCCATTCAAACATTAGAAGATTGAGGCTTTCAATCTCCCCAACCTGTATTAGCTACGGTCGAATAAGGCCAGCTACCCCCCATGTATTATTGTTAGAAGCCTACAAAGCTCCTAGCCGTCTTAGATAGTCATAGACTCAGTGTAGACGTTAATTTAATCAATCAATCAATTCTGATAGCTGTTGACGAGGTCCAGTCTTGATGACCGTATCTCCAGGTTCTTCAAAGGTAGGGTCGAACAGAGAGATTGTAGGAAGCATCGGGGGTTTTGGTTCTTCTATTTTCTCCTCATTGTTCGATAGAAGGAGCTTCATACTGTCTGTAACTCTTCCAATGATCTCGAGATCATCGTCTTCGGATTCGTATATGACCTCCATGGTGTAGTCAGTAATATGGGGGTAAAGTGCGCCGCGCAGCATTCGAATAGCACTTTCATTCATACTTTCACCCCTCTGTACAGCCTGGGGAAAGCCGTTTCCTGCTCGGGCAATCCCATTGAGCAATGCATGAGAAACACCATTTCCTATACCTAGGGGAAATACTCTGATCGCTCCCTGGCTCTTTTTCACTTCCCCGTTCAGGTATTTGAAACATTCTTCCTGATGCGAGATATTCCCGTCCGTCAGAAGTATGATCTCTAGTGGCAAGTACGTGAGTCGATTCCGGATCGTGGCGGTAAGTGCGTTTAATGTTTCGGTCGAACCGAAATTGGCTGCGAATGCACCAGCATACTTGAGAGCCTGGTCCAGATTGTCGTGTGTATATTGTTTTGACTGCGGCCATAGAAATTCACAGCCACTGCCGAAAGAGCAGAGGTTGAAATGTATTCCGGAAGGCAAAGATTTTAGAGAAACCGACATTGCTGAGCGAAGAATTGACATGCTGGAACGCATGCTTCCGCTCCTGTCAACGACGAAAACAATTTCTGGGTTATGGGCTGGCAAAGCAAATTTCGGAACCAAGGAAACCATTAATGCTCGATGATTGGAAATGGTACTATGAGTCTCGAGCACAGCATTCGGGTCACCCAAGCCCTTGACATTAATTAGGAGAACGAAGTCTTGATCCAAAGCCGCACTTTCTTGAGCTAGCGTAACTGAAGCCTTGTTACTTTCTCTCTTTTCACTTCCAGGTGACAGAGCCCCAAGTGTGATGGCGATGGGATGGGAGGGCGAGGTAAGTCCATCGATGCGCATGTTTTCCCACATTAACACATCTACTATGATCTTCATCCCTTCCTTTGTGGTCGTACCAATACTTGTCGATAAGGAACTAGACGATCCAAATCTAGGTGCAACTTTTGTCGGAATGGTTAGTTTTACCATATTTCCACCTTCCATCATCAACTCCCCAATATATTCGATTTCCACCACCACTTTCTCTCCAGCTGGGATATTACCCAACGAGGTCCAAAAAACATCACTTGCTTTACTATTTGTTCCAATAGACCTGCTATTTCCCCTCTCCTCTTAGCATCTTCAAAGATCTTTGTCGCAACCTCTCTTTTGTGAATGACTCCTAAGAGCTTTTTGCAGCCCATGGTACATGTAAACTTGACAATACTGATTCCTTCATAGAGTGGAAATTCATATCTACATGATGGGATCTTTTCCCCAGAAGGATTCTCGAATATCTGTACGAGAAAGGTACGCAAAGTTGTGGTTTTAATGGTGCTGTGTAGTTATGTCGATACAAGAGATAGATTTTCCTTATAGCTTGGTCCTTTTGTGTCGTTTGTGGTGTAAAATATACCGCAGCGTGCCATTTTGATGGGTTTGGTTTTCTTGGGCGGTGCAGTTTGATTTTGAATTTTATGTGGAGTTTTTGATTGTTTTTGTTTTTGGGTTTGTTGATGGGAGATTTCTGGGGATGAATTGGAGAGATGGGGAGATCTCTTTTATTTATGAGTAGAATGCAAAAAGAGAGCTGAGTAGACTCAGGGTTTTTAAAAACATTCACTGATAGAAAGGATTATTTGTTCTGAGTGTGGTATTTATTGAAATATCTTTGAATTCTTTACCTATTTTTCCTGTGTCTCCTAGTCATTAATAAGTAATACAGTATATTATTTTTTCTACAATCTTGGCGGGGATTTAATTCTTTTTCGTAGTCTTCCTGTTGCTTTCCACTTCATCAACGAGACGAGATCTTTCAATATCAGTATTGTCACTTTACATTTTGATATCAAGAGGTCGAGAAAAACCAATCATGAGGTACACTAATCACTTCAATATTAGAGTCTCACAGCACAATGGATCGAGTTTTCAATTATTTACTTACTCTGTTTTAACAAATTCTTTGATGTATGCTGCCTCATGACTCACTTTTTGTGTGAACGAAGTGAATGACTTCAATTCAATTACTACTGTAATAAAGAACTAAGCGAACGCGAAAGAGACTAGCTCTTTTAGTAAGTCTATATAAGACTTACTACTTTCAATATGTAGCTAGCTCTTTAGACAGAATACAATTAGACATACAGGACCTACGTAATCCGTGGGTGCTACGTCTTCCGTATCCTTCTCGTACCAACACTTTTATTCTTCCTAAACCCGAAGTACACCAGATTTTTTAGTGTTCATGTCATTACCCAAAATGTCCTCATTAGTTCATGGTACTAATTTAATTTTGATGTATCAGGACTGCATTACCTATCTCCAGGATTTTAATTTCTCTTCACTGACTTCATTATTATGCGTTTGTTCTGAATTCTTTCCATATTAAACTATCGTTTATTTCCTCGTATCAAGCTCCACAAAATTTCAAGGTCATGGGCACTATTGATATGGGAGTTCTAGGTTTTTGAGATGATATACTCAAGGTATTTGACAAAGTTGCTCGTACTCGAAGTTAGAGCTTGGTTGTTATTGACTTCTGCTTCAATTTTTTCTCCATCCCCACCATCCTCAGGTCGCAAGTTCTAGAAACCAGATCTGTTGGCTGCTAGACTATTGTGGCCATAATTAGATAATTGAAAATTGACTCATGCTAGCTTGCAATATGGATTTCTTGTCTGTCAAAGCTTCTTACTGAATATGCTTGCGCATTTGCCGAGTCTCGTACGATGAGTTAATGTATTTGGCGGTAAGGAGTACAACCATTTCACTACCGAGAAGGAGAAGAAATTTTGTCTAGGAGTCAAGCCCTTCAGAGGTTGGATCCGGAAAGATCCAGTGAGGAAATATCTCTAACGGAGTTTTAGGAGCGGGATAGAAGAACGAGAATCCATATGAAGATATAACGAAGAAGATTTTCCGGAAGGCAGTGTAAGTAAATTGCTTTATGGTTGATAATTATTACAGCGATGAAAACTACTGCAGAGGATTGATTGAACAGATGTTTGTTATGGCGAATATGTAGAGATAAAAGGATGAGTGTATGTATGTGAAGAAGAGTCAATTCGAGAATCCCTCAGCAGTGAGTTTTATGACCGGGTTGGCACCATCAGAGGAGAGTAGAACTTTCAACAAGACTCGAGAATTCTTGGTTTCTACGATAAAAAATTCGAGGTTGGGAAGTAGGTAGTTTAGGTACATCATGATTGATAGCATGTGGTGGTTCAAGAGGGGCATTGAAGTTCTGAAGAGAAGCAAAGACAAGAATCACAAGCTATAACACAGTCGAACGTGTTTGGAAAACGATGCATATTCATTGAGTTTGGTAGTGAATCTATACTATGTCGTGGGAGCTCCAATTTTTGGAAGCTGGAAGATCGATCTGTGTGATGGCCTGCAAGTGCCAGCCTCAACAGTTTCGTATTGTTCTTCTACTAGTTCTATGTCCTTCTCGGACGCGATTGTGGTGACTCGCCGAACTATGCTGAAGATGTAATTGTTGGAGGGTTATCATTTGGTAGCTTGCGTTTGCCTAGGGTAGGTCTGGACCAGTCAGTTGCAAATTTCCCAACGCTGCTTCATTTTATTTTAGGCATGGCAGCATCTCGCCCATCCCTTCGTTAACTACCGGACGGTTTGCTAGGCCTAAATTTAGGTACACTTCACAAGCTTTCGATATAATTGCTTAATTTCTTGGTATACTGAAGATGAATGCTAAATTCTCAATTTCATTCCAAGGAGATTCCTTTCCGAGGGAAAAACATCCGCGGAATATTCTGGAAAAATTGCAACATAATTGCAATTGTTCAAGGAATGAGAGTTCCTGGCCGAGAACGATGGCGATGTTACAATTACCATTACCATTACCACAATTGATTGCGACTTAAAGAATGACTTCCAAGTACTTTCGTGTTGTGGCGCTGTGAAGATTTTCAAGATGCATTTTTCTTCACGAAGCTGTGATATGTGGGTTAGGTATGTCTTAATTCTATAGTTTTCATGATTTGTCTGTAGCGAGACAAGTACATTCCTCAATCACAACACACATTCTCCTCTTAGAAACATCTTGGCAGTTATGCTACATGTATCGAAAAAAAACATTTCAGCAAAGGAATATACCGAATTCTTAGTATCTGAGCCAATAGCATCTCTAACTTAAGACAATTCACCATCGAGCACAATATTGACTAGATTGTTTGGGTTCCACATTCCCATATTTGATGTCCCTCCCATAGCGAAGATTCATTCCTCACAGTTTAAGTTCCCGAAAATGAGGCTCCAACATTACCACAACATAGATGATCTCGAATATAAAATCACGATGCAATTCCGTCGTTTCTTCTCTCATCGTACACCAGGAACCAACTTGTATACACTCTTTCTTCCAAACAATAAATAGTCCTTTAGACATACCACATTCACTTACTTTAAATTAAAGTTTATCATCATGAAGGCTCAAGTTGTTCTTCAAATTCTCTTGGCTACGGCCCACCTCGCTGTTGCTCAAGGAGGCGGTAATGGAGGTAATGGTAATGGCAACGGCCAAGGCAATGGTAACGGTCAAGGCAATGGTAACGGTCAAGGCAATGGTAACGGTCAAGGCAATGGTAACGGTCAAGGCAATGGTCAAGGTAACGGACAAGGTCAAGGTCAAGGCCAAGCTCAAGGAGGCTAGTATTTTTAGTAGCACTTACAACCAGAAATACTAACTTCTTCAGGCTATTACCCACCACCAGCAAAGGAGACTTTGATTTCCACAGCTAGTGGATCATCAAGCGTCGGTCAAGTTCAATCTTCAAACTGCCAATGTTACCCATGGGGTGATGGAGCAGCAGGTCTAGATGCCAGTACCTTACGTAAGAGATCCGATTCCTGTTCTCCATCCACTCTAGGACTTTGACTAATATATGGACTTTCAGAGTTGCAAGGTGCCACTACAAACGCAGACTCTAGCTTCCTTCATATCATTGACACCACTCCCCCCAAGAGACCATGGAAGAGACAACGTGGTGGAGATGGCGACAATGACCGAGGAAACGGCGGGCGGAAGCCAAAGACAAGCACATCAGCACCAGCAGCAGCTTCAGCCTCAGTAGATGCCACTCAAGTTGGTATCAACGCAGTTGGTGGTGCTAGCTCCTGGTCAGGCCCATATGGCTCTGGCGCCTATGGTGGCCCAGCCATTGGTGCCAACTACCAAGATATTGATGGAAGCTGCGTGTGCCCTCCAGGTCAAAAGCCTTACCCCAAGCCAAAGGGTGATGCCGAGTCTAGCCCTACCCCTATCGCTCCAACTCCAGAAGCAACTGGAGGTGCTGGAGGACGCCCTGGAAGTAACAACGGTGGTAACAGTGGAAACAACGGTAATGGCAATGGCAATGGCAATGGAAACGGAAATGGCAACGTAAGATATCCAGTTCTTTGAGAATAAAAATCTCCGTCGATTTCTACCTGACTTTGAGGCCTCACCTACTATTTTCTCACAATACCTTTTTCACTGGGCAACTACTAACTATCATGCTATAGGGTAACGAGAATGGTAACGAGAACGAGAATGAAAATGAGAACGAAAATGAGAACGAGAACGAGAATGTAAGGAGATCTCTGATCTTGCACTTCCTGCCCTCCACTGTTTGATTTCTTTGTTTCTAAGAATGTTACTAATTCTCTTGCACCAGACCAACGTCAACCAGAACTCCAACACCAATGTTAATGTCAATGACAATACCAACGCCAACATTGTAAGTAGACAGGACTCCTGCTCCACCTCTTTTATCGTCCATCTTGAACAAGTACTGATTGCACAATATGAATAGAACAAGAACTTGGGTTTCAACCTCAACAGTCTCACCAACAACAACGGCTGGGGACCATGGTACGGAGGAAGCAAGGCTGCTGCAGTCGCCGCTGACCCAGCCGGAACTGCCCTTCCCGCCACCAGCCCCGCTGCTACCGATGCCACCTCCCCTGACACCTTCGTCCCCCAGGCCTCCACTGGCGATGCCTCCGGAGTTGAACAATTCACCGGTGCAGGAAGCAGCATTGCCATCTCCGCATGGGGATTCCTCGCTGCCGTTTTCGCCATCGCAAACGTCTTGTAGATTGAGTATCAGTATACTTGATCCATTTCTTCCATTTCTCTCTGAGAATGCACTAGGCCTTCTTTCTTTTCTTCTGGATATCGCGGGTTTGTGTGTTTGTTTGGGGTTTATTTCAATTCATTGGCAATACATCTTTAGGGTTGTGTTTGCATATCATATTGGAGGATGAGTAGACGAGGCATTTTTTGTGATTTTAATCTTTTAATGAAAAGCTGTTATTGTTTAACTACTTTGATACCCGTGCTTCTACCTGGTGACTATATGATTCTTCATTGCATTTGAAACGAGTTTCTTGACTCTGAACCAATTCAATGACTGCATTTACTGAATCTTTCAGTGCTCGTCATTTGACTTCATATTTTGGTAATATGATCAAGTTTTGTGCAGCTTATTTGCGATACAAATCCGTATGTGTATTATTACTCCAAAAAATAGACACGGCCACGTATGAATCTCGGTAGTCACAGGCATTGACAAATCTAGTCTGTGATATTTAGCTATTTAAAAAAGCATAGACCAAGCGGTGAGGTTGTGAGCAGAAAGTCTATCACGAATAGAAGTAGATGTACTTTTCATAAGGAAATATCACTTCAATGAATGATTCATATTTAGACATGACTAAAATCTCGCAAGTAAATACACAATAAAATCAAGACAGTACAATTGCCGATCTTCATCCATCTACTCCCTCATACCAACTACTACATCCTCGAACCAACAAACCACCCAACCGAATCATTAGGACTATGATAACGATCTATCCTTTTTCCTTCATTAGCATCCACATCTTCCAACCACATCCTCAATCTCCTCGCCCTCGTTCCCTTCATCTTCTCCCCAAATTCCCCTAACTGTGTTCCTTTAGGTGCACCATAATATCTACCCTTCCTATTAGGGTGTCGCATTCTCTCAGTAGCTCTATGGTACAATCCCTCCTCATCAAGATTCCTCCAAGCATTCGATCCATTCCACTGCGCCAACTCTCTAGGTAAAAGTCTCCTGTACACTTTCTCCGAGAAATGTAACCACGGCGAGCCATTCCTCCGCTGCCGTGAGTTATCCACCCAAGGGAAGGTCTTCCCCTCCTTATACATACGATGACCGAACATTATCTTCACCCTCGGCTTATACTGCGGGTCACCAAAGACATTTGAGAAATACCCGCGGTACAAATCAATCACAATGACCATTGCTTGCCTCCACATCAAGAAATCATATGAACCGAATCCCATGGTCTCCATAGCCTTCAGAGGATAAAGCATCCCGACATCATGACCAAGTGCCTGACCTAGAGCACTCGTGCACACCCAAATCTGACTTGACCTCTTTCTTTCCGCCGGCAAATCAAGGATTTCAGATTGTCCACCTGATTGTCCGGCTCTACATTTCCAATCGGCGAGTTCTAACCATGTTCCATGGCATGTAGGATCCACGCGGGAAATCACATTCATAATATTTCCTATTCGGTGATGTTTGTCGGGATGATCCATTTGATCAAAGTACTCTATCGTGGCTGCCCTGGGCGTTATTACCATCAAGGCACTCTCTGGTTTGACATCGAGGTTCTTAGGAGATGATGTAATATGAATGAACAAGTGAGTGAGGGCAGTAATTCGTTGAGGCGGCAGACGTGCTGTTGTCCTTATGTATTCCGCTCTCTCTTCTATATAAGCTTCAGTAGGAGGATCGGTGGGCGGATTCCAGAAATCGTGGGGAAGATAAGCCATGGTTGGATAATCCTCGCGACGATTCCGAACTGGTGAGTGACTATTCACAAATAGGCATATTTGACGAATATAGGCATCTGTTACTTTAAGAATGCTCGCACCGATTGCATCAGTGTATTCAGTATTGTCTTTCGAACCCGAAATTGGCCCGCACCAGCGTCGAAAGTTTTGAAGATCTTGTACAGCCAATGGTTTATATGGAAGGAGATTGGTATCTTTTGGATCTCCCGGAGGTGCTTCTGGTGTCCCATCATCCTCAATTTTTGACTCGAGAAGTTTTAGAGCTTCGCTGTTTGGCTCCGCATATGTTTGTCTATGACCTTGGATAATGAATTCCCGGTCTTTAATTGTTAAGATAGGTCTAGCTGGGTCTATGACTTGCTCTGTCATTTTTACTTGAGTGTGCGATATAAAATCATGAATTTCAGGAGATGAAGCGTAGGAACAAGAGTTGAGTAAGTTTTCACCATTAGAGTACTTTGAGTTTCAAATACGGAAAGACAAGATTTGGACGTGAAGTCTTTGTTATCATGCCCTAATCTTTCATGAAGGGATTCAAATCATTGTTGATGATAAAGACCATGCCGGAATTGGATCATTCTCTGGTATGCCTTTGTAATATTTGTATAACAAGAAAGAACTGCGATGCTTTTGTGCGACTCACACAGGTGCGACAAATAAGCAACTACAACTAATCGAATCAGCACTAGTAATGAACATGAAAATTTAGCTAGGAAAATGAGGAGTGTGAATATTTCAAGGAGGACTTCAGAATTTGGTAATGGAAATTGTAGAACAATTGAGAATTTGACGATCCAATCAGTGGTGATTGAAAATGAGGAAAAGCTTCGTACACTCATGAAATATGATAGAACAGTTGCAAATATGCAATAATGAATAGGTATATCACTTGGTCAACGATTATTGGAAAGCTTTCCCAGTGAATATTATTTTCTGACAGTCGATCAACAACGCCCTTTCAATCAGCTTGAGGGAAAGCTGCGGCTATTCATAAGAGTGACAGGAAGTCATTAAAGTATCAAAATAAAGTTTTCAGACCATATAAAGTCATATAAATAGAGGATCAAGGACCCCAAAGCCCGAGGACTATTCCTTTCGTGGTAGTGGCGAGTTAAGTACCAATTTTTGATGTGACCAGTTTGACCGTTATAAAAATTGAAGTACTTAGCTCTGATACTTTGAGCTTCCAATGAGGTTATATGCTAATTTCGGAGAAGTCATTCATTTCTTCGAGATGTTGTGTGGACGGTGGATGTTAGGCGATGACGACCGTAGTGAATTGTATTGTTGATTCTCAACTTCTGGTGGGCTACCTACCAATGAGGAATGGTACAAGTTAGTAACCAGTCCTATGGTAAAAAGATGACTTGTGTAGTGGGATCAGCACTTGGCTTCTCTGCACTCGAAACTAGGGTACACCAGGTTCGGAAAGGAGTTTATCAGCCTAACCATAATATCTCTTCATAGCCTCTGACATGAGTTAGCTGAATAATCTAATCGAATTAGATAATTATCCTACTATATCTATTTAGGGGCAATTATTTGTACTCAAATCAAAAATACAGCTCTGTGTGACCAAAAGGGTGTTTATAGACCAGCAATTGTATTTAACTTAGAATCTACAGGTGAAGAGCACCTGTAGATGGGGATAGCTACTCTATATATACATAAATGAATGGCCTAGCCGGAATGGCTAGGCAAAAAGAAGTCATATTTATCCCTTCAATGATCTTACTTTACCGATAACCATTGATACCTAGTACTTGTCCGGATCTGATCATCAGGCTACCTAAATCGTATACTAATCCCGAGTAATCGTATCATGTGTGGACATGGTTAATGTACCTGAGGTTTCTTGTATAATAAGGATGGGAGGAAAGCAGGGGTTTCCGTCACATATATATATATTAATAAAGTCTTAAATAAAAGAATTTCAAGTTAATTTGGAAAAAACTTCAAAAGTTTCAAATTAATATTGAAGATTACAAATTAATGAAAATGATTTTAATAATAATTACAAAATAAATTTACAAAAGGATTATATTGAAACAGAATAATTATGAAGATATTCAAATTAAAATATGTATAATAATATTCTTTGAGGTAATTCAAAAGAGGGATAGATCCGAAAGTGGGGTACTCGACTTACTCCCTTCTACTTTGAAGGAAGATCTTACTAAGTTTGGTGCTGTGGAGTTCGTGAGATCTTTGGTTTGTGTGATTTTTTTTTTCGCACTTTTAAGTGATTGGTTTTGTGTTCAGAGATAGGATAATTGTCTTCTGGATTTTGAAAGTCTGATTGTCTGACATGCAATTCTTGCTTAATCCAGGTGAATTAATCACTCGGATAAAATAGAACATTGCTCCTCTTTTGAAACATTGATTCCATCTCAAAGATCAAACTCACTTCGAATGTTAAAAGTTCGCATCTACTCTATTCTGCTCGTGCGGAATCTTTGATGATTCACCTCTCCCCAATTCATATCTCCAAAAATTGATTGTACACAACTGAAAGTTGTGGGAATCAATATTATGATCACTCCATCGAAACCTATATTGAATTACGATAAACATAACTTCAATGTATAGACGGAGAGAATTTTATGGGATTCTTCAAATTCCAACATTCCTGATGACTCGGTAAAACGAGTGATGTAGAATTCAATATTGTACATTCCAACGCGTGTCCAAAAATGTAACATGCCGCACACGCCTTATACTACATGGTGCGTCTACTCTCATAACTGCCGTCTCTATTGGTGTCAAGTTGACGAGATAATTTTGATAGCAAGGTCAACATTATGAAACTATGAAACTTTCACAAACAAGTGCCAAGTGTGAAGTCCAACATGATATCTATATCATCAAACTCGTGGCCTTTGGATTCGCTACCGGATGTAGTCAAGAAAGGAGTTGACGAATTACATGAACTCGCAAATCCCCCTATTCAGGATGTGAGTCATACCGAGCCTTGCTCGAATCCAGTCACGTGATAAAGCTTTCTGATACTTAATGCAACATGGTGCTTACTTTTCTCCCATCAATTTTGTCCCTCTTCTCTCTCCTCTTCTATTTATCTGGTTCGATACCCTACCAATCAGCATGGTACAGTACCGGAGTCTCGTCCCGATCATACCACACACGGCTGAATTTAATCGACGACGAGTAGGACTGTCACCACGAGCGAGACGGCTTCAAGATGGCTTCAGAACGGCTTTGATCGGCTTCCATGCCTCAAGCCTTTGCCCATATCATTCGTTGTCTCGTGCTGTATAGCAGTCCACCATTGACGAGAACCTAGAAAAGTGCATTATCAACGTGGTAAGCTTGACACCTGCCTATTTGAATCATGTATCCTGATAATCTATCCAAGAATTTTATTTGATAAGGTGATTTTGGATACGATGCCGATCTGAAGCCATTCGTGATAGTCCGTGAGCTTTTCTCCAATGGTTTCTGCTAAATTACCAACTGTTTAGAGCAGAGTCTCGGTTAAATTGCGGGTTCATGATAGTTTTTACTCCACTAAATCGCAAGTGTCAATGTCGTATCTTAGCTTACATGTCTGCATGTAACTCCAGCACGTTTGGTTGCAGCGTCGATATCTTGTGATAGTTTCTCGGAATTTGGCGATACTCAAATCTGCATATTGTCGTGATAAGGAGCAAAGTTATTGGTGTCGGTAAAGTAGACATTATATGTTTCCTGCCAAGTTGCAGGGAACAAGTGCTCGTTCAGGAAGTCGTCAAGCAATATCGTACAGTAGCTTTTACGCTAAGCCTTTTTCCCTTGGCTCCTTATCTGTCAACATGGTCCACCATTTGTTGAATACGGGGATGCAAGGAGAGCTGTATCTATCGTATCCATCGAGAATCGAAGATTCGTCGGGCACGCTGCCGTTCTGGAGCCGTCCGCTTGCTTTTGGGAAAGATATCAACCACAAAATATTGATCCAGGTCCCTGACCGCGGTTGCACGACATGTAATCAGATGTAAATGGTTGCAACCACTTAAAATAGTCCCTGCAAGACAAAATGCAAGGCAAAAACCTTGGGATGATAGATAAGGCCCGTGGGTTTAACGCGGAACGCGGGGTATATAAGAACGTACCACAACAGCCAGCATTTTTAAAAATTACTGGAGTAAAGCGTTACTTCAAATTATCTTCTTTTGCCTGCACAATTGTGCTCGATAATGGATACCATAGATGTGCATCGAGAACGGGGGGATTCTACATCTCAAAACTCCATAGAATCCCCTATCTCCGAAAAGAAGACTGCGGATATTGAGATCGAAGCTGTCGACTCAAACGATTTTCAGGATATTCCCAGTGAGAAAATCATCGTACCTGGAGAAGACGATGTCGTCATCGACCCTCGTCTGAAAGATTATCCTATTCCTTTGCTGGCGAAGACTGTTGACCTGCACAATGACCCGACGTAAGTGCATGCCGAAACAACTCCGTCCCAAAATTTATGCCGATTCTTATGTCTTAATGCAGTGAACCAATCCTCACGTTCCGATTTTGGTTTTGTTCTACTTTTTGGGTGGTTATTGGATGTGGAGTTTCTTCATTCTACTACTTTAAGCCATATTCCATGAACCTTACGAGTTATGCCGTGCAACTCTTGTCTTGGGGTATGGGTACGGGCATGGCCGCTTACTTGCCAAAGCGAGTCTTCAATACCTTTGGTTTCAAATGGAGTCTTAACCCAGGGCCATGGAATGCAAAGGAACACGCTCTCATTGTGGTAGCTTATTGGGGTAGTGTAAGGGTATTCTATGGCTCTTCCCTATTACTTTTACTGATCATATAATAAGTGCTACACTGCGTACGGTCTCGGTCCACTCTCTGCGATGGAATTATACTATGGTCGCAAGATAAATGCTGGTTGGGGAATTCTATTCCTCATCACGACCCAAATGATAGGTTATGGATTTGCAGGACTCTTTCGGGATATCCTCGTTCGACCTCCTAACATCTACTATCCGGGAGTTTTACCAAACGTGTCTCTGTTCAATGCCATGCACAAGAATCCGGCTGTCACGAAGAAATCCCTTAAATTCTTCACTATTGTTGCGTGTTGCGCATTCTGTTATGAATGGTTTCCTTCAGTTATCTTTCCACTTTTGAGCTCAATTCCATTGATTTGCTACTTTGGCCACGGTAATTGGAAGGCATATGTGATGGGGTCTGGATATAATGGCTTTGTATGCTCCCGTGACTTCGATGACAATTACCACATACTAATGAATATTCCAGGGATTTCTCGATATCAGCTTGGATTGGAACTACGTCTCCTTTTTCTCACCTCTTTATACACCGCTCTGGGCAAATGCGAATCAATTCATGGGTGCAATTCTAGCATGCTGGATGATTTACCCTCTTTTGTACTTCACCAACAGCCTCAACGCGTTGAACTTCGCCCCTATGGGCTCTGGTACGTGGGATGACACTGGCGCCAAGTACAATATTTCCCGGATACTCAAACCAGATTTCACGCTGGATCACGAAGCAATGGATGCTTATTCTACACCCTATTGGTCTGCATCTTATGCTCTTCAATTTTTCTTTGGGTTTGCTGCATCTACTGGAGCCATGGTATACTCAGTGCTGTGGTATGGTAAACCAGCTTACCAGGGAATGAAAGATGCTTTTAGAAATAGAAGGAGTAATTATAATGATCCTTACCTTAAGCTGATGGAAATACACCCTCGCGTCCCACATTGGTGGTATGCAATTTTGTTGCTCATCTGCTCTGGACTTGCCATCGGTCAACTCTATGGAGGTGAAATGCAACTTCCTTGGTGGTAAGTGTATCCCCTCTCAGAACCATCTGTCACCCGCTAACTGACTGATGTAGGGGCTTTATAGTTATTGCAGTTATCTCATGTATATTCACATTTCCAAATGGAGTCCTTTGGGGCATCGCAAATATGCAAGTCGGAATGCAATATCTATCCGAGGTGATAGCTGGAGCTCTTTTCCCGGGCAAACCTCTGGCTGTTCTTACGTGTATGGTCTACGGCCGACAGATCCTGGAGCAGAATCTCAACTTGATCTCTGATTACAAGTTTGGTTTCTATATGAAGATCCCAGAAACGGAGATGTTTATAGGCCAGATGTATGGTACACTTTTGGGCCCTTTCATCAACTACGGAATGATGAGTGAGTCCTCTTCCATTTTATCCAACGTTACTGTGACTAACTGACCACCCAGGATTCATCATTGACTCCGAAGGCCCAAAATTAACTGGCGCCGTTGCCTCGCAAGCCTGGAATGCCGTTAAGACCCGCAATTACTATTCCCTTTCTGTAATTTGGGGAGTTCTTGGCCCTAAGATCTTCTTCGGGCACGATTCCATATACAAATGGATTTGCTATGGATTTTTCCTTGGTCCCATACTTGTCATCTTGACCTATATCGTCCATAAATGGAAACCTCATTGGAAGATCGAGGAAAGATGCAATCCTACATTGATTTGCTACGGTGCTACTTTCTTCCCGGTATACCAGACAACGAATTTGTTTACTAGTGCTGCTTTCTCTGTATTTTTGTAAGTGCTTATTTCCCATTTTCTTCATTCTCTCCTCTTTACGAAATATTCCATATTGTGTTTCAAAGCTAACATTCAAACAGCATGGGTTACGTCTATCGCTACCATCCTGTTTGGTTCCGAAAGTACAATTACCTCCTTGGAGTCGGCCTCGATTGCGGTACTCAACTCATGCAAACGGTCATGGTATTTGGTCTCAATCTCCCCAATGCCACGTTTCCAAATTGGTGGGGAAATAATGCAGTGGCTGTCGATAGATGTTTTGCGCCGGGGACTCTACCTCCAAATGCTTTGAACTGAGTACAGATTAGATGATAGATTGTCGGGATTAAGTAAGACTGTGGAGAATAGAGCTAGAATTATTGTGAATGTATTTTGATTGCCTGTGTCCACTCTATTCTTTTCCCACCACTGCAGAAATCCAAAGCATACCCCATAATGACGTTAGTAATGTAAGCACCCATATCCTAATCACCAATCAAAATCCGCGACGCTTACTCACATACGCGCATGTAAACGTCTTCTTTCAACGTGAAGTAATCTCGATAAGATGGCACTTTTGTGCACAGGAGCTCTTTTACACGAGGTCTCATATCCTCATTTCACATCGGTGTGGTCAAATAGTGTCATGAAATCTCAGCAAGGATTTTAATGAATAGAGGGGTATACATCCATGCGGACTTTCGAGGGTTACGATTAGTCGCAAATCGCATCATTTTCAATAGAGTTAACGAAAGCTACCAAAAGGAGAGGTGACAGCGGGGATCTGGGGCCAACCAATGGTCCGTGTACAGTAAATTCCTTCTAGAAGCCAACTGTTGTGCAGCTGAATTACCTAATTTTGTGCGATGGAAAGTGTGCAACTTGCCACACTGAGACTTGAGGGAATGAATAACCTGATTCATGATCTTCTCCTTAATCTCCTGCCTCTTTCGTAATGTACCACTCTTGTTTGCACGAGCAACCTAAAGAATACTTATCTTTTGCCCCTCGTTTGCTGATGCCCGATCCGAAGTCTCGGGACGACTGAAGGAATATCAATATTGTAACCTCGACATGAAATATCCAGTAATCTACTAATCGATAGGCTCGATGAGCTTACGTTCGGAAACAAACCAATCATCTTTGTCCATTTCAAAAATTCACAATGTAATACGCCAAGTTTTCAACATAAGCTCGGATAGATTAGAAGATACTTAGAGGAGATGTTGGAAGTTGAGATATGATAATTGGGGAATCCCCAGAATCTATCAATCCAATCAACCAACAATTTAGACGAGTCACGAACGTGTAAAATTCCCAAATTTGGAAAGTTCTTATCAATTCTTCATATTGACCTGCTTAATCTGGATAGTCACCTATCACACAGCTGGGCATTCGGCAGGGTGTAACCGAAAACGTCTGACTAGTCTAGCTCAACCGAGTCGATCAGATCTCAGTCTGATGCTTATTTAGGTAAATTAGACAATTTCTTTTCTACTTTACTTTTCGGCGGGCTAATTTTCCATGGCCACGTTGTGTAGCTTCAACTTACTGTGGCTACTTACCATGTATGTGAAGTACCGCAGTATTCATTGGTACTTTTTTTCTATAGAAAAAAAAAAGTTCCATTTTTCGAGCGATAAAGTCACGAAAAATGTTAGAATGTGTTGATGGCAGATGTTTCGACAAGCAATCCTGGGCAAGATATTCACGGATAAATTCCAAAATTAAGCGCCACCCTTTCCAACCTAATCCACATTCACTCTCAAGTATCAAATCTAATTCTCGATCCGGACGGACACGCCGTGGGGAGATAAGATGTCTGTGATCGTCGGTCGTGCCCTCGCTAAATCTTTCCAAAAAAAAATTGTTCCTGGGACTAGATATCCTCTTCATTGTTATCCCACCTATCATCCACGATTGAAGTCAGTCCCTCCCCCTCTGACTTCAATCCCCACCAAACAAATTATCCATGGAATCTCAAAGCTTATTCTTTTTACTAGCGGATCATAGCTCGAGATTTTACTTTAGATAACCCTGTCCTGTATGGTATCCGTGCCCAGTGATAGCGTAAGGTTTAGGGCCATATCATTTCCGTTAGTCCCTCCGAAAACACAAGCTTTAATGTAAGCTTCACGCGATCAGCTGGGATTTTAGCGAAGGCGTGCGATAAAGTTACTATCACACAAGGGCCTATTCACCTTATCGTGCTCGTGAGAGATAATCATGTTTGTATCCCGCGATACCAGGGCTTGTTGCACCATCGAACAAGTATGGGCCTTATCAGGGGTCTGGGAAGACCTCCAATATATGAGAGGAAGTACATCTACCTTGGGACGCCCTGCGTATCCTCGATTGTGCTGCTTTCAGCTTGCGAACAAGTCTTGATTTTTACCAGACTAAAGTCGGCAATAGTCAATTCGACAAGATGCCAGTCGCCGATACCGATATCTCAGCCGTTGGGGCGCTGAACCCTGTTGAGGGCCAAGTCGTTGCCGTACCCACACACCAGGAAATTGACGAGAAACTTCGCATCTCGGCCGATAATCGAGAGGTCTCTAAAGATCCGCTAGATATTGAGATGAAAGAGTTGTCTGATAACGGTAGAGATGACAAGAGTGACGATATCATTATTGTTACCGGTGCGGATGCAGCTGCGCACTTGTTGCCTATGAGAGATGATGGAGAGCCTGCTTTAAGTTTCCGTAGCATTGTGCTAGCTACTGTGCTTTCAGGGTTTCAAGCAGTCATGTACCAGATTTATTCGGTGGGTCATGATTGATATCTGCTTGGATCAACAGAAGCTAATATTTAAACCTAGTTCAAACCAACCTCCCAAGGTGTCATCCAAGGTACTTTCATCGTTCTTATTGCCTACTTCTTAGGTAAGGCATGGGCAAATGTATTTCCCCGCGGCGACAAACTTGAAGCTCGATGGAGAGAAAGAGGTGGACAGGGTAAACCGCCAATGTATATTCGCATTGTCTCATTCTTCAACTATGGACCATGGAATCTTAAAGAACACGCTATTTGCGCCATCACCGCTACATCGGCCTCCAATGCCGCCGAAACCATCACAGTTTTTGCGGCTCAAGATCTCTTTTATGGCATACCTCTCAGCGCTACCACCGTCATCTTAGCAGTAATTTCCATCGGTCTCTTTGGATACGGTCTTTGCGGCATGCTTCGCCCCATCATGGTTTGGCATCCAGAATCCGTATACTGGAGTACATTACCCACAGTGAAAACCCTACAAGGACTTCACTGGCAAGATTTGAAACATTCCAAACCTCTCAGATACTTCTGGTATGCGTTTGCAAGCATGTCCGCCTACGAGTTCCTTCCAGCTTATATTTTCCCATGGTTGAATTCTGTTTCCATTCCTTGTCTGGCTGCTATGAATGCCACAGGTAGCAAAGCAAGTACACTTACCAATATATTTGGAGGTGCGACGAATAATGAAGGCCTGGGACTCTTCTCGCTTTCGTTTGATTGGCAATATGTAAGTCAAATACGCGGGTGCATTTTGTTTGAAATGAGGAAAGGAGAAGAACTAACTGTTGTGAACCCGTAGATTACATCTTTCAACACTTCCCTTCCACTTAAGACACAAGCCCATAGTGTTGCAGGATACATCGTCTGTTTCGCCGCCATGCTCGGTATCTACTATACCAATGCATGGGATTCAAAAGCGCAACCCTTCATGTCAACACAACTTCGCTCCGAAAATGGCTCGAGATATCCAACTGGACAAGTCTTCTCCGATGGTATACTAAATCAGACGGCTTTGGAAGAATATGGTAATCCTAGTCTGACTGGAAGTTTTGCCTATGCTATGTTCATGGCAAATGCTGCTGTAAGTATCTCAAGCTACCACCATCATCCACAAATCCAGGAATATTGACTTTGAAAATTTTAGATCGGTGCTCTAATCACTCATTGTTTTGTGTTCTGGGGTGGGGATGTCGTCCGGGCATTCAAAAGCGCAAAGGCAGGAACATACGAAGATCCACATCATGCGCACATGGCCAAACACTACAAAGAGGCTCCTTGGTGGTGGTATATTGGGATCTTGATCCTCAGCTTTGTTCTCGGTCTTGTGGTCGTTATCAAGGAGAATATCACTCTTCCCGTTTGGGCGTATATTGTTGCATTACTGCTGGGATGTTTCATTGCTCCTTTGGTATGTGTCCTTCGAGGTGTTTTGTGGAATTTGAGAATCTAACATCAAACCAGAGTAATCTTCTATATGCTCGCTATGGAAATGGTATCGCCACAAATAACCTAAGTAAGATGTTGGCAGGTCTAATGCTTCCTGGACGCCCTGTCGGTAACATGTACTTTGCTGCTTGGTCGCATAATGTCATCGCCAACACTGTCAATCTTTCGAATGATCTCAAGTTGGGCGAATACCGTACGTAGCCATTACCCTTCCGACATTTATCCATGAACTAACCAATAATCTAGTCAAAATTCCTCCTCGTACCATGTTCCTTACCCAAATATACGGTACCGTTCTGGGGGGTTTTGTCAATTACGTCGTCATGATATCGATCATAAACTCCAACCGCGAACTTCTTGCCACCGGAAATGGTAATAGTTCCTGGAGTGGTGCCTCAATTCAGGCTTTCAACACCAATGCAGCTTCGTGGGCACTGGCAAAGGAACTCTACAAATCGGGAGCCAAATATTCAATCGTACCCTTAGGTCTAGTTATTGGCGCCGCGTTTGTCTTGGCACATCGTATTGTCGTATTTGTAATTATCCCCAATTCTCCTTTCCGCTTTCGCCTTTCACTAACCGAGACTCTTCCCAATAGTTCATCCCCAAAATCCGAGGCTTTGCCCTGACCGAAATCAATATGCCTCAATTCATCCAATATGCCGGCTACATTCCCTACAATCAATCACAAACCTGTGTGATTTTCAGCCAAGTAATCGCTGGATTCTTCACCCAATTCTATCTCCGCAATTATCGTCCGAGTATTTTCAAGAATTATTCGTATTTGATTACTGGAGCTTGGGACGGTGCTAGTTACACTGTTTTGTTCATCTTATCGTTCGCTGTCTTCGGAGCCGGTGGCTTCGCGGCGCCGTTTCCACAGTGGTGGGGTAATAACTTCAATGGGAATTACGACCATTGTCCTATTGCTGAATAAAGTGGAGTTAGTAATGGAGGAGGGAGACTTGTGTCGGCTACCGGGAGGTCCCACTCATATACAGGTATGCATATTACAGGTGTCTCTCAAGTAGTCTTCGGCATCCAACAGGTTTTGGGTCGTGGCAAATGCCATGAGTATCAGTGGTAATAGAGATAGATACTAGATTAATGCCAACATTTAGACAATAATCAAGATTGTGTTTGGTGTTCCTAGTTAGGTAGTGCGTGATAAGTGCGACTGATTCTAGTATACGAAGCTTCAAATAAACATTGTATTAATCTTTCCACGTGAAAAGCACGTGGCCTAACCTAAGATCACGTTTCCTCTGCCAACACCGTACGGAGTATGTGCTGGCACATCTCGCTTGCAAAATACCTAGTTGATGCGGAGTCTGCACAAAACGATTTCTCCGTCTCCCGTCTTCCAGACGCACTATACATGGAGGGGAAAATTACAACTCATGCAATTCGCTGAAATACCCGAAAAGGACCTCGGCGCTAGCAGAAAAAACATAAGCTAGAGACGGGAGTACCCCACCCCCGCCGCTTCACTACCCCGCAAAATATGGGATAAATTACGTAGAGGTACATTGGATGTGAGAAACTGAGGAGTGTGTATATGTACAAATTACCAGCTGTCAGCTAGTGACAACTTTTTGATTCTCTTTCGTTTTTTAAATTTGTGAATTTGCATTTGCTTAATTGATTGATTTATTCGATTTTTGAATAGTTATTCCTTTGCTCACTGCTGTTGGGAAGAAAAACAATAATAGATTGAATTTCTGCATAAAAATGCCCCTCTCTTCTCGTTGGCAAATCGAAATTCCTCCTGTAACTCTTCCAACCTATCTCTTCAACTCTCCCGCACACTCTCTTTCAGAAAAGCCCGCATTCATCAATGCCGCAGACCCGTCGCATTTCCTCACCCTTTCAAAATTCCGTCTCTATTCACAACGTCTAGCTGCTGGGCTCATCAAAAATGGGTTGAAACCTGGTGATCGGGTATTACTTTTCTCGGGTAACAATCTATTTTTCCCGGTTGTGCTTGTGGGCATCATTATGGCAGGAGGCATTTTTACGGGGGCTAATCCGGGGTTTGTGGAGAGGGAATTGGTGTACCAGTTGAAGGATTGTGGGGCAAAGTTTTTGATTTGTGGGAGGGATGGTCTGGGGATTGGGGTGAAAGCTGCGGAGGAAGTGGGATTGGGAAAGGAGAGGGTTTTTAGTTTTGACGATGAGGAGGTTAGTGGTGGGAGAGAGATAAAACAAGGAGTGAAAAGTTGGTGGAAATTGCTAGAGAGTGAGGAGGTTGGAAAGCGATTCCAATGGAACGAGGATGTTGATCCAAAGGAAACGGTTTGTTGTTTGAATTATAGTAGTGGGACAACTGGGCAACCCAAAGGGGTAATGATTACGCATTATAGTACGTTTTTACCTTTTCTTGATCTTAACCATGTTCCCGAAGCTTGTTCAAAGTTGCACGGAAGACTGATAGCAAAATCACCTAGATTATGTTGCGAACGCGGTGCAATATAGACATTTACATGAACTCCATGCCGATACAGAAGAAAGGAACAGAAAAGCGTAGGTACGCCAGCTAAACTGCTAGCCATCTTCTAACCCGGTTTGCATATTAGAAAATGGTTATGTTTTCTCCCTTTGTATCACGCCATGGGTCAAACAATTTTCTGCACGGTAGCGCCTAAACGTGGAATTCCAGTCTATATCATGAAGAAGTTTGATTTTAAAGGGATGCTGGAAGCGGTACAGAAATATAAGATTACAGTGTTGAGTATGGTACCTCCAGTTGTGGTCGTAAGTATCCACCACTCAATTGTGATGTGAAAGGAAACGAAAAATTGACGGGAAGGAAACCAGATGCTCGTGAAATCACCCCTTACAAAACAATATGATCTTAGTAGTGTCACCGATATGGGTTCTGGTGCGGCACCATTAAGCGGAGAAGTGATAGAAGCAGCTGAAAAACTGTGGCCGAACGCGCGTGTGAAACTATTGGCAAGTTTCCTCTTCCTATGTCGTTATTTCTCTCTTGACTTTTATTCTTTTGAAAAACGACTAACACCACATAAAGCAAGGATGGGGCATGACTGAAGCAACATGCTCAGTCGTTGGTTGCGATCCTCGACTTGATCCCCCCCCAAACACGGTTGGTGAGCTTAACGCCAATTGCCGCGCTAAGATCGTGAACCCAGAGACGTTGGAAGAGGTCAAGCAGGGTGAACGAGGGGAAATCTGGGTTCAGGCTCCTAAGTATGTTTAAATTTTCTATGCTTTACCTCTATTTCCAACACAAATACAAAGGGCATCGTACTGACAAACATAAAAGTATAATGAAAGGCTACTGGAACAAACCTGAAGCCACCAAAGAGACAATCGTAAATTCTCCAGAAGGCCGCTGGCTTCGCACAGGAGATATAGCCTACGTGGACTCTAAAAACAATTTTTACATCGTCGACCGGATGAAAGAACTTATTAAAGTAAAAGGTAATCAAGTTGCACCAGCTGAACTAGAAGCGCTTTTATTAGAACATCCAGGGATTGCGGATGCAGCCGTGATTGGGGTGACGATTGGGGACGGAGAGGTCCCAAGAGCTTACGTGGTGAGGAGCGGAGATGGAAATGTGACGGCGGAAGAGGTCACAAGGTGGGTAGAGGAAAGAACTACTAGGTATAAGTGGTTGAAGGGTGGTGTGGTATTTCTGGATGCAATTCCTAAGAATCCGGTGAGTTTTTTTCATTTTCTAATTTCTGCTAGCTCCATTATAAAAAGTTTTGGAGAAGAGCAATGGGCGATGCGCTTGGAGTCTTGGACTAATATATCTCTAGAGCGGAAAAATATTGAGAAAGGTGCTGAGAGAAAAGGCAAAGGATGAGATTAGTAGGAATGAGATAAAGGCTCGACTTTAAACTTGGAGATGGTTGTGAAAAGTTCTTGTGTGAAGTCGATATGTAGGCACCCGAGCCTAGGTGTATCTAGTATTAATAGCACGTGTAGTTGTAAATTTATGTGCCTAATAAACGATGAAAATATGTCACATGTATTGATAGTGATTTCCAAATGTCGCTTATATTCACCCTCGGAGTAAGAGAACTACGTTACCGTCAAATCAGCAGAACCATTTTCTCATTAATAACTTCCTCAAATGAGAACCCATAGTTTAAACAATTTTATCGGGCGCTTCCTGCACTGCCGCGAGGGCATCTATTTTCAGATGGGCAAGAACTGCTCGTCGGAGGGCACCATTGCCGCCCAGGCGTTTTCCGACAACGGGAATTGAATGGATCAATGAGGTTCAGCCGTTATAAGAAGAGCAGTTTGAAGGCTTCAAGCGGGGCTTATACTACCCTATGAATATCGGAGATATCTTTGCATCGAAATACCAAGTCGTTGGAAAACTTGGGTATAGTGTCACGTCTACGGTCTGGTTAGCTCGCGATCTCCAGTACGTCTTCCAAATTCCTCTCTTTACCATCCATATCATCTATATGATCTAACAAATTAAAGCACATGATCACATTGCTTTAAAGATATATACCCGTGATGGGGATCCACAGGAAGAATTCAAAATCTATCAGCTCCTGGAGAAAGGGAATCATTGGCATCCGGGTTACTCTCACATCAGGACCGCCTTAGAAACCTTCTTAATACCCCGATCTGGAGGAAACCACACATGCCTTGTCTAAAAGCCAATGTGGGATAGCTTTAGAGATCTGAGATATCGTCTTCCAGATGGAATATTCACTGAGGAACTGCTCAAAAACTCCCTGAAACAACTTTTCTTGGCAATAGACTATATACACACCGAGTGTAAATTTGTTCACACAGGTGGGACAAATTTCATTATCTCTATGGTGTCCGCTCCAAAGTCTAAAGTGACGGCAGCTGATAGACCCGTGTTGCTCGGCATTTTACTGATTGCTGTTTACAGACATCAAAGCCGACAATATTTTTTCTCAAATAGAAGACGAATCTATTCTTGATGCCTTCACCAATGCCGAAATGCGAAACCCTTCTCCGCGAAAATCAATCAATGGAGTAACGGTATATACCTCACGACAACTAGAAATTCCGAAATTCTTTGGTGACTCCGTTTTGAGTGATTTCGGTTCAGTGGTGCGGGGCGACGAGAAGAGAAATCACAATGCGGGACCTCAGATTTATAGGGTCGTATTATACTGTGTCTTTTCGGGTCTCTGCTTATGAATTACGATTCAAATGACCATATTAATCTGCTATTAGGCGCCCGAAGTCATGATAAAAGCCGCATGGAGCTACCCTGTTGATATCTAGAGCGTTGGAGCTATGATATGGAACCTTTTTGAAGGTAAGCATATGTTTTATGGCAATGATCCCGATGGGAAAGGTTACTCGACTCGCGCACATTTAGCAGAGGTTATTGGAATGCTAGGATCTCCCCCTCTGGATCTAGTCAAATGAGGTGTGCGGAGTCCCGAATTTTTTGATGAAGAAGGTATGTACTTTAAAGAAACTTTTTCTTTAAATCCAAATCCTTAACTGAATCCCCTACGCGTGTAGGGAAATGGATAGCTGAGATACCAGTCATGGAAGATAAGAGTTTGGAGAAATCCGAGCTGCGTCTTCGAGGGAAGAATCAGGATACGTTTTTGGAATTCAGGCGAGGGATGTTTCAATAGCGTCCCGAGGATAGAAAGACAGCAAGACAGCTAATTGATAATCCGTGGCTTAATCAGGTAGTAGAATGAATGCTGCAAACGCTGGTGATAGATGTTCTTCTGGCTTGTGTTAATGTCTCCATTGATTGCTTATGGTGGATTGGTACCGAGAATCGTAGTAATCATTCAAGGAACAATAATGATTATATCCTCCGTCCTGCTTTATTCTTTATTCGATATGGAACAGTGGAAGCATGGAAGCATCTCGGATAAAATTTTTCCTCCCCGTGGGGTACAATCCAGCCCCCACATTTTCGGTCCCGGCGCGGTATGACGTGAAAGCCGCTCCACAACCCACTCATTCGCCAACATCAAACAAAAATTCACCACAAATCATATCACGCGGTCAACCACTTGATTCTATGCAGCAAATTAAAGTATTTTCCGTCGTCCCTCCGCATACAGCACAGTGGGTTTACGCGTATTGGTAGTGAAACCACGCTATCTATCTTGTAGCGGCTTTACCCTCTTTCGCTTTACCTTCTTTCAACCCAGATCTTCGTATCATTTGTTGGCGCGGGGTGATATGGAGCGGGAGTTGACGACGGGAATCGATATCGCTGCTTGGAGCGTTGCATTGCATATTGATCTTTCGATGACCCACTTGCTAAGTGTACAAGTAGAGGGAGAGGAAGGAAGTACCCCTCACTTTTCATCCATCGAATGCTGATTGTTAATTCTCTGTGTTTATCTGAGTAGTTGGATTTTTGTTGTTTACATTTTGTTTTAACTATATAAATTTATCTTGAATGTATCGTCTTTGAAAATCTATCGATAGTGTGTACGAACTGTCGCTACTATGTCCGCATCACAGACCCCTGGATCCCCCAGCGGCAATTCCCAAAATGGTTTAGAAACTCCGCCCACATCTAAACCTTCCCGTTATCGTCAAATCATAGATGACATATCCATAAATCGCAACGCATATTTCCTCACAGTCGTCGCTTCATTTGGCGGCATGTTTTTCGGTTGGGACACCGGACTCATCGGTGGAATCCTCACCATGTCCTCCTTCCAAGATTCCTTCGGCCTCGACGAAGGATCCTCCTCTTACACAAATCTATCTGGGAATATTGTTTCTGTTCTACAAGGAGGATGTTTCTTTGGCGCTATGTCGAGTTTCTATATTAGTGATGTGTTTGGACGTAAAAAGGCGTTGCTTGTGGCGGATTTTTTCTTTCTCGTTGGATCTATCATCCAAACTACGAGCGGGGTTAATACCACTAGTTTAGGTCAGCTCTATGTAGGAAGGTTTATTGGCGGGTTTGGGGTTGGATTGGTGAGTGCAGTTGTGCCGACTTATATTGGGGAGAATGCGAATAAGGAGATTAGAGGAAGATGCGTGGGATGCATGCAACTATTTAATGTGTATGTTTTTCCTAATCTCATCACTCTTAGTTTCGTAGGAAGAAGAAGACAAGGCGGACTAACACACCCCAGAACAGGTATCATGCTCGCCTACTTCATTAATTTTGGCATGAACAAAAACGTAGCCGGCAATAATCCCCTAAAGTGGCGCATCCCATTTGCCCTACAAACGCTACCTGGCATCCTTCTCGGACTCGGGCTCCTTTTCCAGAACGAAAGTCCTAGATGGCTCATCGAAAAAGACCAACACGAAAAAGCCCTCCAAGCCCTCTCACACGTGCGTCGTCGTTCCCCAACAGATCCCCTCATCCAACGCGAATACAACGAAATCATCGCTGATTTCCACGGAAAAGAAAGATTAATTCTCCTCCGACAAATGAAACTCACAATGTCAAACAAAGCTTCATTTTATGCCGTCTCTATGGCTGCTATACTGCAATTTTGGCAACAGTGGACGGGAACAAATAGTATTAATTATTATTCACCGCAAATCTTCTCGACGGTGGGTCTTACTGGTACATCTGCAGGGCTTTTCGCAACGGGAATTTATGGTGTCGTGAAGGTGTGTATTACCGCGCTGGGACTCATGTTTGCCACAGAGCAAATCGGAAGGAAGTGGTGTTTAATCGTTGGAGGGCTCGGACAAGCTTTCGCCATGTTCTACATTGGAATCAATCAAGCCGTCAATCCTCCCGTCGATGGAGCCCCATTGAACGGAAACTCAATATTTGCAATCATCTGCGTATATCTATTCGTAGTATTCTATTCCTTCGGATGGGGACCCATCCCCTTCGTCCTCAGCTCGGAATGTTCTCCAAACCATCTCCGCAGTTTCAGCATGGCGCTTGCTATTGCCGTGCAATGGTTATTTAACTTTATCATCTCGAAAATTACCCCGTATATGCTAAGTGGGATTACTTATGGCACTTTCTTGCTTTTTGGAGCTTGTTGTTTGTTGATGACCGTCTATGCGGTCATTTGTGTACCGGAGACCATGAATGTGCCGTTGGAGAGGATTCATACGCTTTTTGAGGGGGAGATTGTTAAAGGAGCTTTTATGGATACGATACCGAGATACAGGAGGTCGAATCAGTTGAGGGAAATGAGGAGGGAGGATGATGATGGGATGTTGGGGAAGGGGGATGGTGATAATGTGATGAGTGTGCATGTTGAGAGGGTGGATGGACGGGTTTAAAAGTGTGCATGGATGGTTGGATTTAGGAGGTGAAGCTTTGAAATCCACGGAAGTTGGGTAATGGTTAATGAGATATACAGTTCATGCTGTAAGGTTTAGAGCCGATCAACTCATAGATTTCTTGCACAGCCCAATTTTGGGATTTTCATAGTCTAACCATTGTATGGAATTACATACTTGATCAATCTTTTCTACGTGAACTAAATAAAACTCATCTTTATACTGCTAGATAGAATTCATTTGGGGATACAAACGATCAAAAGCAATTGAGATTTCGAATTCAGAGATTCAGAGATAAATAGAAGATTTGACAACTCCATTCCTGCGAAATATTGCAGAACCCAAAAAGAGTTTGTCTAATGACCTTGTTTGAAGGGGGACTTGTGTATTGTAGCGCTCAGATTATTTTTATTGTTGTATAAATTTTGTAGATGAACAGCTAGAGAAAATCTCTTTTGGTGATCTCGATGGTTTATTTGGAAGGAATGATGAAGGCTGTATGTAAATCGTAATTTTGGTTGTCACTATTGGATCAGAGGTCTACACTATAGATTATAGGCTCAATTTACACCAACTATCCGACTAGCTTAATTTCGATAAGTGCGGGGTAACCTTAATCATTTCGTATTATTTTTCTAGAACATCGTCACTCAATACACACTATACACACTCAACGTCAATTGAACTCGCCATTTGACAGTGACATCGACCTCAACATACTGAGATGGGATTGCATCGATATATTGGACTCCAATGATAAGGAATGCGCGATTTCATTGGCAAGGCTTCATGATCTGAGCGAGCCGAGTTTTGTTCTCTAAACCCCGGAGTCAGGGGAATCATTGCTCATGCCTCCCGTTCTTCAATCGCGCTCTATGGCATGCAAGCTATGCTATGATTGATGGCTTTTTTGTCTATTTTCGGGGCCATCAAACTTGGACCTTCAAAGTAACTAGGGCGAAGTTGGGATTGTCACCCGGACTTCCAGCATCGATGTGGTGCTTCCGCCTGCTAGAATCGCCGAGAACAGAATAGAAGATAATATTTCAGCCTATCTATCTTTACACGATTTGCGATGATTCGCCTTTTACCTGAATCAAATACAACAAATTGCCTGGCGTCTCATATTTCCGAAGAAACAATATTCTAATAGGGAATTGTCATCGCTCATAGCCCTAAAGAAGTTGGAGTTAGTTAAACAAAAGGAGCCACTTGTCGACTTTCAGTTGCCTTGCCATATCGAAGCCATGTACCTACCAGTTTGGACGGGCCGCATTTCCTAGCATGCTCTTAATCCTAATGACGAACGTGATGAAGTCGCGTATGGTACCTAAACTATTTCAATCCACGTTGTAGATGCGATATCCATCCATCAAATTGGGGAATATTCTCTTCGCACTTGACCAGTACGACGTTTCGCCAAGCGAGACTCGTTCTTACGTACCTTTGAACAACCCTGATCACTCCTGAGACTGCCCACCTTGAAATCAAGCAGGCTCGCACAATATTATATAATGGATTCTATACAAATGAAATTGTGTAATGCTGCGGTGGATATCCAAGCTTTCATTGATAGACTGAGCCATTGCTAATCCATCTTTTCTCTGCTAAATCAGCGCCTGAATGACCCTGTAGGGATTGTCCAAAAACTAAATCAAATCGAAAATCTCAACATTCAGAAGTCAGTCCCTATGAATCTCCCCCCGGCTTCCTACCGTACACTAGGACTCTGGATGAGACGTATGTTAGTTGATCGTTACATTCAGCAGAAGGGAAATGGGTATTGCAAGAAGCTCTTACTCACCCTTCGGAGTAACAATGTATCCTTTTGTTTTCAATGTCTGCTTTGACTGCTACCAACAACTCTTTCACCTGCTCTTTTTCCATTCCCAAAACTCTTGTGAATAAGGCCATACTCATTGCTTCCAGACCCATCAGCACGTTTTTTTGTACCCACACGCTCAAGACTTTGTTTCTCTGGCCTTTTGCCCACGGGCTCATGGGTGCAAACTCCCTTCTCTCCACAATGTCAACAAAGCCGATTTCTTCCATCCACTGCTTATAATATGCTCCATTTGTCCATGGTCTTCCAGCCTTCGTACTAGCTTCCACTATCATATTATTCCATTTTACCAACGCACAGTCTTCGGGAGGAGGGGACGCATATCTAAAGGGAAAGATCGGATCTCGAAGTTCAAGGTATCCTCCTGGTTTGAGAGCCTGGAAGGCGGATGCGAAAACAGTCTTCGGAGAGCAAAAGCAGGATAACAAGACGCGTCCATGGATAAGATCGAATTTTAGATCGTCAAAAGTCCAAGGATCTTCAGCGTCTTCGATTCGGAACGAGCAGTTTGTGGGGACACTAGTTCCAGGTCAGTGATCCTCGGAGTATTCAGAGATTGACCCCTCAATACCTACTATTGCGGCTGAATGGGGCTAAGATCAGTACCAATTACCGTTGATTGAGGATATTCATCGGCTGCATATCGTTAAAAATTAATCATTCCAAAATCAGAGAAATTACCAAATTCAACCGCCCAAATTCCAGTACCAGTGGCAACATCTAGCACATTTATTGGGCGATCTGTGTCTAGTGGTGACACAAATAACTTTCCGTCGATGGTCATACGAAGTAATCTGTGTTGAAATTCTAGACGATTATCAGGATTGGTCATTTTTCAACACGGGCGATACAAGAGCAAGTACCAAGCCTATCTTGTTCTAGCTGAATTTCATGCGTTTTATCAGCTAGTGCTATTTCCACATTGCATTACTTGACATACTGCATCATTTGGTAGCGGATATTCTGTTGGGTGAATGGTCAGCTTCCGCCTATAAGAATGTATTTTTCAAGGAACCACTTACGACCATGCTTATAGCGGTGATAAGTTCGTCCATTCTCTTCGATATGTCTGTATAATTCCGACTCAACGGTGAAATTGGAACTCCTTTATGTGTCGTTAAATACATTTTAGAGATCCAGTATCATCTATCTTTACCTCAAACTCATCCCGCCAAGAGCAGAATCCGTATCAGACCCCGACTTCCGATTTGATTAATCTTCACACCCGAGCATCCTATTCTTTGGAAAGCACACTCACATCTAGTTCCGGTTCTCTTGCGTCTACATAAGAGCCCAATTCCTCAATTATATATGAAGTTGGTGTAGTAACCACCCTCGGCTCAGTATTCATCTCCATGATTGATGATCTTTCGGAAAATTTCTCCTTTTTGACGGCCAATCGATAATCTCTGGAATTCAATACACATTGCTAGATTAACTATCAAATAGCTCAGCGAATTTTCCGTTTATCTCGTCCTGCAAATTGGAAGGCGAGTTTGTATTCCGGGTGGATTTGTCATCCACCTTACCACATTCGAGTATAGCGTGAACTCAGGATCGTAAGATCTCACATATTTAAGTGGTCACTTTGCAGAGGGTTCCGCTAAACAGGTCGGTGGTAAAGTGTGTTCGTTTCTCATTAGTGGACATATACCGAGAGGGCGGCTCGTTGGTGGAGCGGATTCAGGGGTCGTCATGAGCGGGTCGGAAACTTTTTGTGGCACGTGCGAATAGGAGACAAGGCACTTTTGACGAGCTGTTTTTGCAGAGCGGATGTTATTAATACTGTGGAATTCGATTAGATTTGCGAGAAGACTGATTCTGTTCATTTAGTTGGAAAGTTCCATGATCATGTTCTTCATGTGATGCCGAGGATTCAACTATAGTCTAGCGGACGGCGGGAACGTTATTTCTGTTTTAACTATCATCTTAGGGAAATGTTTATCAGTCACTATCCATGTTATTTTTAAGCTTTCTTTCCGATTTCCGCGGAGTGTGAAGTGCTCACTGCTTATATATTGTTTTAATATCTATGCTAAGTATTCGTGCAGTGGCACGCGACCAGACAATATCAGGGTTACTATGCGCCTGGATGAGAAACTATGGAACCCAAGTCATATGAAATTACCCTTACGTTACTGAGATTTAGGCTCGTTTAGGCCTTCGTATCTGTTACCCTAAAGTGGAAGAAGTTACTTTGTCTGTATCAGGAGATGGCGATATGAAAGAACGAATTGCTTACCAAAATGCACCATGCAGGTATCGAAAGCAGTCTGCCAGATGGTCCGACTATCGAATACTTTTGGCTGCTCTCGCCATCGTATGATATTTGTGTATATACCAAACAAAAGCAAGCAGGTTACCATTAATCCTATTTTTGGTAACTTGTACCGAGATATTGATTGCCGAAGGCGCCATGGCTCGCTCCCAGAACGGTCCCAACTAAGTCACGATTTTGAATATTCAATATGTGTTGTGTAGTGGTATGACTAAAGCTAGCAGATTCACTCTTCTGACCTCAAACATGCAACCATCATTCTTATAAAGCCCCGAGTCATTGCCATGACTCTATGTCACCATTGATTTCCATGTGCTACTCATCAGTGAACAAGTAAAGGTGTTTTACAGACTTGCTTTTCCGTATCCATTAAGTCACACACTCAAACTCGAATAGTCGGACACCAACAAAAACCCTTATTCTCTACACGATACCCAAACTTTCAAAGACCGGCACTTTGAATCACAAAACAATCACACAGGCTAACATATCTCAATATGTGCAAGAAACATCACATCACTTTCACGGCTATCTTAACTGGAATGTTCCACCTCACTCTAGGTGTCTATATTCCAGAGTCTTCCTCAACCTCCGCAGCATTACCCCTCACATCTCTCACTCCTAGACAAGTAGGCTAAACGTATTGCCACACCGAGCAAGCAGGAACATGCACCATCGCATACATCATCAATCACAAAGACCCCCTCCCTCTCAGCATCCAAATCCTCGAAAACAACTGCGAGAACGGAATAGGAGGCAAGAAGCATCTACCAATAAACGCCACTCCTGACGATATCGAAACAGATCCCATGCAGACATCACCGACTACAAAATTCACAGTGGAGTATATTGCGGATGACAAACCTGCTAGGATAAAAGCGGATGGAAAAGAAATGTTTTGGAGATCGGCGGATAAGGGAGACAGGATGATTTGGACTGCGCCTTTTGATTGTCATTTGCGGAGAGGAAAGTCGAATCCGTAGGTTTATGGTGGGGAAGTTTGGTTGTGATGCTGGTCATCGTGATGCGGAGTCGGTTAACCTTATATGATCTGGGATTATATTACGTAGCTATGGAACACATAACTTAGGAATCAAACTCGTTGCCATTCCATTTGCTTGCCTAACTAAACTTATAACTTTACTTCATTGGTTGATGTAGATGTGCTATTTTTTTGTGTCTGTATATAAAAATAAATAACAATTCCGGTTACTCCTGAAGTGTAATACTAGAAAATCATTCAATGTCTCGGAGTCATGATGGAAGAGAGTCTTACAACCTTCAGCATCGGGATATGTGTACAAGCTGAGATTCAGAAAGTGAATATCAACATATGAGTCGATTATTCTCTCACGAGTCACAGCAAAGGAGTTATTGTCCAAGTTTAGTATGAATCAGTATTCTCATTCCACCGAGTCAAGGAATCAACCTCTTCCAAAGTTGCCTTACGTAGGTACAGTATTTCAAAAAGTCGTACTGCCTTTCCTCTACAGGAACTTTTACAAAACGGCGACATTTACCACGATATCAAATCCTAAACTTTCAGCAACAAATTTGTAAAATACCATAACCATTTAACTCAACCGAACTCTAAAATTTTCCAAAAAGCTTTTGCTTTCATGGGGTACTGCATCTCCCTGGCCTACTTTCGCAATGATCTCCTTGCGAGCGCGTACATTCCACCACCGCACTCACTCAATCTCCACACATTACCACACCCCTCAAAATCACCACATCCATCACCATCCCATCTCCCACGTACCATCCCACCCACATACCCACCCTGTCCCCCCGCCGCCACATCCCCAAAATACGCCTCCCTCTGCACCATCCAATTTACAGCCTCCGCTTGCACACCCACCAACCCCAACACCCTATCCCTCAACATCTTCGGCCCCTCCTGCAGTCTCCCACTTTTAACACTCCCATCTCTCCCTCTCGACAAAAATATCTCTATAAATACCGAAGCTACGCTTCTTCTTGGTAATCTGAGTATTCAGGTGCAGAATCAAACTTGGTATAATGAGATTTGGTATTCGGGTCAACTTGTGGATTTTCAGTTGCCGGTGGATGAAAAGGGGTTACCTTATTTTCCGAAGGATTTTGAGGGGAGGGTGGTCAGATGGAGTGGGTTTGAGTGTGTGGACTGTGATGCGGGGAAGGGGTTTGTGGTGGTTGATGGGGTGGTTTATGAGGGGTGAAGATGCGGGGTTAAGTGATGTGGATTGATGGATTGGGAAACTCGATCTTTGTAGTTTTATCCTTTTATACAATATGGCGCTTTGGTTCTACGAAGTTATTCCCTGTGTTGGTTTAGGACTCTTATAGATATCTGAATGGTGACTATTTTAAATGTATTAGAAGATATTGAGCCACCTTTTGTTAATGATAGTTGAATTAGTGTGAAGTAATTTTTGAACTTGCAAGTATGCCAAGCTCTTTTCTTTCGATTGACGGGTCATAGCGATTATAATATTGAATTAAACTAAATTCATATGCAAAGGAAACTCAAATTATGTAAAGCAACGAAGTTCTTATTATCCTTAAACTGTCCCCCGACTAATTCTACTCTCTGCGATCATATCTTCTGAATGAAATTTCATGAATACCTTAGACCAGCACAAATATACAATTACAGTTTCATCAATAACATTTAAGCAACACACCGCATTTGCCCCCCAGTCTGTTAACCCTAAAAGACATCTAGAAGTTATTACAAGGATAAGTAGCCGCCCACATGATCTTACTACCACCTATTTTTGGCACCGCCAAATCGTCTGGCATGTCTGTTATATTTGTGACAGCCAACTCTTCATCTCCAAGCTTGATGGTAGGGGCATGTGCTGTTCCAAGCAGGTTGCCGTAAGCTTCGATGCTTAGAGTTAGATTTTCGACCTTCGCGTAGCTCGATTTCGGACCTTTGGTGCTAAGGTCGAATTTCTCATCGAGGGCATGGTATTTTGACTTGTCGTTCGCGTGGCTGAGTGTAAGTCCACTTCCATCGCATGGGGAGACAAATTTTCCTATCTCGATAGGAGTTTTGTTCTTATCCCTGGTCTTGAGACTGATATCGAGTAGATGCCCGACCACAAAATTGCCCCTTATCTATGTCTTGTGATTACAGTAAGAGGATTTACCCAGGTATGCCCTAAAATTTCCAACATACGTGCTTCGTGGCTCAAGCGCACTGATCTCAGAGTTTTCTGGTGAAGTTTTGGATCGACCGATGACGGAGGAAAATGAGAGAGGAAGGGCGCAGATCAAAGCGATCATGGGTGTGAAACGTTGGAGACGCATTTTGAGGTTGGAGGAGCGGGTGACTTATGAATGGAATGCTTAGTGTAATGATTATGAACGGAAATCGTAGTCATTAATGTCATAACAGGTCAGAGTGATTACTCAAATTGTGTTTTGAATACAGAGAATTTGCTGCGTGAATGTGAAAGTTGTAGTTCTTGATGGTTGTGGATCTGAAGAGAAAGTGTCTGGGAAAAGAAAGAGTGATGCAGAACTCTACTCTTTTGAGCAGAGCAATCAGCTCTAAGCGAGAAGCCATTGTCTTCTCGATGACCCGAATGTGCTTTGACAGTGACTGGTAAATCTAAGTATTGTGCGTAGGATGACTGGAGATTCCAGATTCTTGTGAATGTACTTACCAAGTATTCGGAGTCAGATATATGTATAAATAAAAGTGTTGATGATTTTTTCTATTTTAATAAAGATCGAGAGTTCCCGAATTATAGAAAATCTCGTCGTTTCCTGTCATCTTTTACATAATTAATTGATTGTTTATAACATATCGAAGAGCCAACAAGCCATTTATTCGCAAGTGGCGCAAAATGAATTTATCTCAACACCTTTTTACTTGAACATCTTTGTGTCGTGGGGTCCGGAATCCCCGTTTTCAAAAAGTAACACCATGTCGGTGATTGGGAGCTTTGAGCCGACAGCAAAGCCTTTGATTTGTCTGCTGAAATCCCATATCCTCCTCTCTCTGATGACTCCTATATTCTCCGCTTCCCCACAGTTAAGAACTGGAAGGATGGAGAGGTGGAATATAGTAATGAAGGGCAGCCTCCATTATATAACTTCCATAAATTATGGCCCATAGATTGATCCGCAACCCATATTTCCCAAGATTAAATGGTGGTACAGTTTTGAAGGAATGCGAAGTGGATTTGGAGGAGAAGCGACGGATGATGAGTAAGGTTATTGATCAGAGACAAAAGTAGAACGATTGTTGTGGCGAGGCACAGAGTCTGGTGCGGCATTTTGTGGTTTGGCAAGGTCTGAGTGAATATTCATTGTTAGGCGACGACATAGACAAACTATATTCTCGGGCATGGAGAACTAAAGTATTTACAGGAAGAAATCTATCTTCGCAAAAAGCGGGAGTATGGTGACCCGTCATCCCTAGCAAAAGCCCAGATCAACCTTGTCATGCTTGCCGAATACTGAAGAGTGCATAAAATCCGACAATGATACCGGTTCTCATCAGAGCATTTGTCCCTGCTTTTGATTTCGTAGCTTGATAATATATCTCAATGATAGAATAGCCACTAGGTGATTCTGCTGCGTTCTCGAGAGACCGTATGCTACAAAGTACAGCAATGCCATTGATGAAGGTTTCGAGAACCATAGCAAGTAGAACATTTCCAGATGCTCGTCTGGCCCCCTCGGACATATGAAGAACACCGTCATATCCCTTCATCGAGAATAATATCCAGGCATTATTTTAGTACATATCTCTCACAGGAAACACATACTAGGTTGACCAATTGACCACGAAATAACTTTATTATCCCATCCACTAAACCCTGTAACGAACTCAGTCCAAACAAATTCAGATGTATTGCTTCTCCGACGTATATTATTGTCGTTAAAAATATGGCATGAAAAACCAAATTTAAAGCACCACCGGTCACTTTAAGAGGCCCAATAATCGTCGGGCATATATGTTAGTGAAAGGAATAACCGTGATAGCCCAGAGGAGAAACGTCCCGTGCCAACGTTTCTGGTACATATTCTTTGTTGCTCAAGATAACAAGCCTTTGACTTTCGGTCCCAGCCAGGAATGGAGCTGTTGTGCAAGCATTAATGCATGCAAATATCTATAAATTTTGTAAGAGACTTTACGTGAAATTTGAAGCTGGAAATATGACTCTGCCGTTAACTAGCCTGAATGCAATTAGCATTGTTCCTTGAAATCAATAAGAAGATGACACAGTATTCTCCTTGCAACGAAGACAGCATTTGTGGAGCCACAGGATCAAATGAAAAGTCCAATTATACTATCCTCCAGCGACCGAGATGCTAAATTCAGCCAGGATAGTCGGAAATGAGCACATTGAAGTTCCAAGCACATTGAACCTAACTCTGCAAAAGAGCAGCTCTGGAAATATCCCCAATAATAGATAGTATCAATTTCCAAACAAGAGCGACAGGCCCGCCATTGTAGAGACAAGCAAAGAGACTTCCGCCCAGCGACTCCCATGAGCATTGCAGTACGACTGAGAATGCGACCATTGAAAGACATCCAAGATATCTCCGGGGAACACCGAATTAGAATTGAACGGGGTGGATGCTGAGCGGGTAGATTTGGTAGTACTTCTAGCTTTGGCTTTTATCTGTGCTGAATGTCTGTCGCGCCTAATCCGATTAGAATTACAAGAGGTGTACCTTACTTTTTTTCGCCACCTACTAGTTTGTGCTAACTTTAGCTGTTTTGCCAATATGATCCGATCGTGGTGAGGAAATACATATGTACCCGTTTAAGTATGAAGTATTAATTTTTAGCTTCGGGTCGTGAAATTAGATTGTCTAAATCTCCGAAACCACTTCTCATCAAGGTGCAAAGACGACTTTTGACAGCCTTTTAACAACCCAAATAATAGAACTTATTTCCAAATGACTTGAGAAACAGCTAAAACTTTCCATAATACAGCTCTTTGATTCCTATTCTTTAGCTTTCTATGAGGTTTCTATGGTCCGTTGCATCCCCATTCGGCTCAATGTCCGCATGTATTTGGCCCATAACAGTATCCTTTGTTTGAATCGAGAAACATGGCTGTATCATAATATTTATAAATTTAAGATGTGATGGTTGTCCCAGCAATGCTGGTCTCCAATACTTTTGTATAAGCCGTGTGGCTCGCTCGCAGACTTTTGATACGATGTCAGACTAGATGCCAGCCCTATAACGAAAATCTTGCATTAATCAACCAATTCCCTCAAAGTTCACGTTACTTTTCATTTCGTTTAGTGAGGTAAGCCGTATATTGAGTTTATTCAATTGAAATAAATAGCAACGGCATTCTACTACAGAAAGTTTCCGGGAATTTTGAATCAAGAAACATTCAATCGCTTTGCCAACCTCCCTAATTTCTGTGGGATCAGTAAGTATCGTCGTCGCATTATTTCGCTTGATATTATGCCAAAATTCACTCCTTCCCCGCCTTTACTTCCTCGCAGCAGACTCTTGCCATTCAATAATTAGAAGGTGAGGATAACATAAACGGGGCTAGGAACATCTTTCATGGAGCTTGCTAACCCGTACTTTGAAAGAATTATGCTCACTATTATCGAAATCTCAAGGAGCATTTCCTATACAATCTAGAATCAGCTTCGAGATCTCTCAATTTTAACCATTGTAGATATAAAGCATCACAGTTGGCTCTCTAATGGTGTGTTTTGAGACCGGCTGTTTACACTGATAGCCTAATTTGGCCAAGCAACCGTTTAAGGCACTCTCAAAGGGCAATCACGGTCTGGCGTGAATATTTCGCCCCGTTGAAATGACCTGGACATCGAGTTTCCATATTAAGGCTTTTATGGTAGGTCGGTCAAGAGATGTTGAAGAGATCTTACTGACTAAATATAAAGAAACAAAAGGTTGCCAAATAATAGATTTAGCACAACGAAATTCGATATTAGCAGGAGCATATTAAAATTAAACAAGACCGCATAAAACATAGTTTTTGACTATAACTAACCTACAACACTCCTGGAAAAGAGTCGAAGTCAAAGGCAGTGAACAATGGACAAAAGCAAGATCACGAAAATGGCAAATACGTCTGCACTCTGCGCGGTCACTGGAGCCTCCAACTAACCCTCGTTCCCAAAGGGCTCCAGAACTTCTAGCAAAACTTGTGTTAGCTTGAAACGAAACTTCCGGATATAACACTAACATTAGAGGAGAAAGTCGTTTGCTCGCTGTTTGAGGGGAGTGTGGGATGACTAAGCCCAAGCGAGGGCTTATCTTATCAGCAACTACAACTACAACTACAACTTCTCTTCTCAACCTCAATGCGAAGTCAGATCTTTTGTCAACATCTCCGAGATGTGCAAGAAGCCGAAGGTCCCATATACTCCTTAGCTTCACGAGCATCAGATGAAATTGGGCTTGCATCATGTGCTGGTACTGAGTACTTACCTAATTGAAGGTCACTCTAGTGCGTTTTTGAAGGATATGCAGCTTCCATCACCATCGCTACGCAAACGCACCCATTAATGGTAGCCGGCACAAAGGAACAACGGAAGCCTTTGATTCAACTAAAAAAATCTAGAGAGGAACGAAAGATAAAAACGTATAAATTGGTGGAAGAAAGGAGTCTTTCAAGGCACGCAAATACCATCGCAAGGCTGTGCGAAGGGATAACAATGACACGGACACTTTTGAGGCTTGAAAATCACAGCAGGGATTAATTGTCGTTTGGGGACAAACAGGGTGGAGGCGGGACGGAAATAAGGAATGTGTCTCTCCAGGAAGATATGCATGCTATCGTTGGATCCATGACAATTAGGTTTCAAAATGAATTCGGACACCTAGGGAGTATTCTTTATTTCGTTGGCGATCTCCGGGTTTTGCTGATGAATATCCTGCTCCTCCTGCTACAGTGCTGATATGAATTCGTGTGCTTTATAATTATGTTATGGCATATCGTGTGCAAAAAAAAAATCAAAAAAAAATCGACACCGGCAAATGAGTGGCATCAAGGCACCAGACAAGTCGTCGAACGTGATATTGAAATATCAGGTCGCGAAGCCGCCATGTGGAATTATAGCTCTCGGGGTAATAAGGATGTTTGGTTTTTCTTCTTTTTTGCTTTGAGAAACAGCGGCTCCGGAACTGGGGTTCATGCCGTTGTGTCTACTTTCCTTAACGTCAGTTGTTATTGGGTTCGAAAGCTAGGTATGCTGCGGAACTCCACCAACGCTCATGTATTCCTTTTCCCTAGTTCATGATCATTGACTAAAACGACGATTTCTTATTGTGTTCAATACCAGAAGGATTAAGGCTGTTGTGATATGGGACAGTGGGCTCTCTCCTTTGCAGTCTTCTTTTCGCCGTTGGTGAAAAGATTCAATATTTCAACATGAAGTAGAATACGCGTGTATTCCCCTTCCATGTTTCACGTCATGTGATTGCTAAATTCAGCAAGCAATGAGATTAGTTTTAACTTATATCTGAGGAGTCTCTTTGCTTTGCTCGCGACACGCAGAAATGGCAATTCACTACTTTGGGATTGTTTCTCCCTAAATTTGACTCAAGGTCCCTCTAGCTAGAGGTGTATTGCTATGGGGTGTGGTGCCAGTCATTAAATCATTTTGTTTCGCTAGTGTCCCATACTAGGAGCTATGAAGGGTACCTGGAAACAGAAGTAATTGCTGATACAGGCCGTTCATTTCCTTGATTCTACAACCAAGCATTTTAGTAGAAACGGGTGTCGGAATTGTAATGGCTGTCTATGCCCACCCTAATCGGCATATCTTAAAATTTTGTTGAGAATTATTTACACTATATGAAGAGTCGTTGCATTGCTTGATTTGTGGGTTTGCGCTGGCATTCATTTTAGGCGTTCAAATATTATAAAAATACAAGTGGCTAGTGAGGTCTCCATGCTTCATACCAAGAACGGGATCCGATGAGCTCACGAAATCCTGGTTGTTTTAATGTCATCCATTTTAATTTTTTTCACCACCATGCGTCGAACTGCATGCTATTTCATTACCACCATATATGAGACAGCTGATCATCCTCCCACTCGCACTCATACAAATCATTATTCTTCGACCTCATTAGACTACAAGTCTATGGAGCCAGCGAACATTCTGCCACAATATCTATTTCGGCCAGTTAGCCTGAAAGAATCCATAGGCACGCTGAGATCACGGTCGTAATATTTGCGCATGATATGCCCCCCCCCCCAAAAAACAGTCAGGGTAGGATCCATGAACAAAGCAGTCTGTGCTCTGGAAACTCGGGACACTCCTGCCTTCTTGTTGACATCGCAAACGCGCTGCCAAGTGGCTGGCAATGCTTGTACGTTCTCTTGAAAGTAGTTTTAGTTTTAATGAACTAAGAGGGTTTAGAAACAGCTTGAATGTCTTCAAAAATTGTTTCATGGTAGGCAAAGGAGTGTGAACTGGGATAATGAAGTATTTTGTAAATTCAAGGTGTGTCCATATTAAAGATGTAAATTAGGTGATGGGTTGAAGATGGATGTAGATGGAGTATCAGCCGCTCCTTCATGGTAGCTATCAAAACCACAAAGGCTTGAAGTAGGGTCCTTCATATTATTTTTTAAATATCATTCTTCACATGTTGGAGATATCGGGTCAGTATCAGTAATGAGTTCATTTGATTTGCTAATATACTAAGGACAAAAGATTATTAATATTAATGTAATACCACGCTACAAACTCCATGTTACCTGGGTATTCCGTCCCTGCTCATAAGTATTTCATACCATGCCATAAAAGAACAAAAACGCCATGCTGTTCCCTGGTATCATTAAGGAAAACTCCCCATACAATTCAAAAGCGCAAAGATCCATCCTCCAAATTTCTGGCAAAAATCTAGTCAAATGTCCACTCCCCTCAACACAGCATCCATTGTATATTGTTTGCGGGCTCGCGCTCTTTTATTCTGTTCTCTTCCTAACCGAAAATTCCCTCAAATCAGAGTAGTTGTCGCCGCCATGACTTCTCCTTGGTGCACCTATTCCTCTAGGTGCGGGAATTGAGCCTGGGATAGTAGTCTCGGATCAATCAAGTTGTTGAAATCTTGCAGAATTTCTTGGCCTCGGCTTGAGGGGTCTGTGGAGTCGGGTAACCATGAGACGGTTCCACTAACACCATTTCCCACCAATGAATGCGCAGGATCAAGTCCGTTCCAGGGGCTAACAGTTGGTTCAAACATTTGTGGTTGTCGGGGAGGTTGAAGCTGAGGATCCATCCTGTTTTGCACTGGCCATGCATGCGTTGAGAGCGGGGCACGTCTTTCATTTCTCGATTCGCCGCCAGACATGTCTTCGTTTACGCCGTTCATCTTGCTAAAACCATGATCTCTATTCTCTGAGAGCCTCTGTTTTTTTGGTTCCTGCTGTGGATCTGGCTCTGCTACTTCACGTGCCTTTCGCTTTCCGTGAGTCTGAGGTTTCGCCATGAATAGCGACCGACCCGACATACCTCGGCTCTTGCGGTATCTAAAGCACAACAGTTAGTAAATGTTGACTAAGTATCTCTGCAAGACATAATAACGGGAACTTACTCGTTGAGTCTCTCTTTCTCCCACTCTTCGATGTGCACACCTCCCTTGATCGGCATCGGCATTTTTGGTTTTGGCCTAGGTTTGCCTGCCCTCTCCATAGCATCTGCCATGGCCTCTTCTCTCATTCTCTTGTCATCGGCCTTTCTCCTGGAATTTGCGAAGATGTCCCGTGCTGGTTTTCCCGGTCGTAGCCATTGATATTCCTCCTCCGTCATGGACACCCTAGGTCTAGCTGCGTCAGGCCGCGTTGCCCAATCGGGTCGTTTCTTGGACCTCGGAACGCTTTTACCATTTTGGTCCCTCTCACAATTTTTGCTCGGCACCCCATTTTTGGTACCGTGGAGAACACTCTTTTCTGCATTCGTCGGATGATAGTACGTCTGTTGCAATTCTCCGCCAGCTCCGAAGTTATTCTCAGCGTAATGTGTCATCGCGGGGTCGGGACGTGGCGATTCAGCAGGGGTATAGCTATCGTATGGTGGTGTAGGGTATGCCCAAATGTCATTGGCCTGAAAGGGTACGGCTCCATTATATCCACCGTTTTCTGATTTGTTGTATAATGGGCCATGCTCAAATGTATTTTGAGCCGCCTCAGCTACGTTCGGGGAAGCTGATAGGATCTGGAAGTCCAAGTCAGGTATTGACCGGTGGGTTGCAGGGCTTGATAATGGTGCCGATGGCTGGTAATGGCCAGTGATTTGACCGTTATGATTCATGGGCGATGGTTGATCAGCGCACATTGGAGACAAGGAGCCTTCCTGGTAGTAAGTTGGATGATAATTCGCTGTTCCATCTTTCATCGTAGTCGATCCCACCATTGCTTCAAGTGGATATGACATTGTTGCACTCTTTTCTGGTGAATGGTGACTAGGAACTGGCTGATTCTCCGGAAGACCTGGACACCCCGCACCATGTTGTAATGGGTAGTATATGGTATCAGTTTCCTGCAAATAATCGATGTTCTGAATTTGGGGATCTTGAGCAGTTGGAACTAAAGTGGCCTGAAGGGAATCCCCGCTCAAACTTGCTTGGTGTGAATATTTCGTAAGGCTTGATTCCGAATTTTCTGTCTCTATGGCAGCTAGCAAGGCTTGATCTGCCTTAGTGAATTCAAGTACTGATTTGCTCAATTCGTCGAATGATTCATCGATGAGCCTATTGATATTTTCATATTCCTCTTGGGTCATCATCAAAAATTCGCCGAGGTCTTCCTCGGCTAATGGACCAAGGGGAAATGATAGGTCAGAACTGCGACGAATTTGTTGGCTGGATATCTCAACAGTTTGCATTCTTCCTTCGCTCTGACCTGTGCGATGGTTGGCATCGTAAGAATATTTGTTCGATGTCACTTTATCTTCTCTAGTGTCTGTAAACCTAACATTGCTATTATGTACCTCCAATTGATCACCGGAGTACATTTGTTCTTCACCATGAAGGTTTCGGAGAAGATTATGGGGACCTTTTGGGTTCATGTTCCACTGTGTCGGGGTGTTGATGGTAAATAGTTGCTCGAAGCTGTTATTTTTATTTCTTGCCATGTCATTGCCATTGTCTGGCACAGTGGTAGATGTGTCTGCGTGGTGCTGGCCCAACTCATATTTCTTGTCATCGGACGTTTGTTGAGTCCCGGTTTCCATTTCATTATGGATGATTTTCCCGGGGTGATGTTCAATTCCGTCGGACTGATGTATCTTCTCCCAAAGTCTATCTGTCGGAGTCACTTGGACAAATAATACATCATCGGATTCGTACGTAGGATAGTTCAGCTGCTGTTCTGTTGCTACGAATTTTGATGTTCTATTCAGCTCCCTCGGAACCTTTCCACCTGCCTCCTTCATATTTTTGGGAAACCTTTGTGGGCTGGACATTTTCTCTTGTTTTAATGTTGGTAGGAGTTTGTCGATGTCATGTGAACTATGAAATGTATTGCCGAATAATTGTTGTCAACTTATCCTAGGACTTGAATTTCCTGTACAGAAACCCTATTAACTCAAAGTTTGCTGCGACGAACTCTAGAAGCAGGATTGTGGATGGAGGCGGCGGGACCTTTTGTATTATTGTATTACTCATCAAGAAACATAGCAGGCTGTATTGCAACGTATACGCGTGAAATAGCCATCATCCCTATACTGTAGCTAGAACGCGTGTTTATACATTGTTCCCATTGTTTTCTACGTCCTAGGCTTGATTCACACGGCCGGATAAAAGTCATCGCGCGCAGGTAAGCTATTTGTAATTCGCGGAGATGAGCGCGCTTAGTACATCAGTTGATAGTAATAGGCTGTATACCAATGGTCTATACAGCAGAAGCTTATTACAACTAACGTGATATTACGTCATCGAGGTAACTTTTCATGGCAACACGCAGCAAACAGATTGACGTTTAAGTAAAGGGGGTCAACCGAGATTTAGCCCCACATTATTCCGGAACTAAAGTCTCCGGTAACCGAATTTGTCTGCAATTTTGCAAGAACATTAAACATGCTAGAACATTCACTTTCTAGTGGCTTATCTGTTTTTTGCACGTTGTTGGTACTGCTTATTGATATAGGAGCTTTCATGAAAAGCCAAAAAATTTTGCCTCGTCAATATCTTTACCAGAAGTTGAAACGCGTTTGAAATGTGCTATATTGACAGTGATATCATGGGGAACATTGCTAAGTAGTCATTACGCAAGATGTATATACTTGCATCTGATACCCGCTCCAGGCGGATATTGCGCTTTATACATATGTATAGAGAGAAAACCACCATCTCTCTATCTTACCTTTGCTCTCCTTGAATCGAAAGCTCAATATTGACCTACAGACCCCCTGCATGTTAGACTCCAAGGTATCTGATTTCAAGACCGCAATAACTATATGTTCATGATTATGAATGTTATTGAGTTGATACGAGATTTTTGGTATAATTTCATTTTATTCTATTTGACTAACTGCTTTTGACACATTTTTGGCTCAACCTTATCGCAGATAAATCCGAGCGGATCTGGTACTTTACATACTAAGAGAAAAGTGCCTGGTAGGCAGTGAGCTTCGATAGTGATCTCAAATTCTAGGTGATCTTGGATCAAAGCCTCTTGAATAGAACAAGGACATCTATGGAGTGGCAATAACCTCAAAAACATGCGCCTGTAAGTTTATAATATGTTGGAGTATTGTCACATCATTTTCCCGTCCTTTGTCTACAAACCATCAAAAAATTGGAAACAAGGAGTAATTTATGTAAGTTTGTATTAAAGAAATAAAGAGCTGTTATACAATGCTATCTAAGGGATTATAACTGGAGCGATTCTCCGAATGTCTTTACCTCTTTGCATTGCACTTCATTGCGCGGACCACAAATTTTGGGTCATCTAATGAAAACCCGATTCCCTGCTTCGCCGTGTATGTGGCTCCTCGGTGTCGGATTCCCCGAATTCTTCTTGAGAACTAAATAAATCTCTCTTTGAACCTGAAAATTTTTGGTTTGTATGACCACGGAGAGGGTGCATCATTTTGCAAACTCAGCATTTGGCCATAACCTAGGAAATTTATGTCCGTGGATGATTCGAGTTCTAAAAAAGATCTACCATCCTTTTTATTCTGCCTCTCCCTAGGCTTCTACCTACGATTGATAGTTCTACTTTTCCAATTCATCCAGGCATCAGAGATGACCCCCACCTTCTTTGCCTCTAGCCAAGCATTCTGGTATTTTCGAAGTTTGTCCGAAGGCTTGTAGTCTGCAGAAATGAATTTTGGCACGTATTCGCCGGGGCTACAAAGCTTTTGACGCTCTTCTTCATCATGCCTAGCTTTTCGGCGGTGTCTAGAGAGTAGTTAGTGATCATCTAATTTGTTTTAATGATGGAGCTTGAGAGAATGCTCACGCATTTAGCAATTCCACTTGATCCCAGTCTATTCGACAAGTCTTGGAGGTATTCCAGGAGTTTCTTAAACCTTGAAATGTTCGGCGAGGACGACTCTCATAACAAGGATCAATGACTTTCATCTCTTCTTCGGTAATCGTAACACGTGGATATTTTGATTCGTGGCTGTTGAGATAGGCTGAAAGCCCGTTCTTAGATGGCTCACCATTCTTAGCTCTTTTGGGTGCTGGAATCGCGCCGCGGACCTTGACGTTTTGAGCGCATGATTTTGCGCTTTGTGGCTTGAGATTTTCCGTTCTTTGGTGCTTTCTGCAATTAAAAGCTGGGTCATAAAACCCTTTTGGCGGCAGGGCCAAATCATCATTCATGAAACCCTGGAACGTCGACTGAAACTCGGGCAAAAGGAGATGTTCTCGATTCATATTATCAAAGGTGCCACGATTCATTGCCTGTTGATCGAACATCTGGACTTCCTGTTCCCCAAAAACTTCAGGTGTTGGCCTGTATACACGTCCGACGTTCAGATCGCCAAGTGTTGCAGGAAATGCACGATCTTCTGATGTATTGATTTGTGCGCGCTTTCCTTCAGTCGAAGATTGGTTGTCTTGCGCATGGCTCATGGGGATCCACTTTCTGGAATCAGCAGGCCCAACTTCTAAGTGATCGTTCCGAGGCTCATGCGGAGGCTCGTATTCCATTTCTGTGTAGACATGTGCAGGAGTTTGATGTGGACCCATAGTATGCTGACAATACTGGGAATTCTCAATATGTCTACTGATTTCAGATCCATCCCTGACTGTACATGCCATTCCTGGGTCGTAAAGAGGGCTCCGAAATGCCACCGCCGTTGCGTTTGCTCCTGTTCCATCTCTCGCTACACCAAAATTGATGTTAGCATCTTCAGAATTGTTTGTATTTATACCAAAATAAATTGGATTTGATTGTCTCTGGTCTCGGTAATTGATTTTGCTTATGTGTTGACCTCCTGTAGTACCAAAACTTTCGCTGGTACCAAAGTTGTTGACCGTGATGGGCAATTCAGTGGCAGGACCAACTGGAGCAGTACGGGCAACCTGGAAAGTTGGGGCTTGCACCAGTAAGGCGGGAGCATCAGGTCTCAAACTGGCCATCAATTTTGGTTCTACCTCTTTCAACGTTTCTGAATCCATGTCCTCGAAATTGGAGTTGGTGTTCCAGGACGGGTGCGCACTCGGAGAGATGTTACGCCGACGGTCTCTGGTATTTTCCTCGCTTGATTGAAGCTCAGGGAATGTGTTTTGTTCGAAAACCGGCTGTTGTGCTGGAAAGTGCTCGTTCATTTCATTCCAGCCATCTAAGACAGGATAGGGTTCACTTCGCTCTATATGGTTATTAGCTAGACATTTTAAAGTAAAAAGATCACGGAATTTACTATGTTGATCTGGCACGTCTGGATAAGATGTGCCAAATTCTTTACCATTAGCCAAAGAATAACACTGTTGCCCGTCCAATGGAGGAATCTGGGTTAGTGATGTTGCTGGAAAGTCTAGCCATCGTGGTTCTTCATTGCCACATGCCGTAATGTGTGGATCAACATAATTATCAGACCGACGATACTGTGGTGGTGGCTGCAGAGTTTGTTTCGCTCCCCATTGCTGGTCGGATGCCATGCTGCTGTCCATATGTCCGGAAGTTTGTAATTAAGGGTGTACTGCGAAATATGATCAACCTTCTTTGTAGGTTTTGGAGAGTCTTTATCAGATCTTGTCTGAATTTCCGACGAAGAAGTTGTTCGAATGTATGTGGAGACCTTCAGAATAGTTTTATTGATGAATCTTTGTAAGTAGTTTCGAAGTACTGTCATTGTTACATGTCAATATGAAACTATATATATGCGCATAGAGATAAATTTTCTACGGCTGCTGGGTCAGCGACCTTACTTTGCAATACGGTATATTTCATCTGGAGATATTGATCTACATCCTGATTTGCATGATAGCCTTGCATAAGAGAGGCACCGTAGCAAAATTTTGAGGAAGTCAAGATACATCTAAGAAATTACTTTATGCACGATTTGCGCATCTGCACAAATCACGTTTTGTTTGCTTACGAGAAGGAAAAACTACGATTAGAGAATTATTGCAGCTATCAACGCTTGTCATCAGATAAGATAGTATGAGAATTGAAATGTTTGGTCAAATTTATGGTTGCATTTGACAAAATTTGACAATGGTTCAGCTAATCTGACGTGTATAGCACTTCCTGGACCCAGAAGAAAGGCTGGAAGCCATCGCCGCTTTCAATGCTTTGATATTTCCAGTAGCGTTGGTGGTGTCTAGGAGCTGAAGTTATGAAATTACAAGCTTTTTGAATAACCCAATAGGCTAAATAGCGGCTTCTGAATGCTACGCATGACTGAAAATGTTCCATTCTTCACTGTCCTGTTGCCTCGTTCCTACACAAATCCTTCACCCGAGGGCAAGGAACTATATTAAGGCAAAGTTATGGGATGCACCTTTGATTGTACAATATTAAATGGCTTGGAAGTATTCACAATGCATTTAATCCCGATTCAGCTAGCTCTAGCCCTTGATTTTATAGAAAATTATTACTAGGTATCTATCTACTGCCTAAAGAGTCGCGCTATGTGATCAAATTAATTGATTCTGGAGCATCAAATATTCAAAAAACTCTGTTTAGATGCTAGAGAGAGCTAGAAGATCGGGTTGTATGCCGAATTTTGACATTACATGTAAGGCAAGTGAGTTGTAGGGGGTCAGTTCGCGATCGAGGGCAAGGGCCAAGAACGAATCAACACAGGGTTCCTAGTGCTTTGGATCGAAATGATAGCAAAACTGGGATAGTATTCTCCCTTATTCTTGACCTTCCTACTTTTGTTCAACCATGCGCTTTGAACTATACGTAACAACCGATTAATTAGTGCCGCATCCAAAAACTACACGACGGTTGAATATTTAGAAATAATTTCTTTGTCTGATTCTCCTTGATTCTACTCGATTGATGTATTAAACGGGTCTAATAGTGATATCTGGACATATTCCTCTCTGAGGGAAAGTTGTGTGATTCCATAGTGCATATGAGCTCTAGTAGCTCTAGCTTCCTGCATTTGGAAAATCTCAAGCACTCTGCTCAGGGCCAGAAATTACTTGAAATTATTTGTAACTATTGGTAGAAGTATTGGTAGTCAAATGAAAGGAGGAAAAGTAAAATTCCATCGAAAATACTTTCCAGCTGAAAGTTCTAGAATCTACTTCCCCATATATAATTCGAATTTAAAATAGAGTCTTTATAAATCTATATTTTCTTTCATAAACATAAATATTAAATGTTTTTCTCAATATTGAATAAAAGTAATAGACTTTTTTTAGCAGCAAAGAAATTGTTGCTGACAATGAACATTTATGAAAAAGTCAAAAGAGCATCCTTCTTCGAAGTAACTTTGCTTCAAAATTCATAGGAGTTTGAATGATTGCAAACATGTGATTTATGATAAAGTGGGATGGACTGCTGCCTGGTGGCTGGAAAGGGTGGAGTTAGTCATCAGCTTATATTCCAACAACAATCTTCGGATCACGCCCATGCTTTAATTCCTTTATGTTCGTCGGAACTCACAGTGCCCTGAATTCGATTCCGAGATGGTTTTCCCAAATTTTAATCCAGTTATTCTACTCGCACAGCCTCAAGATACGCCTCGCTTAGCTGCTATCACTACTCGGGCCTTCGAAGCAAGCGATACCATATTTCCTCTTATATGGGGAAATACTGCTCCCGGTGTTCATGATGCCGCTGCTCTGATGTTATTCAAACCGTTGCAGAGTGATACAAAAGTTACGTGGTAAGTAGAAATTGATGGGAAGATCGTGGGGTATGCTCGGTGGCTTTTGCCAGTTGGCTCAAAAATGACAGCGTTTAAACCTGATAACGGGGTTGATGGCAAAATAGAGGAAAAAAGCGTTGATATTGAGAAATTTGATGGAAGTGCCACGGCTCCGATCAAACAGAAGATGTATGATGGTTGGGAAACACCTGCCGGAATGAGTTTTGATCTATTCATGCGAAAGGTGAAGGGTTCGATTGAGTGCAAGCAACGTGATTATGATGCGGAAAGAGACATAAGTAAGCTAGATTTTTATCCCTCCTCATTCCTCTTACCCTGATGTTTTTGAACTACAGTGCTTATAATCTAGTGCTCGATCTATGTTTTGTGGATCCAGAATACCAGAAATTAGGAATAGGAAAGATGCTGTTGCAATGGGGAATTGACATAGCAGACAAACAAAGCAGTAAAATATGTTTGGTCAGCATGCCGCAAGCTCGGAAGTTCTACGAAACAGGTGGATGGGTTTTAAGGGAGAACTTAGATATAGATTTGGGGGCACATGGAGGGAGTGGAAAATATGGGAGGTGTTGGATGATCATAGAAGTCTAAGAAATAAAGTACGGAGTGCCGGTAATATTAATCCATTTTTGGTTTGCGCTCCATGGCAATACCCAACGATAGAGGACGTTAATTGCTAGTGTATACTTAGCTTGAGACATTAAAACAGTATAGCAGCAGATCATTATGCTACCCAAGTCCCTGATTCTCAAATATTCTGTTTACTAAGACAAGATATTTAAGGTGCATTTACTTAGGATAGGTGTCAAGTGTTAATAGCACGTCGAATATAACGTGACGGTAGCGTCTACCCCTCTGAGTAAAATTGCATTGAATAGTGCAACATAAATCCTCGGGCGAACTGACAGACATAGCCCTATTGATTTTCAATAATGCCAGAGAAAGCTACGGCTACTACGCATGATAGTTCTAAAGAGCAAATAGGATAGCAGAAAAGGGAATCAAGTGAACAAGTTTACCGTGGAAGTTTGCCATATACACGAACTATGAAAGGGCATATTCAAGAATTCAGTAAGGGACAATCTGAATACTAAATCGAAACCAATCTCATAGCCCTTAAGGGGCAGAAAACTAGTCTAGTCCACGGAGATTTCCTTTTTTAAGCCCAGGGTTTCTCCGCGTACCACCTGGGACTAGCATGAACCCTTTCCAAAACCTGAGGCATTTGGACTAGATAGTCGACGGGCATTCCATTTTAGACCTATAATAACTCAATATAAATATCAAAAGCAGTTTTAAAGTCGTTAATGGTGTAAAAAGGGGTTCAGATCCGTCTTCGTATTCAATCGATTTTAATCTCTCGATACTTGCCAATCCCATGGCTTCTAGCTAACCAAGTGTAAGCTCAATCTATTCCTGCGTATTACACGACTGCGTTTTGTTTTTGCAAGTTGCCGGGTCTATCAATGGCCCCGCACTTTCACGTCCCCAGATACTATAATACATCCCCCAGACTAACCTGGGATGAGATGGATGATTGAAGTTGTAATAAGAGGAAACATTGTGGAGGGCTTTTGCCATTGCATCAGTATGACAATCTACATGCCAATGATCATTGAGGTAATTATCCATGTGCAATAAGATATTAATAACTTCTCTGATCTTTCTGTCAATATCTTTTAACGCCAGCTGGGTTTGGTGAAGCGAGTTGCGCATTTCGATTTCACACACGATTCGACCTCGTTCAAAATCATTCTCAAGCCAATCTTGCATATACCCAATTATTCCATTGCGTTGATTGGTGTCAGGTGCTGACATTGAAGCTTCATCCGAGGACAATGTACTTGTACCACGCTCTACTGTGGATTGGAGCACTCCACTTTTAGTTTTGGCCTCTTCGAATAAATTCATCAGTCTTACACCTCTCGTCAGAGCTTCAGTCAATCCTACAGATCTGTGAATCAGAAGATACTCGTCGAGTAGGTTGTATCCTTCTCGTAATGCTTTCAAATATTCGAGGTAATTGGCTTCAATTCCCATTCTTCCAAAACCGCAAGCAAAAATGTAACACCAATAGGAGCTTTTGCCTGTATGCTGACTGAAATAATCGGTTGAAAAAGTTGCACCATCCGTAAAATTCTGATGTCGGACATTTCCCCCTGAGTCCTCGATTAAAGCGTTTGTTAGTATCATTGCGTCCTCCGCGTGCCGACGGATACTATCATAATAATCTATGTATTCGTGATATATTTGGTCCTAAGTAATTTGTAAATCCTCAAACAGACCTAAGAATTTGTGTGCTAGTGGAATGTCTGGTAACTCCTTAGCAAAACGTCGGGCTACCGAAAGCGTGTCGCCCGGGAATATATCTAAGTGTCCTTTAAGTGTATTTCCTTCCCTTTTGGTTGCATAATATACGACATCCTTTTGCAACAGCGGAATTGCAGATGTAATCTTCGGATCGGTTCCTGAAATGTCTCCAGTGTCTCCGAGGACACTCTCGTCTCGGCGAAATAAGGCAAAATAGGTCAAAATCGATCCGATTATAAGGCCGAATCTTGAAAATATCAAATTTTTGAGTTGAAGTCCTAGATTCCATTGTCTAGGATATCGGCCGAAAGGATATTGAGGAGAAACAGGTGGCGTAAGGGGAGCTGTGTACACATCTTCATCAGAGTCACTTGGACTCTGGCTGTGTTGCCTCAATCGAGTGACAGTTCCTCGACGACTATGGATTACGGTGGCCATAAAGAAGGGGATAATGCGAGTATGATATATTGGAGGTTATGGTCTTACGGCTACCTTCAAGTTGATGTTATTGATCTGACCCAAATGGATCGAGGGATGAACCTTCAAGAAGTGAGTAGCTGCTTGGTGATGAGCGCGAAGATTTTTCGCTTGATTATATTGGTTTCAAGTCAAAGGCATGGTTGTCGAACTTTAATCGCTTCTTTGTGTGTAGATTTTCCTTTGAAAAGTGGAAATCCTCTGTGGGGATTGACAAACATTCCAAGAAAATGTGAGGAGCTTTCATTTTTGTTTGATGAAGTCGGGACGCTTTTGGCGTCAAAGAACAAGGGGTTCGAGAAAACGTTTACATCTAATATTGAACACTTGAATTTCCCAAAGTTTGAAAGCTTACATCTAAAGCCAATCTGCTGATTCAGATTATTGGATACCGTGTTGTGGATGGTCCCAAGCGAAAATCCTAGGATAACCTTATGGCTTCAATTGCAATGAAATAATTGACTAGAATTACGGAGAGATCTTCAGTTAATAGAAAAATGATAGTATGATGAGCTGCCTACTGCAAATAAACGAAGATGGACTTTCGCTTAAATACTTGCGTAGAATTCCTCCCCAATCCAAATGATTGAATGTAAAGTTTCACAATGATCAATAAAGCAGGAAGAAGTAGAAGAATTTTAAATACTATATGATGTATATGTTTTATCTACAAGGAATACTCGATATGTATCTATCTAACTCTATATAGATTAAAGAAAATACTTGTTACGACGGCTATCTTCTACGCCGCGTCACATGACTAAACCAAGGTAACGTGATTAAGTCACGTTATGGACCGCTGAGGAACGCTGGCTGTCCAGGACCGCTGCGCGGTCCTGACTAGCCATAGGCATGAAGGTCTATATAATCAAGATGGATTTCCTTTGTATAGAGCTTCGTGCTCAAGATCAATCATTTAGTATACTCTACTATTAGTTACGAATAGCATATTATTATTGTCATTACTTTAAGTCCCTACTTGACGCCTAGTTATAAATCTACCTCGAGAGCCTAGAGCACTTCCACGTGATATAGACGGCTATCCTCGTAACAATACTGGTCTGGCAACATAATTAAAATTGAAGCTTCCCAAGCTTTCTAGCAACCGTGCATTGATATTGGCCACAATCCGTTTTTACACCAAAACTCACTCTTTTAGTTTATTTTGATTGAAAGAATTATAAGTTTTGAAATCAAATTCTTAATAATTCAAATTTAAAAATTTGGAAATTTTTATTTTTATATAATTTGTTAAAAGGAATGACCTCACACAGGTGTTACGTGACGGTTGTTACCCACTAGTGGCTCACGTGCACTAGCCCTTTATATAAAGACCTTACTTAGAATCTTCTTAGTTCTTTAGTTTTAGATTCTAAGTGATTGAATTGACTCCGTTTACGACTTTTCCGTCACAACAGGGAATAGTGGGAAGCTGATAGGGCAGAACTGAGGTAATATTGGTCTAGTAGGTTAATCTCTCTTCTCAGTTCTACGGAAGTGCGAAGCTCTCTGTAAGAGAGCTTCTCAATCTAGTCCTAACAGGACTAGTGCCCTGTGCACGTGCTACGCAGGAACCATTCACTTTAACATAATTCTTCTTTTTTGATTGATATATTTCTATTATTTTAAATTACTAGATTTTATTAATTTTATTATAAAAAGCAAATCAAAATTTAATCTCATCTAATCTTTTTCAAACTTTATTGAATTAATTGAAAGAATTATAAAATTATTTTATTGTCTTTTAATTATATATTCAATTTAAAGTATTTACACATACTCAAATATTTCAATCATTTACAGTTGTAAACACCAATAAAGCAAAATTAAAGTTACCAATAATATATCATTCAGTATATAATTATGTTTTATTAGATCGATAATAAATATAACTAGCATAGGGACATATGCGGCTAGGTTGCCATGATCCTTTCTCCTGGGGTGTTTTCACCTCAAGTGGGATCAAATCACACCCTTAAGTATTGGTTTTAACCAGATCATTGATCAACTTCTTCTCATCGAAACCCCACCTACTCACATCCATCTGCTCCTGCCAACCCTGTTTATCGCGCAATTCTTGCACTAAACTAAAATATCTACCCATATTGAGGTTAAAGCCCAGAACACTCTCACTCGCCGCCATAATTTGGATATTGAACGTGATTTCCTGAAACATGATTCCGTGGCCTCGTGTTCCCAAGTCTAAAGATCCGTCGCGGCAGCATTTTCCAACACAACCATAAATATGGAAGAATGCATGACACATCTCATGAACCAACACACCAAACAGACCTTTCAGGACTTTTCCTGACATGGGCTCGAGCTTCTCGTTAATGTAGATAGTGATTGTGCTAATCGGATTGAATCGACATTGTAGCTGACCATTTCTAGCCCTTTGGAAAATAGCATTGGAGTCTTCGGATGTGTGACCCTTACAACCAGGTATCGTAGCGGCACATGTTTTGGAAACGATAAGAATGACGTGCCTCTCCAAGGTGCCTCCGAAGAACAAGCCATCGAATATGTGAAAATATTTTTCCAGGACTTTTCTGATTGGTGAAAGCTGATCTGGATTAGTGGAATTGAGGATATCTATCTCTTTCCACCTCATAATGGCTTCTTTTTGAATATCGCTTAAGTTTGGACCAGTGGGCTCGATATACCTCCAGACAGCGCCAACGAGACTTGCGGGTCGATGTTTGAAGAGCTTTAGGTTGTTCAAAGTCAAAGGTCGACGAAAAAATAGTCTGGTCGAGAGTTTATCTGCCTTTGGGTCGGTTCCTTGAAGGATCAGAGCATGTGGATAGTAATGCTCCTCTTCTTCTTGCTGAGAGAATTCATCTGATGCAGGTTGGGTTCCACAAAGGATTCCGGCGAGACATTCTGATACAGTTGATTCTCTCATGACATGAGTTGAAATCTTTGAAGGTGATTGACCCATCGTGTACGTTTTGCTGATAATTTATCAATAAAATTCGAATTCTAGGTGTGGTATGAGATTTTCTGATGACGAGAACTTAAGGTAAGGAGTTCGAGTCTGCAAGTATGTCAATATATATAGTAATTGCCATCACTGAGGCACAATCGTCCCGAGCACTAGGTACCGCAGCTACTGTAGTCATGCACACATTCATGATACCACAATCTGCCATTCCAACCGTATTGAATGGAGCCTAGGTAAATCAGCAGTACAGACAGGCACACCATTTAGCCGTATTATCTACCAGCATCTAAATCCATTATTTCCTTCCCATTAAAAGGTCGGCCTTACGGCGGATCCGCTTCCGAAGGGGCTCAGAAATCAGAGTAGAATTAACTACTCGAACTTTTTTCAGCTTGTCTCAGCTGATTTCATGGGAAGGGTACGACAGTATTGCGAGAAGCGTTGGGGAACTAATTCAAGCGAATATTGGAACTTTCCAGAAGTTGTATTGCAAATTCGAAAAAATGAGTATGACAACCACACTGTCACGATTCACCATTAGGATTGATGGTGTTACGATGGTAGCAAACTGATTAATTAGGAGAGCTTAGGCCTTGTGCAAACACGATCAGATTTCATCGAATTAGTATGTGATCTTGGTCACCTGAAGATCGTGTATGCACGCACCATCAGAAATCACGTGATAAGGAGCCCTAGGAGCTTCGTGCCCAACTTAGTTATCAATTAGTTTACCTACATTCTATTTGATCTAGTAACGAATTCACTTTCAAGTGAATACCAGTGATAAAGCCTTAACCTATAACTATCAACCGACGAACCTTAGGCAGCCGCTGCCTTTAGTACAGTATCGTTACACACACTTCTCTATACTCTAGAGCAAATTTCAGTGATTGAAAATATTCTCAACTCCGCAGCTAACCTTCGCTTTTGGCACTATTAAAGAAGCCAACAACCACATCGAAATAACGGCAACACATCAGATTCTCAACATCAGCCATACCGAGATTTTCTTATCGTATGGAGTAAATCAGTCATACCTATACGTAAATAAGTGCCAAAACTTTCACTACAATACGTTCGAAGCATGCTCAAGTGAAGAGCAGACTGTGCTTTATGCATATTGCCACAGCCGAAGTGATGGCAAAGAATATTATAGACGTGGCAATACCTCACTAGACAGGCTTTCCGACTTGTGATGTTTATTGAAGCTTTTGCTCTACATAGTTCTTCAGCCACGAGATGATCCGCGCTGATTGCTTTCCAGTCACTTGAAAGGCCAATATCTTAAGTTATCAGATCCGAACTATAACACAGCTGAACACATTCGTTCCATGCACATGTTTAATGTTTTTAAGTTAGAGTCCAAAAAGTCTTGAGCACCATCTAGAAGTGGCGTACGCCTAAGATTGAGAAATTTTCTTATTTTAGTTTTATCTACCTGTTGTAAAAACCAGAGGTTGCCGTACTTCTATAGTCCTTATAAACGATCTATGTAATATCTTAGCATCGAAATAACTTTTCGAAAAATTAGCTTGAAGGAGCTGGGAGAACTCCTTTAACACCTCCTTTCTGTCCAACTTCCCGTGCCGTCACGGTGACTGACAAATCCTTGCTGATGTTGATCATGACCTCGACCTTGCTACCCTTTTTGACACCCTTGATCGCGGCCTCGGCAAGGACATTTCCGACCTTCCAGATTCTCTCACGTTGCTCCTCTTCTTCCTCTTCGCTCTCATCCTCCTCTGAATCATCCGAGTTTGCGTCCTCTACCTTGGCTCCGTTGGATTTAGGTTTTGGCTCTGGCTTGGTGACCTTGATGTGCGATCCTCCCTCGACAATTTTGACTAAAACATCACCACCTTCCTTAGGAGCGGCAATTTCGACGGTTCGGCGGGCTGGAAGAGCAGTTTCGGCAGCAACGATTGGTGTAAAGACACCCTTGTCACTCTCGCCAGAGATGGAAAGGACACCAATGGCATTTGTGATATGTTGAACAGTGGTGACGGCAGCGTGAGTAGATTGCTCAATATCCTGGGCGTCAAATTCTTGAATGAGAGATGCTTGAAGCGCAGCTCCACGGGCTTGCAATTCAGATGGGTTGATCGCAGTGGGGCTAGTGGATGGGGCGAGAACTGTGGCGTTAGGGTATGTGTATTGGACATTGGATGCGATTTTTGGGGTGTGCGATGTACCACCTGAAAGAATGACCTCGTCAATTTCCAGTGCATCCAATCCAGCCTTCTTAACAACGCCTTCAATTAATCTGTTGAATCCATCGAAGACCTTGCGTGCGATAGTCTCATATCTAAGTCTGTTAATGGTAGAAGAGAAATCGATACCTTCTGCCAAGCTCTCAACGCTGAAGTTGGAGTTTGTTCCGATACTAAGTGCTTTCTTAGTAGCCTCGGCTTCCAACTTGAGTTTTGCGAGACTTCGAGCATTCTCACGAGGATCGATTGAGTTCCATTTGATGAATTCCTTGGAGAAATGGTCCATCAGGACCTTATCAAGGTGAACACCAGCGAATTCATAATCATGTGCAGTTGCTAGGATGGTATACATGCCCCCTCTTGATGCGATGACTGCGACATCAGAACGAGTTCCTCCAAGATCAGCGACGATCACATTTTTGTCTGCGACTTTGCTCTCTGGCCTTGCGTCATAGGCCAATAAAGCAGCTACTGGCTCGTTGATGAGTTGTAAAACCTCAAGACCAGCGTCATTTGCAGCCTTTGACAATGCTGCCTTCTGGCTATCTGAGAAATTTGTTGGGACTGTGATAACAGCTGAGTTGATTTGCTTTCCAGAAAAATCCGATGCGGATTGTGCGAGACGACGGATTACTCTGGTTGCGACTTCGGAAACGGAGACAGTCGATGGCTCGCCTTCCTCTTTATCTTGAATCTTGAATGCGATCGTGCCGTCGTGGTCCAAAGGATGTGCTGAGGCATGGCAGTGTGTAGGATCTATCGATTTGAAGCTGTGCGTAGTGCGGGGCAAAATGTTAGCCATCTTTCACCATTTTTGAAAGTACAGCCAGGATCCAAAAGGGCAAGTATAATGCATTACGTACTCTTGTCCGAGGAAATCTCTGAAATAGGCAACGGTGTTTCCGCTGTTTCTAATGAGTTGTTGCTTGGCCTGTTGGCCGTAATATTCGTCGCCGTGGATATAAGACAAAATGGAAGGAATTTGACGATCTACAATCGAAGTTAATCAATCTGTCCCCTCCATTCCGGTTTGTCTGTTCTTGTGGCATGAATACTTACCACCATCCTCATTGGCAATAACTTCGGCTTTATCCTCAACGGTAGTGTAGGCAATTGAGCTGTTGGAGTTTCCGAAAGAGATACCAATGGCATTTCTCTCTCCAGCAGTGCCGTTTGATGCAGGGATTTCAGCGGCCATTTTGGGAAATATGAAGGAATATGGAAGAAATTCAGAAATATATTCAAGCAAAGAAAAGACTTTGACCCAAAATCAAAGTGGTGATATCTTTCTGTGTAAATGTCCAACGTAAATGAGATCCAGAACTTTTTTACTTTTTTCAAAATCGCATAACCTTAGAGAATTTCGCTAGCGCCACATCCATCTTGGTTAAGCCCCCACATTGACAGACGCAAGGCTGAGAAAACTGCAACATTTATTTCTCGGAGTGAAATATAACCTTACAGTACTCAAGTAAAACAGTCAATACACAACAAACTCAAGAATATCAAAGACAACGACGATACTTATAGAATGGTCATAGAGTTTTACAAGCCGATATAATCATCCCTTTACAACATCACAATGTCAACAGAAACCTTCGTCCTTCCGGGCGATCATATTGCTCCAGAATTATTACCTTCTCACCCAAGTTTACCTCTGAAGCTCGGCCCCGGGTTAAGACATATTCCTCCAAATACAATTACTTCAACTGTGGCAGGGCAGTTACAGACAGACTCGAGGAAGAACGCGATATGGGTTGAATTCAATGCTGGCAGAGTAAGAGAGCAAATCACAACTCCTTGTACCTCGAGAGCTAATATTTTCCACAGTACATTCCAACAGTAGGAGACCTCGTAATTGCTTCCATTAAAAAGTCAGCAGGAGACGTTTATTACGCAAATCTTAGCGATTTCACATCAGACGCCAGTCTACCAGTACTCTCGTTTGAGGGAGCTACGAAGAAAACGCGACCGCAGCTTGAGAAAGGCTCATTGGTCTATGCAAGAGTTACCCTTGCCAACAAACATATGGATCCGGAACTAGAATGTGTATCAGCATCAACTGGTAAATCGGAAGGTTTGGGGCCATTGGAAGGAGGGATGCTTTTTGACGTTTCCCTCGGTATGGCAAGACGGATGATGATGTCTCGCCCAGCCGATCAAGGCGGTTTGACGATACTTGAGGAGCTAGGGGAGGCAGGCGTTTCATTTGAGATTGCCGTAGGAAGGAATGGAAAAGTTTGGGTGGATAGTAAGTCGGTAAAGACTACTCTGGCCATAGGGAAGGCCCTGAGAGAAACGGACGAAAAGTGTCTGTCACCAGAAGATCAAAAGAAACTAGCTAAAAAGCTAGGACGCGACGCTTGAAAAACGATACCCTAGGATAGAATAATTACGCCATTCAAGTTTTTCAATGGCTGAAATAAAAGCATGATGGACGATCCCGTGCCAACATTCCTCCATTCCAGCCCTTACATGTATGATACACGACGGCAACCTTTTCCTCGCACCCGCCACCCAGCTACAATACCCCTTACAAGCCTCAATCATAATCTATCTAGGTGGCTTTGTGTTTCGTAGTATGGCGTTTTAGAGTTACAGATTCTGCCAGGCTTACATTCTTTGGAAATGTACGCACACTATACCAATAATCAAGCGCAACGCATTCCTCTTACCTCAAATCTTTCACCAACCTTGCTGATTGATCAACACAAAGTGAAACGATGAAGCTGGGAGGCAAAATGGGGCTCTATACATTGAAGATGGATGTACAACACACTAAGCTCCTTTCTCATACAATCATTTTTTCCCACCATGTTTCGTTTTACCACTACATTTGCGTTGGCCATTCTCTGCCTCACAAAATCATCATGTTCGAGACCTATATCTAAGCCCGAGAAAGGAAAACCTTGTAAGAAGTCTCTGATCTCTTCAGTGAAAACAAAACTAACGTTTTTCAGTCGACATTAACCCCCAAATTCCACCGAGGCTAGACGCAGTAGGAAATGTCGGTTGCAGTACCAATGCTGCGGGTGTTGATGTCAATCCCATTCACCTGCCCTTGATTCCTTCTCCCAACATCAAGAAATCATTTCAAGAAAGGAGCGTAGAACTGCCGTTGAGCGGCAGAAGTCTGAGGATCAAACGTGCGGTTCCTCTCTTGGTAGCAGGGTCCATCAACGGGCAGAGCTTCATACCTCTACCCACTTTGGCTGTGGATGCAGTCACAACAATATCGTCAAATACCACAGGTCTTATGACAGCTACATATTCATCCATCCCAAGCTGGTCAACCGCAACAATGTTCATTTCAATCAGCACATCGTCCGATTTTATAGGTCCTGTGACAGCGATAGATTCGTCGGTACCTAAAACGTCAAGTGCCAGCACGTCTACCTTAACAGATACTTCTATAGAAACAAGAAAGCTCCATACACATCATCGTACATTAGCAACGATGCCTCCACCTACTATTATCATAGAACCTCACCCTCGCTTGACGAGTTTGCCCAGAATGACACATACACATCATCGCCTTTCAAAGAATTCCAAAGTAATTCAATATGCATCGGCACATCCTCATCCGTTACTAGTTCAAACCGAAACACAAAGGTGGAGAACAAAAACAAAGCCATTCAAAATTGCGTCGCATGCATCTAAGTCAACGTTGACGTGGATCTCACCTCCCCAAACAAGATTTCCCATACCACCGCCTGCTCCTATGTCGGTACAGAAGACCACCTTGGAAAAAAAGGTCTCGGCCAGTATATCCTGGAAACGTGCTAGTTTGCATCCGCCCGCCGAGACTCTGTATCCTCCTGTCATCGAGCGCGGCCTACCAAGCAATGCCTGGTACAATGATGAATAATGCCGAGATGGATTTCATGAACTGCCTATTTCCTTTGCGTCTTTTACACATTTTGCTATTGTAGACTGCTATTTGTCTGGCCTGGTACCTACAGTTATCAAGTCATGATAGTCAATTGTTAGCATATAAAAGCTAGAGAAGCGGCTAGGCCCGATTTGCATTATCAATAAGTTGAGTACCCCACTTTCGGACCACCCCTCTTTTGGACCACCTAAAATCTTACCCCATTTTAAGCACTACCTCCCAACTTCATCTTTAATAAATCAACAACCACTTATTCAATTGATATAAGATTTTAATACATTATCAATTAAGCTATGACAAAGCCTTATACTGAAGATGATATTGCTGCAGCACTTTTTGCGATTGCAGGAGGCATGTCTATGCGTAAGGCTTGCTCAGAATATGGTATTCCCCGCACCACTTTACACAACCGTATAAATGGCCACCTTTCACATAAAAAAGGTGCACAAAACCTACAGAAGATAGCTCCTGTGCAGGAGAGAGCTCTAGCAAATTGGATTTTAGTACAGGAAGCCCTAGGAACTAGCCCTACCCATCGTCAAATACGAGAATTAGGAGAGTCCATTCTCAACCTCGAAGGAGGTGATTTATCTCTTGACAAGCGATGGATACATAGTTTTTTGGAAAGAAACCCAGAGATTAAGACTAAAAGGCAATATAAAATCGATAATGCCCGTATCAATGGTGCAACTACCGAAATTATAAGCAAGTTCTTTGAAAAGTTGGATTTACCAGCAATTAAGTATATCAAGCCCGAAAACAGATGGAATATGGATGAAGCTGGTATAATGGAAGGCCAAGGTCTCAATGGTATGGTACTTGGGAGTTCAAAGCGACGTTTTATTCAGAAAAAGCAACCCGGTTCAAGAACGTGGACCTCTTTTATTGAGTGTATCTCAGCTACGGGAAGAGCACTTTTACCTTTGGTTATATTCAAAGGTAAAACACTTCAACAACAATGGTTTCCCATTAAACTTGATAACTATGAAGGGTGGGAGTTCACTGCTACAGATAATGGGTGGACTACGGATTCTACAGGTTTGGAATGGCTAAAAGAGGTGTTTATACCACAATCAGCACCAACTCGACCGAAAGAAGCAAGACTCCTTGTTTTGGATGGGCATGGAAGCCATGAAACCACTCAATTTATGCTTGAATGCTTCAAGAATAATATACACCTCTTATTTTTACCACCCCATACATCGCATGTACTACAACCTCTTGATTTATCAATATTTTCACCTCTGAAAAAAGAATATCGATACCACCTCAATACTCTCGATTCATTGACGGATTCTACTCCCATTGGCAAAAGAAACTTTCTTGCCTGCTATCAGAAAGCTAGATTAAAAGCTTTAACACTTCGAAATATCACTTCTGGGTGGAAGGCTTCAGGTTTATGGCCTCAAAACCGCGCTAAACCTCTTTTGTCCAGATTATTGCTCGAAAACAGTAATCAAGAGGTTGTATATCAAAATCCTGTTTCAGATGATGATCCCGAGCTTCAATGGAATATACATTCATCTTTTATTGCATGGAAAACCCCTCAAAAAGGAAGTGATATTCGAAAATATGCTGATATAATGGAGAAAGTTGATGAGACCGATATTCCAACTCGCCGGCTGCTTTTTCGAAAGATTCAAAAAGGATTTGATGCTAAGGACTATGAACTTGTACAGTCCAAGAAACGAATAAAGCAATTGGAGCAAAAATTAGAAGAGATTATACCTAAAAAAAGAAGGATGGTAAAAACTAGTCCAAATTCGAGGTTTGCAGGGATAGAAGCTATATATCAAGCTCAAATTGAAGCTGGTGATCGGGAAATTGAGATAAAAGACTCTGATAGTATTTATGAAACTGACAATACAGGGGATTGTATTGAAGTTGAATAGTGGTTGAGTTATTGAAGTTTAAAATTCATATATATATATATTTTTAGGTGGTCCAAAAGAGGGGTGGTCCGAAAGTGGGGTACTCAACTTATAGATTATATGAAAACATGCATTGTAACACTAATGACCTGATAATAAATGACCTCTCTTGTAAAGAATACTTTGCAGTAGTCGTAAGTGCTCTCTGAGTGTTTACCTCCCCTCAGGCCAGAATATCTGCAGTAGTCCTTCATTCATAAAATTCTAGTGCTACATTTTTCTTCATCGCAGCGCACTGCCAGAGTCTCGTTTCGTATTCCATTTTGAATTTCGCATATCACCCATACCCAACCCCTTAAAACTCTGTTCAAAACTTCCAATCCATCATGAACCCCATCCTCAATAATCGTCTTGACCTGATTACCCACCACACAAATAAGTTCATCATCATAGAAATCTAACCCATGACCTTGCATAAACCAAAATAAATTAGGGTATCCTTGCTCAATAAGCCAAGCTTCGGTTTCCCGGCTATTCCTAATTTGCCCTGCAATAGCTGTCATGGAGAGATTTCCTGGAGGATTTTCTCCGTCAAAATTGGCAGGTTGCATTTGTCGTGGAAAGTCCTCATCGTCGATCATTCCTTCGCTAATAAGTGCTTCTCTTTCTGCGTTACGTCCATTCTCGTATCTCGTATCATCTTCTATGTCCATTTCTTCGGTATCATCCTCAATACCAGCACATATATCTCGTGATTTGAGACTCATATCCACCTTGATTGAATTCCCGACAGCTTCCACGTCATTATCATTCCCGTGATTCATCCCAACATACTGCATATATTCTTCAAGGCAAGACCATCCGTGACTGATGAGCCACTCGTGGATTCCTTCATCTTCGCAGCGGATTCTATAGGTTGATTCGAGTCTTTCTTGTTCGCGAGCTGCGATTTGGAGTTCTCCTACGTCTTTCTCTGTGACGGCGGGGCATTCGTCTTTCTCTTCTTCTTCGCCTTTGCGCTCCTTATTACCTTCCATTCCATCACCATCATCTTGATAGCCCTCCAAGACACTCTTGACATCTATCATGGCATCACCAAGTATCTCCTCCTGCTCTCCGTCTTTTCCCTCATCTATCCCATCCATTCCATTCATTTCACCATTACCCTCCTCCAACTCCTCAAGTTCCTCCAACTCCTCAAGTTCCTCCAATTCCTCGTCATCAAATACCCCATCAACCTCTTCCTTATTCGCAAATGGATCGCTACCTCTATAATCACGAAGCAACTCTTCCGCTTTCATGTAGTCCTCTGCACTCCTAGGATCATAACCATAGGTCACCATGAAATCGTGAAAGTTCTTCCATCCTCTTTTGTTGAGCCATTCGAGTCGTGGGAGTTCAAATTTAGGTGTGTGAAGCATTCTTGCAGAGGAAAATCGGTGGTTATATGTTGGATCTCTTAGGGTGTCTGGATTTGATTGTTTGTTGTTTGGAATTGGTGTGGAAGTATGATGATTGTGGAAATTTGCTGGATAGGGGATAGGCGATGGCTTTTTGGGCATAATTTCAAAAACCTCGGAGGTGTATTGAAAGGATATTGACTAATTGGGATGGAGATTTCTGTATACAAGTCACTGTTGGAGGTGAACGAAGGATGGATTTGGCTACTCCCATCAAGAAATAGAATCATAGATCACAAATTTGCCAGAATCAATATCAGGAAATTTCCTATGGCCTAATATAAATTAAAATGTCAAACTTAAATTAGTAGGCTTCAAACTTTTTAGATGTTATTGAATTGCTAAATTCACTTCATTTCTCATCATTGTACTATCTATCTCATCTTACAGAATCCCAAACAATCCCATAAAGCATGATTCAAGTGAATACTAGTATATGTGCCAGGGCATCTCAGGCTCTGAACTTTGTAGATGTGTGTGGTGTTGCCTTGATATTTATTCAAACTCATCAAAATTCGCAAATTTGCCAAGAGCTTTAGTTGAATAACTAGTTGGTGGATTGTATATAACTAGTTTCTAAATCTGACCTTTTGCCTTTAAGCGCCTACTAGGTGATAATTTATAAATAGTAGAGGTGCTAACTTTAAGAAAACTACTATAGGACCGATTATATCGAGTCTTTTCAAGTGGTCTTAGGTGATTGTTAGAATTAGGGAGCGGTGTGGCCGGATGAAGTTTAGACGGGACGAGTTGGTTCTCTCTAATGGCTTATCCATTTTGAGCTAATCGTTCTTGAATGAGTTTGCTGGTGTATTGGACTATGGAATTACCTAGAGATATGCGCTGAATCAAGTTCCGTCTATTTTGATGTTCTCGTTGCTGTAAGGTAGGCATTTTAATGATTATCTTTGCTTTTTAAGAGATGTGCTTTGAGAAGGACTCTGATTTCTTATAATTTCTTGTTGACTGACATTCTAATATTTTGACTTAGCTGTACGAGTGAGGGATTAGACGCTCTTTTTTAGAGCTAGTCTACGTAAATTTGTACGGCTGACAAGAGAACTTCATCGTTGTACACTATTTGTTCTACAAACGATTAATGTACGGAAACAGCTGACAGTCGTATTAAACCTCATAATTAAATCACACTACGTAGAGTAAAGTTTTGCGGTGTGAAATCCATGTTAGATACCAAGGCTTTCCAGAAATTCCAAGGAAAGAATAGCTCGATGCTAATCAATCATCAAAGACCCATAATTTATCGTTCAAAATTAAGGAGAGGTTTCAAAACCAAGCCAAGATCGGCTTCATAATCGCAAACTGAGCTCATTAAAACTTAGACAGGCTTATTAATAGTCCACAGCCCTTTAAGCCCAACCTCTGCGTTTCACCTACACAATATTCTCTGCACTCTGCTTTTGGGAGGCATGTTGTAAATGGCCCTAGAGATTGTTAAATTTATTAGCCTCGGAAAACTATTTCGAAGAAGAAGATATGTCATACCTCAGGTTTGTCGCTGTCTGCAGTCTGCCGAAGATATTTCTGGTAATCTTGTTCGATTTCCACGAACACAGTACCAAAGCTCTTGGAAACCAAAGCCGTGGAATCAACAGTTGTGGCATCCCCTGAATCATCTCGATTATTCCTCCTAATAAACGATCTCATGCCCGATAGAATTGGGTTAGGTGGCTTGGGCAGATTATTTGCGCCGCTGGTCACCTCAATCCAATGTCCATTTTAGAGACTAATTTTTCGTTGTTTCCAAAAGTAGATCAGGGATGATGAGGGGCCCTTCTGCTTCTTGCGCGGCGAGCGGAGCCCAAATGTAACAAAAATGGTACTGAATGGAATAATAGATATCATTATACACCCAACGCACCCCTCGATGTATTGCCAGTACATCATCCAGGAGATGTCTATCATAGGGCCTATTTTGATGCCACACGCTCGAATCAGAGCGATTATTGCCATGATTAAGGAAAGGCACAGGAAACTCCAAGCGAGAGCTTTTGCGTTTGCTTCATGCGTGTTTTCCGTAGGATAAGTATCGGGATACTGGCAACTGCGGTTTGAATTAGGAAATGGCAAACATGGTATGGCCTACACTTACTCATGACGTCACTGACAATATCAAAAACACTACCAAGAGTATAAATAAAAATAGCCTTGAAATAGTTGTTTTCCGGAAGGCATTTTGCTGATCTTTGAGTCAGTCAAGTCATTTTCCGCCTAGAAATAAGCATCTTGTCTGATCTCTTACCCGCATCTAGTCCGAAATGCGGACAAAGGATAAAAGGCTCGGCCACCAAGAACAGCCACGTTATCAATGTATAGATGACAACCGGCCAATAATAGATATTGAAGTGTTTAGAGACACCTTGGATGAGACCCCAAAACAGAGTCAAGAACGAGGCTTTTACCGCAAATGTACAAGTTCAGATAGTGCATATGAATGCATCAAAGAAGGCTATTGGATCAAGAAATTGATTAATATCATCGATGGGACAATGACCCGAGGGTCTGTGGTAATAGCAAGAGATAGCATGGTGACGTATAGAACTTTGTACAAACATGCTGTCGCAGCGACGAGGCATAATAGGCCGAACCATAGAAAAGCATCGTCAAGCTTCAATGAACCAAATGCTAGTAGTCTCTTCACGGTGCGTGATATCACTGTAATTACTGCCACTCCGAATAGCACACCTGCTGATATCTGTTTTGATATTAACATCGTTATTAAACATTGCTTTATATCAGTAGGATTGTAGGAAGCCACACCTCAAAACTTCTTTGCGGAATTCGACCTGCATGTGCAATCAATTCATCATTATCTGGCGAACTAGGGCCTATATTAATCCTTGGAAATATCTCTGCCATTTTCGGTTCAAGCTACAAGAAAATGAATACCTTTAAGAGCAACACGAAATATAACAACAAATTTGAATTATTGAGAGAAGGTGCAAGAGATGTGACAGTGGTGAGAGTACTCGTATTTATTTTCCTTTGGATATCCGTCTCCAAAGAACGGTCATTCCACTAAACATACAACATCAATTCGGTGACTGAAGGAAGAAGGGGCAGGGCAAAGTGACAAGAAAAGATCAACGGCACAGCACAGAAATCCAGCGGGTGGCATGCATAATCACTCGATGTTGGCCAGTATTTAACTTCATGAATATCTTCAACTTCTCTTGGATAAATAAGATCTTACAACATGCATAATGAAACACGACGTTTCTGTAATATCACATTTACTTTACTACTGATGCATAACATGCAATCCTACCACGCTGTCAGCTTATTCCCCCGTTACTCTGCTCACACTTTCTCCGCTGGCTTTTTGTTGCACTGGAGTTAGGTCAGTCAGCATTATTTTTTCTACCAGGTATCAACTCATATATTCACTGATCATTCGGGTCAGTCAACTACCACTCCCACTCCTGCACTTCTCAAGTACAAACCCCCCATGCCCTTAGCTTTAGATGAATCCTGCTAACATCAGCAATTTGTGTCACACCCCTCACTCTTTTCAATCTTTCTACTACTGCAAGTCCTAATCAATGTAGACACCGACAATTAGCCGCAAGCAATTGTCCAAATTCCCGGCAAAGATATGCGACGTTAGAATAGGCACGCTAAAGAAAAGCATCACATTTATAGAGTGACAATATCAATCAGTGCTGCGGGAGTCATATCAAGATCAGACATAATGAGCAGATGGTATGTTGTTGAAATTCGGGGCAAAGTTCGGGTCGTTTCTGCGCTTATGTGGCGCTACATATAAGAGGTTACACGAGTAAGACTTAAGACGTAAACATTAGCTTCGCAATGGATTAGCCTCATGGCAGAGCGAGGAGAATCTATTTATAGTCTTCTTCATGTAGGGTTTTGAGGCTTCATACAATGATTGTTCTATGCCGAGTGGGAAATATATTTACGGATTTGTTCACTGCTCCCATACTGACGGGTGCTTTTTGGCTCGTAGTATCACGCAGTGAATTTTCTGCGCCGCAATGTGTCGCCTTCTCATGCAAAAAGGAACTTATGAAAAGACATGCTGTACTACCCCTCGTTGAATAATTTCCAACCATAAAATCGTTTCCTCATTTCAAGGAAAATACGATCATGTTTACCCCTCACTACTGCCAAATCATAGCCTTTTACCCCACACCACAAATACACTCCAACATTATCACTTCTTGGATCTGGCTTTATATACCGAGTGAAATCGTCGAAAATCTAGGGTAAGCATGGCTCCTGACTCCTGACTGCCCATGGTTTCGTGCTTTCCTCCTTGCCATACCAACACCAATGTCTGACAAAAGCAACTTCAACGGATATCATCTAAGAACACTTAAACCTCGAGGAGATCTTGATATAGTCTTTGGAAATAGGTAAAAAGGGGTCAGACAACTCAAGAATCTCCATTAGATACTACCGGGACATGTGGCCATTATCTGGGCCTCTTTTGATCTGTAAATTCGTAAATATGGCTATTGATACGGCTCAAAAGGCCATACTAGCTATCAAAAAACTGAGTATTAAATTCCTTGATTTCACACAATCCCTGGTGGGTAAAGATATATGCTTGACTATATGGCGAGCGTGGAAGATGTTTCACCAAACTCTCCGTTCTCATTCTTCCATATCAAAAAGGCTGGTCACTTATCCCAACCCATGTTCAGCAGACCTTTGACTATAGAAATCTGCTTCCGAAGTATGCAGGACATGAAGTTATGTTCTGTCTCATTGAGGAGGTCCTGTAGTTTACCATAAATATGATTGGAGGTCTTGTCCTGTGTGAGATTCTCTCCTTTTTGAAAGCGCATTGTGCTGATTTAAATGTAGCTAAAACGCATAAACTGAAAAGAACCCAAAGCCCGCTAACTGTTGCACTGCTCAGTCAAATCAGATGCTATCTTAGGGACTAAATATTAACTCCTTTTATTCGATACAATTCAATCTATCTATCATTGCAACGGTAGACCTCGAATCAAATGAATTCTTATGTCGCTAAGAACCAGACAAGATACATGGAGGCTACAATGCAATCCATGAAACATTATCAACTTCAATTTTCGCATCCATCTATTGATCTTTGCACGCACTCTTAAATAGTCATATTTTTACGCTGAATTGTTCATAATTCTACTACGCTGGCTAAGAGTTCTTAGAGTCCCGTACACCATGAAATGTTGTTGCTTACAAAAGATACTGCTCCTAACCCGAATGTTCTTGACGAGAAAGTGCAACGCTTCCGTTCCTCAAAGCCTTCTGTCGCTCTGCTCTTACAATCTCTATCACTTTTCCTATCATAAATCTCGCATTTCCGGTAGTATGTTCATGAGGGAGTGGATCCTCTGCATCTCTATCTAAGCCTTCATTTCCTGATGATTCAGACGAGATGGCTGTTATGAGGGCAACTTTTGACTGAGCTTGTTACTTCTCTTGCGACTTTTCTTGTTGCTCACTCTCTTCTTTTTGGCCATTTTGAAGTATTTCAGGAACACTTACTAGTCCATTATCATCTTGAAGGGTGTCTCGAGTGTCTTGGATTCTGTTCTTAATCTTTTTTTGTATAGATGACCTTTTTGTTCCTTTTTAGGGATACAAAAGAGTATGTCCCATCATTGTTGGACATCAGACGATGCAGCCTCCATAATCCTTCAGGTGGCCGGACCGAATGGACTTTTCCGTCAATCACGTCTTGTACAGTAAACATACCAGCTTCAGTTCCCTGTTTTATTTGCTCATTCTCACTAACTTCCTCATACTCAATGAAAATAGAATTTCCCGAGTTGGTTACCATTTTAACATACAGCTTCTTTTGTTCTTGCTCATTTGGCTCGACGACAAAGAAAGGTGTTTCGTAACCACTTCTAACGAATATACTCAGTCCACTTTTTCTCTCGGGCTTCACGGTGTTCTCTCCATTTTGAGCATATTTTTGGAAACCCGGTTGTCTCTCCGTGGTTGAGTCAATCGGCTGCTGAACGTGGTTCTCATTCATCGGAGTTGCTCTCAGAACCTCTTCCTTTTTCTTGTCTTGTACGCTGAATGACTGACTAACAATAGTATTCTCAGCTAGCTTTTCGGCCAGCCTGGGGAGTAACCGGTCTCCGTTAATTCGTATCATACGGGCCGCTCCCGTAACGTGTTTGATATTGTGGGGATCCAAGCCACTCTCCGCTAGCAATGCTTTGAATTTATTCCAACCATAATCTCCCAACCAGAACTGTTCTTCCAATGTTAAAGGCATCACGGAACGCTCTGCCAATAATGAAAGCAAGGCCTTAGTGCTGGGTTCCGAATGTTTGCTTGGGGGCATGTTGTGATGAGGCTTTCTGTATAAGAAGATGCTTTTGTCTTGATTGTTACAAAAATTTTAATGAAATATGCTGATAGAACTGTAGTGATAATACAAATGTAAGAAGAAGGAAAAGTTCCTTTTTTGTCATAAAAATTTAGTGATGGTATTAATGTGAGCAGAGATGGTAAAAAAAGATGGTTTTCATTGTGAAGATGTCAGCTAAGTAGGGCAGTCACAATCAGGTATGCCAGAGAAGGAGCTGACCATTCAAATCACTTTGTTTTCTACGGTGACCTTTAAGCTTATGAAGAACTCCATTCTACTGATGCCAACACCATCCGTAGCTCACATTTTGTCCTCGTACTTGTATCCCAAAGTGTGATCTTCCGGATGTTCATACCCAGCCCGTCCTGCACCATTATCACCATTCAACAATGATACACTCTTCAATCTTTCACTGATCCGCCATGGCCATAATATTGACATGGCTATAGCACAAGTTAGTCACAACAGGTACCTTTTAATATCATAGCAAACATACTTACTAAGTACCCATCAACCCGACGACTTCTTATCATCGGGTCTTTCCTCCTTTAGAATACTGGCACTATCAGAAGGCTTGTTTCTCTCTAGAGCACCATGGATGTGCACATAACCTCCAACAACACGACCTATTGCACCGTTTGTTTGCGCCTGTTGGTAGGATTTCTGGGAGTTACTAGATTCCCCACCCCTAGCTGCTGCTTTCTCTCCATCATTGACTTCTCTAATGGCTTTCAAGATAGCCTTGCCCTCTTCGTAGGCGCCGTACTCATAGGGTTTAATCGCATAAGAGAGCATAAAGTGATACATCGACTCCCAACCATTGTTCTTGAGCCAAGCATGATCGGACTGTGTGCTTATCGTTTGAACTCATCTTTGCGCAACTTATTTGGTCTGGACAAGTGCTAAGAGACAACGGAAAAAAATTCAAGATATCTGTGTGGGGTTTGTTTGGTTTGGAGATGGATAGATTTTTCGAAGAGAAGAGTTTTTGAGGAAGCAGGTTCTGTATAAATAGACAGAGAGATGAATAGTGAGGCAGGGTTGCCAATTTCCAGATTCATTGATCATTAGTTTAAAACCTCATCGAATTCTTTATCAGTATTGAATTGAAAGATTGATAATTTACTCAAAGTCAATCAATTCCTTTGCAACCAAGATACTTAACATTGTCTTTTGTGTCCAGCTTAGAAACGAGTGCTCTATGTAAAGCAGAGCTAGATTTCTGTAAAGTTATCTTATAATAATGATAAATCTTTATTATTATATACTTTGTTTTTTAAAGAGATTAATTATCATGAATAACTTACAAATTTTTTTGGTGATTTACAAGAAAAATTCCCTTTTGATTTGTTCAATTATGTATTTTAATCTATTTGTTTTCTTTTTTCTCAAAAAGATACTAAAAATCCACATTATAATAAAGGAAACTAGATTATTAATAAAGCAAGATGAGCTAGATCATTATACTTTGGACAGTTACAAAAATCCCATCCCTAGTTCAGCTACTACCACGGTGCCACCCCCTGAAAATGAAGGAACTAATCTTTTGTCTGAGATTTGAAATAGAGCAATTTATCATGAAAAATCTTCCAAAGTCCCGGCACTTTCAAATATTCCTTCTCGCAGGAGCAAACATCGCTCCATTATTAGCTAGGCACCTAAGGTTAAATGATATTTTTAACGGATTGACACAGAAGAAGATGAGAGGATACTTAGACGAATGGTCTGGCGTGTAAATTTCGCGTTTCTCTGTGAGTGATTAATGCAAGAGTAGAAACCGCTCATTTCGCACCTACATACTGCCTTGTATATATTCGAATTCACTGTATCTTCCACACAGTGCTTTCCTAATGCTCCTCAACGACATTCTTTCTCAATTCAGCAATTCTATTAGATAGATGAATTTCAAATCCCTCAGTTTTCGACACCAAAATGGTACTTTTTGCTCTCATGACATGTATTTCTCATTGCATCGTCCCTGGTTTGGTATTAGAAAGACATCCTGTACTCTCTCTTAATCTTGAGAATTGTGAGAAAAGTAGAATAGTCGCGGAGGCTCCATTCCGTTACTTATACAAGCTGGAAAACCAAACCCACGCGCGGAATCCCTAAGACTCTTAGAACCAGTAGATTTCTCTTATTGCAGTAACCGGCTTCCAAGTCTTCCATACGCACTCTTGCAGATATTTTGTATGTGTGCTGTATCAATTTTCTGTGATACTCTTGAGCCTCGACCTTTTTAATTCATTTCATGTTATTTTTCTCATCTCTGCCAGGACTAGCTAATCCTCTCTTTCATCAATTGTTCAAAAGTTTATAGCAACTTTGATCTTACGGCTCTTTGAGAACTCTTCGACGTATAAAGATGCCAAAGTAATGCTTGTTCGTGAAGTCTTTTGTTTGAAACCTGTCATAATCGGAAGACGGCTTCTAATACCCGAACGACGGCATACAAAAATCAATTTCTCCATCATGCGAGGATAAGATGATGATTTTACGTTACTGTTGAATTCTACTATTCATTAACTATGTAATCTGTTTAATCAATGTATAAAATTGCAGTATAAATGTTAAAGACAAGCCAACACCAGGGAACTGGTAAGAGATTCAGGCTTGATCACGAATGTTATCCTGGTAGAACCCCTTATTTAGAAGCGAATCGAAAAGATTTACATTCTCATTATTGATTAGTGCATGTTGACCCTACTGAAACTTTCAATACAACTATGTTCTTTGAGCCATAAGCCGATGACTCCCTCAATCGTAATTACCATCATAATCATATCCATCGTCACAATCATATCCATCATAATCATTTCCACCATAATCATATCGATTATCACCACCATCATGATCATATCTTATGTATCCTCCCTCGTCGAAGGCATTATTACTGTAACCCCCCTCACCTCCAAAACCAAGGGTATTGAAACCTTCCTTTATATTCTCAGAGCACCCATCACTACCACCAATTCCACCGCTCTCCAATCCCTCTGGTGCATAATCTACCCCATTAAAGAGTTCCTCATCTTGCAGATCATTAAATCTTGTACTTTACAGTACGTTCCTCTCATTCTCATAGACTGATCCTGCGTACGTATTTTCTACCCAGTTTTGACCCCTCAACTCGTCTTCGATAATTTCTCCACGAACGTCGTCGCTGTCAGATTCTTGAGCGGATTTTGAAAGATGGTAATACTTCTCGTCAAACTCTCTCATCTTTTCAATAATTTCGTGTGCTGTCTGTGCATATTCATCATTCCAAATCCTGAGGCCATGAGACTCCATGAAGTCCTTCATCCCATCGAAGCCTTGTTTGTGCATCATGGCATAAGTCGAGATATCTCTATCACCGACAGAGACACCTTCGTCAGATGCTCCAACATTGTTTTCTCGTATTTCATCATTAATCTGATGTGGCGTATTAACGGCTTTATCACACCAAGGTTTGGGCCTATCGGTCTGCATGGATCCTTTCATACTGCGAAAGCCATGCTCGTTAATGGCACAGTTTGAGCAGGTCTGCTGTGGCTGTCGGAAACTCGCGGAAGGTATTTCTTTAGATTCCATTTGCGATTTATTTTGTCGTTGCGGTAAATGCAAGTTGCGGGTTCGTTATGAGAAAGCTGAAGTAAATTTGCTCGGTACTTCGCTTCTTTGGGAAGGAACAACGATTGTGTTAATTTTTGGCAAACTAATGCCAGACTAGGTATATGTGCATACTGTTCAGTCCTTATTCCTTCATTTTCACCATTTTTTCTGCAACCCGGCTCATTAGCTTTATCTCAACTTGTTCGCAGGAAAATAACCGCCATGTGCGTGTTTTCCTTTCTGGCTATTTATGCACAAAACCACGCTACATTCCAACAACCTGAGGAGCGATTATATTATACCCAATGTATGAATACATCTGTCGTTTTACTCTAGCTACTTTATCAAATTCATAATATGATGAGTCGAATATCATTCTTCTATTTGTCCCTAAAATATCAGGTGAAGGAACGCTCTTGCCGCAATCACCAGAATTATTTCTAAAGTCCATTATTTTCACATAACCTCCAGAAGTTTTTCTTGTTGCACTTCGCCAGACCTCTTTTTATTATTGATCTCAACGTAATAACTGAGATACTAGCATCGGTTTCGGTGATGCTCGTAGCTTCTGGCCAGCAGGGAAGTTACCTCTAGGGTCTAAATAACCGCGCTTCCCATTCTAACCCCAATTCTCTTTCCGCCTTCATCCTTCTTCATCATCTTCAAAAGCTCGCAACAAGCTACCACTAAATTCCGGGTTGGTGCCTATGTCGAAATTTATTTCATGGCTGTGTTACCCATCTAGCGAAACTGCGTTTTAGTTGTGTGTGTAAAGAAGAGTCAAATGTTCTTGTTTTCTTATGGAGAGCAGGAAAGGGCTTGTTTGATAGGATGCTGCATCGAGAATCAACTCATCCTATTTCAATTTCCTACACAAAGAAAACCTTTCCCTCACCGTACTTTCTCTATTCCTGGGTTACAGAAAGGTAAGATCTTACGTTTCGTGGTCAAAAAAGGTTGAAGGTTCAAGTAGAACTGGAATGAAACCTTTTGGTGTCGTCTAGACACAATATCATATCACCATAAACATCTATTTTGACTATTACTCAATACATTTGATTATTATTCTGTCATCATAATATTAGCTGTAGTTTATACCATCAATGTCACCTGTTTGCCCCTTAACTTTACCAAGCAATAACTTTTTTTTTATAAAAAGAAACTCCAAATCCACAGACATATCTCATCCAATGTTCAGTCTTGTAGCCTATTTCCGTAAATTCTTTTCAACATTCTTCAACGTCCCAATCAGACTTACCAAATCAATGGTCCCTAGTTTTAGATGCCCAATAAAAAAATGCGATATCATGGATCTGTATTGATTGAAAGCAAAAGAATGTTTCGTTTGGACTAATACTAAAAATAAACCGCTTTGTGTGTTTTACACTGACTTTCAACGCTGCTCCTAATATCCGAACCGAACCACGCATGGTAAGTTGTCTCCTCTCCAGCGCCCTAACGATCTCCGTTGACTTATCTCATGTCGTCGACCAGAAAGCCCTTATCATTGCCCCCAAGGTCATCGAATCCAACATAACCTTCGAATCTTTCAGTCGGCTTGCTCCAAATATAACCATTTTCATAAATGCCCTCAAAGTTTACATACTTGTCAAAACGAGCATGAATCGGATTTCCATTAGCATCATATCCTATCTTAAGTACCCGCTTGCCGTCTTCACTGCGGACTACAAGCTCTGGGGATGTTTCGAAAAATGGCCTGCCATCTGCTTCGAAACCTGCTACACGAACTGTTTTACCCATGCTATCGTATCCAGCAGTGTAGCCAACTTTCATTAATATGTTGCTGCCATGAAAGCAGATACCTATTTTGTTTTTAGAACTTACTGCCACGTTTGGCCTTGCAGTCATTAACACTCTTCGGTTCATTAATATTACATGTTTGGCAGAATGCTTAAATTTCGAAGACATATAATCCGTTTGCGAGAGAGTGGGAAGTCTGACCGAGGAATCCAAGTCATTGCTATTTTCCGAGACCACATCATACTCAGGTACAATTTTTTGATTAAGCGACATGTATCTTTGTCCTATTACGCTAGGCCACGGTTTGAGGTTCTTCGGAAGTGGAGTCGACAAATCCAAGAGACTACTACTTCCCAATTTTTCAGGGGAATACAATGGACGGAGTTGTCTCTCACAAAGTCCAATAAATTTCGAACGTTCTTCTGGGGAAACTCTCATGGTTTTGAATATTTTCTTCGAATCAATCTTCTCCAAAATATCCTCACACCAATCTTTTTGTGAGATTTTAGCATCCTTGGCAAGTTCAAGGAACTTGGCTCTGAATTTGTAGTCTGCAAGTCCTGAATTCTTCATTAGAAGCCAAGTTAGTTTCTCGAAGAAGACTCGTGGCCGCCGCGGTGCGTTGACTGTGGGATTTTCGTTCAATGAGGGTGCCATATTGTATTTTTGAGGTTCGTTTAATGATGGTCTAATAATTTCTGTTTAATATTGTGAAATGAGGGTTGAATATTTCTGTCTGGTTTAAGAGATGTAGGATTCCAAACTGTGAGGTGAAAATATTGGTATTTGACGTTGCACCACAAAAGGGGAAGGCACGATTTAACCGAGAATATGGCGAAGGTCAACCGGACACTTTTTTCCACAATGTGAATGATGAACTTTCTTCTTTTCCGGATTTCCGCCATTTTAGAGGTTTCATTCAAGGGATTATTTTTTGATAGAGGTTAACAGTCCTTCAGATCCCAAGATCTTCAAAATAGATGTTAGACAGAGGAGATTTCTCGGCGAGGATCATAAACATACGTTGTGAAATTTCAACAGCACAGATAAGGAAGGTACCTCTTTCCGCAACTATCTTCAGCAAAGAATCATAGGCCAGGGAACTCAATGTCCTTGCATCTAATAAAATGCGACACGACAAACAAGAGGTGGTTGTCAGTAAATAATTATCGCGTTTTAATCCATATTTCTAGTTCCCGCTTCGACATTACACAAGATTTTTATTAATTTTGTATAAGTTGACTTTTCTTCTTCTTTTTCGTTTTCATAGGTCAACTATGCAATAGCTCAGATTTCAATCAAGGTCTCGCAATATCCGGGATTTGTTCATACTCAGGCTATCAACTGTTTATCTCACTTACATTTAGCATCTTCCACTACGAGCAATGCTAGTGCAGCCATGATTTTCTATTAAAGTTTTTTCGTACGTGATAGAAACTATGGGTCAGTATGTTAACAATTGTCGGCTCCATCAAAGGGTGAGATCTCTTTTTTAAATATTTATCAAGTCATCCACATAATTATAAACCTACAATTACCCACTTCTTCGACTTTTGAATATCGAGTTACCTAGTATTCCAATCACTTAATTAATAATTCCTTCCAACTCATAAACTCAAACTTCCTATTCCTATTCCTATCCACATCCCCCCAAAATCCCCAACTAACCTTCCCAAAGTTCAAACCAAACAACATCCATCCATCAATATATTCCATTCCTCCCATTCCCCTCACAACCTCTATCTTATTCACAACGCACAGCACTCCAAAAAGTACATCTACAAAAAATCCATATAATTCACCATAAAAACAGTACCCCAAATTAAAGATTCTACCAAATATCTAAAGCAGACAAATGTTTTTTTTTTTTAGATGTGCAACGGAAAGTAGGTTGTAATGATCTTTTTGATCTTTTTAATATAAGATTAGATTATATATATATATTTTTTTGGTGGCACTGTTTCTTCCTTCCTTAGAGTGTTTATGTGATTTGCATGATTATATTTAATTAACAAGCAGATGATGATGGTTATGGGTAGGATGGGATGGGGTGATGGTATGGTGGGTAGGTAGAAGAGAGAAGGGTTTTAATTAGGGAGGATTTGAACTTTGAAGGAGTGGTGGGGAATTGGGGGAAGTTTTGCTGGTTTTTTTGGGTGGTTTGTTGGGTGGTTGTGTTGTATATGGTGTGTAATGTGGTGTGTAATGTGTATTATTGGGAGACAGAGAGGGGATGAGAGGGGATAAGAGGAAGAGAACCGGAGAGGGAACGGGAAAAATGAAAATGTAAATTTAAAGATTAGATGAGTGCTTGAATTATGAATGATGTAAGATCTTATAATTTTGGTCGACGGTACAAATAGTAGATAGCTTTCAAATCCCGTATCAATTCTAACATTCTTGTAATCAAAAGCTTTGCGCATCATTGATGCAGATGAAATATATTATTAAAAATGCCACAGCCATACTTGTATCAACAAGCATAAGAAATTATTACAACTCAGATCTCCAACAAAACTCATTAGAAGACGTTCATTCATATCCCCCCCAGCCTCCACACCCCACCTTCACCTAACACCCTCCCTCATTTCCGCTCCATCCCTCCTTCTCCTCATGCGCTCTGGAAAAATGCAATTCCTCCAGTCAATGACACCGTAATAGTGCTTGTAACCTTCTGTCCATCCGCAACCAGATCTGCTGGAAGCCTTTGAAGCACATATGCCGCAAAAGTTTCATGCCCCTTCAATAGCAAGCTTAGCGAGGTTACAATAGCGCCATCCAATCCTTCCGCCTTGAAAAGGTCTTTTTTGCTCTTTAGAGTATCCACAGCAATTGTGTTATCGATTGCGAGTGTTGCATTAACATGCTCGATGAGCGATATCGCGTCGGATTCGGAAAGAGCAAGAGGTAAAAGGGCGCAATCTGCGGCGCCTTGGGCAAGGGATGTGTAGACAGTGACTAGAGAGCCGAGAATGGTGGTGGCGGGAGCAAGACCACCGGTATAAATGGCAGTTTCGGCGGTAAGGGTTTGGACATTCTTGTCGAGGATTGTGATGTCGATGTTCACTTGGGAGACGGTTGTGAAGGCTAATGCGGTAGATGCGCATAGCATGAGGCTCTTGATGAATAGCATTTTGAGTGGTAGGGTAAGGTATAAGATTTGATAGATTGATGTGTATATATTTTTGAGGTTGATGATTTGGAGAATCGAGAAAACTGATGAGAACTGTGAATCTGAGGACTGAAGAAATGTGCGAGGAGATAAACTTTTATAATAACTTTTTCATGAAGAGATAGCCAGCTCAGAACAATACATTGATCGTCAGTTGATTGCAACTTTGGACCGACATCTTTCAATATTCAATAATTTTGGCCCTAGTCCCATGCATCTCACCACTTGAAGAGATGACACAGGGTAGGGAAAGATTCGAATTATTGAGTTTTTCAATAGACTCTAAATCATCCGATGAAAGCTGAACTGGCGGGAAGGTAGAGATGATATGAAATAGGTTAGCATGAAATATAGTGTTGTGATGTGCAGTGCTATTTCGCGGTAATGATCTGCAAGATTGTTATGGAGTCATCTCAGCCGCTTGGTTGTTCGGCATATGTGTCTGGTATGTGTACTTTGTAAAAGCAATAGGAATAATCTTTCTGCAAGTTCGAATGCGAGAAGTAAATCATAGCTTCTCTGCGCTACCTTTGTGAGAGTAATTGAAACACAGGTGCGAGTTTCTTCCATCGCGAAATCAACTGTTCATTGTTTTTAGATATCGAGACACGGCAACTAGTCGAGGAATCCAGGAACCTAAACTACCCCACAAATTATATTCGATCTAGGACTCAAGTACCGCGGCTTCGGGGAGTGAGACTCCCGCGGGCGAGAGGAGAAAGTTACTTTCTGCATGTTTGGATCTGCGTTTTGCAGGGAGTGATGTGTTGAGTGCGCTGTAAGAAGCAAAGTGTGTCCGCATTGAGATATCAAAGACTATGAATATTTGAGAGGCGTAAACAGAAGGCTCTACGAATGAATGAGCTTTGCATGAGTAAGGAGTTCTACTCCATTGTTAGAACGAATCCAATTCTTCTACTATAAAAGGACTGTTTTCGCGATGTGACGTTGAAGAGCTCAACCTTCGAACAGCAAAAGCTTTTACGAGCACGAGGAGATTGAGCTCACCGCCCTTTTATTGTCAGCAACCTTCGACCTTGGAAACTCCGGTGATAAATATGAAAAGACAACTCACTCCCTCCTCATTCCCAGTCGATGGAATTCTCTATGTTTTTTTTTTGCTTGCTCATCAACTGGGAAGGAAGGAGGCCGTTGTTTTAACGGACACATTTTAGATGTGCAACAAAATTAGTTCTGCCAGTTTTCACCGCTCACGTGGCAGTCGACATTTGACAGAATTCTGGCAGAATCATCTTCTAAAAAAAAAAGGGGCGAAATCAAATGGGAATCCATTTTCGCACACTTATCTTCACTCCTATGATTGCTTTTTCCATATACTTAATATCAATATATCTTCCAATCTTGCAACTTGGAAAAGTGTTGTATATCATCAATACTTATCAGATAGTTCTTACTTCCTTGAAGGATTCTTTGATAAGCTTTGAGGGTTAATTAGTTGGGTCCGTTCACTCATGACACCGCTTAATGGCGCCGGCTGAGATTGTGCAATTGCTGCATAACCTCCGCATCTGAAGGCAAAGACTTATCATCTCCAAATGATCAATGCTACGGTTACCACTGAAATCATGGAAAGATATCTAGTGGCCATCAATTGGCAAATCCAAAAGGACTGCAGAACGGTAATATTCCTTCTGGTGGACAACTGAATGATACAAATGGAATCCCCACGGGAAATCCTTCAACTGAGACATGTATGTCACATACATATTACACGATATCATCTCATTATCACATCTTACTTTCTTTAACCATCGGATCTCTTTCCGATGTTTGTCCCGCTCAGAACCTTCTTCTTGCCACATGGTTACACCACTCTCATGGGACATCTAGACTCTAGAAAGTCGTCTCGTCCTGACTAAATTGCTAGTGGCTGGGATATGTTCAAGGTACCAAGCATCGCAGAAATTCGAGGATTCCCGACTTATTGGCCAATCATTTTATTAACTTTTATCAACTAAGGATATAAATGTTATCAAATAACGGCTTGTATCACGGATTATTTTGGATTACATGGATGACAACAAACAACCCTTTCCCCACCTTCCTATTCGGAAGAATTCCCGTCAGCTCGGATAAGCATCATCATTTTCCCATCCCATCACAACATTCAACAGCCAATCTGCAGAACAGAAAAGTATGGATCTACTCGAAACATAATATTTACTTCCATGATCCGATTTACTTTCATTTCAACATTTCCAAGACTTTCATTACTTAATGTCAATGAATTAGTTTCCGTCTTATCGTGAGGTCGTATAACATCTAATCACCTTCCTATTTAGGTTACACTCATGCTAAAGTACATGACATCCTACCGCAGCTAAGGTTTAACTTGCGGGGTTGGGGCTTGAGGTACCTGAAAATGAAAAGCTTAATGGCATTGACCTTTACTACATAACCCTCGACTTCTCATATTCTGATATCCTTTATCCCATCATACTACTCATTCATCAATTCGCACCATTCTTTAAAGTTGTGATCATGGTTGGGTTTTCAGTTCTCATTTCTACAGCTTTGGCTGCTCAAACAGCTCTCGCGGGTTCAGTCATTCGCTCGAGAACTAACTATGCAGTTAAGGAGAGACATTACGTTCCTAAACAATGGAAGAGAGTAGCTCGTGCTCCTGCTGAAGGTATCATTAATTTGAATATCGCATTAAAGCAGAGTCAGTTCGATGAACTTGAGCGACAATTGTATCAAGGTGAGCAAACTTCAAAGATATTGCATTGCAATCAACATGACTAATATATTATTCTTTACAGTTTCCGATCCTTCTCATCAAAAATACGGTAATCACTTGACCTCCGATGAAGTCAATGAATTGATTCGACCATCATCTCAGACTCTCGACTCTACTCACGAATGGCTTCTTGACAATGGAATTGATGCTTCAAGCCTAAGCTACAGCAGTGCAAAGGATTGGATTCATCTCTCCATACCAGTGGAGGTTGCTGAACGTTTGCTCAACACCGAATATCACGTTTATGAACATGAAGCTGGTGGTCAAATTATTCGTACACCAAATTGGTCACTTCCTATGCATCTTCATAAGCACATTGATGCTATCCAGCCGACAACTTCATTCATGCGTGCTGCACCAAGATCCAGCTACAACCCAAGAAAAACTAAGGCTTTGCCAAGACACAACAACATTATTGAAGGTCAACTTAGTGCAGATCATACACCAGCTGGCTATACACCACCATCAAATACCACACTCTCGAAAATATGTGACGTTGCTGCAGTTTCACCTCAATGCTTCCAGGCTCTTTACGGAACAGGAGATTACAAAGTAAAATCCGCTGGCAAGAACAAGATTGGATTCAACAATTTCCTTGGAGAAGTCCCAATTCGACCAGATGACGCTTTGTTCTTACTCAAATACCGTCCAGAAGCGGTAGCCTCTGCCTATCAATTTAAATATGTTTCAATCAATGGCGGCCCAGTTCAAAACACCACCCTTACAGCTGATCAATTGGAAAATGGCTTAGGGAAGGAGGCCAATCTTGATCTTACAGCTATTTCTGGAATTAGTTACCCAACACCAATTACCGCCTACTCAACAGCTGGAGAACCACCATTCAATGCATCAGCTGCTGAGGATTCTAACACCAATGAGCCATACGCTGATTGGTTAAACTATATCTTGGCCCAGCCCGATTCGGATATTCCTCAAGTCATCAGTACATCCTATGGTGATGACGAACAAACAGTTCCCGAATTTTACGCCAAGCGTGTTTGCGAACAACTTGCTCAACTTGGTGCACGTGGTGTCTCCATATTATTCTCCAGTGGAGACTCTGGAGTAGGAAGTAATGGTACCTGCTTCAGCAACGATGGAAAGAGCACCACAATGTTCATTCCGGAATTTCCAACCAGTTGCCCTTACGTTACTTCCGTTGGAGCAACCAAATTCTTTGAGCCAGAAGTTGCGGCTTATCGTGCTACTGGTATTGATCCCATTAATGGTGTTTATCATGGTGGTTGGTCTACTGGTGGTGGATTCAGTAATTACTTTGCTAGACCTAGTTATCAAGACAAGACTGTTTCTGCTTACGTCAAGAACCTCAATGGATCTTTTGACGGTCTTTATAATAAATGTAAGTTCCCTTCCCTTCTCCCACTTCCCACCCTATTTCTTTATCAACATTCACTAACCTTACTTCAGCTGGCCGCGCCTACCCCGATATCTCAGCCCAAGGTTTCTACTTCGCTTACGTCTGGAACCAAACCTACGGTTCCATTTCCGGAACATCAGCCTCCACACCCCTCATGTCCGGTATCATCTCTCTCGTCAACGATGCTTTGATTACCAAGGGTAAACCAGTTCTCGGATTCTTGAACCCATGGTTATATTCCAAGGGATACAAGGGATTCACTGATATCCTTGGCGGAAGTGCAGTAGGATGTGATGGTCCCGGATTCCCAGTTACAAAGGGTTGGGATCCAGCGACTGGATTTGGTACTCCTAATTTCCCTGAGCTTTTGAAGTTAGCTGGAGCCAAGTAATGGTTTTTGGAAAGGATTAGGGAATCCATGGACAATGAATGGATGATGGATGAATAGATAATTCTAATGATATAATGATTACTCATATATATGATACCCCGGGATTTGATTTGATGATATTTCTTTCTTTCTATCTGTTTATTCTTCGTCCGTTTGTCCCATGATATATATAATTGACCCCAAATATAAGATTTCAGGTACATTTATGTTTCTCTCTATTTATGTGTATATATAAATATAATATATCAAGTGATCTATACAATCAATCTTTAAGTAAAAATATACCAGCAGGGATCTGAAAATAAGCCTTCAACTTCTAAATTGATAATTCTTATCAATTGGATTGTTGATGAAAAGAGTAGTGTGATATTGATGAATTGGAAGTGAATCTTATCTTAGAAACTTTAAGATAAAGATAGGAAATTTGTAATTGCCTAAAGCACAATAATCCAGCTCATTTCGCTTTAATAATAGTCTAGTTTCCTTTATTATAATATAGTTTTTTAACATCTTTTTTTAAGAAAAATGTTAAAAGGAATAGAAGTTACCGGTACTAATCACGTGTCGTGATTAGTAATACGGTTACCTAAACAGGCTAGATTAGATGAACCATAAGCAGGCATATTGGTCCCCTCCGAGGATACCAAGAGGAGATCTTAATATGCCTACACACGTAGTAATATAGTCAATATAGAGGCCTCTTCCACCCAATCTTTTAATAAAAAAAAAGAATAAATAAATCAAAACATATGATTAGGAAAATCGAAAAGGAATTTTTCTTAAAGTAAATATTAAATTATTAAATTACCAAATATATTAATTGGTTATTTATAATGATTAGCCCCCTTAGAAAATAAAGTATATAATAATGAAGCTATATGTTACGTGACGGTTGTTATCCCACTAGTGGCTCACGTGCACTAGCCCTGTATATAAAGACCTTCTTACTTAGAATCTTCTTAGTTCTTTAGTTTTAGATTCTAAGTAATTGAATTGACTCCGTTTACGACTTTTCCGTCACACTATACCATTATTATGCTTTATTGTAATTCAGCTCTGCTTTACATAAAACGCCCATCCCTACTTTAGGAGCTTATCACATTGCCGGTATCTGTTACGAGGTTTGCCCTCTAGATCACGTGGAAGTGCTCTAGGCTCTCGAGGTCGTTTATAACTAGGCGTCAAGCAGGGACTTAAAGTAATGACAATAATGATATGCAATTCGTAACTAATAGTAGAGTATACTAAATGATTGATCTTGAGCACGAAGCTCTATAGAAAGGAAATCCATCTTGATTATATAGACCTTTGTGCCGATGGCTAGTTAGGAGCCGTTGCTCCTAGGAGCGGGCGTTCCTGATTGTTCCTAGGAACGTCCGTTCCTCACCGTTCCATCACGTGTTTTCAAGGTCATGTGACATTCTATCGCAACAGGTGTAACAGTATCCGTGTTGTAAGATTAGGTGTATTTCGATTTTAATATATTAGTTTCGATATTTGATCTCATATTAATACATAAAGCAAAACTTTTCCATCTAGACCAAACATCCAAATCATCACCACACTATCTACACTCAAAAGAACTCGCCACTATTGGATCACCCCCAACATACTTCGCAACCAAAGGATACAAACACAAATTCCTCTCAATCACCGTCCCATTCACACCAGGTAAACTCCTCGCTTTCAAAATTTCCGGCGCCTCTCCCTTCTCAACCCAACTAACCAACGCATCAAATGCCTCAAATGGAAACGGTCCATTACCACCCAAACAATGCCCTACACCTGGCGCCTCAAAATACCTATAATAATCCCGAATGTTCTCATCCAATTCCTGTACTTTCTCATAGTAACTGGACGTCCCATTCGGAAAAATAACTTGATCATCTAATCCATGCCACGAAATAATTTTCCCGCCAGCATCTCGAAATTGAGAGAGGTCCGCGTCGGAAGTCCCAATTATTGATGTAAATTGTTGGACGGAGGCGTGGAATATCCGGTCAAATTGTTTATGTGTGATTGTTTGGAGGGGGAACGTAGCGTTCTTTTCAATGAATAGTTTTATCCAATTCACGGGTATTGGGAAGGGGCTTCCTATACAATTTAAATTGCCGTCCGTGCAGGTAGTGCCGGCGAGGGCACTGAGGTCACTAGAAGGGTTGAGTCCATACCAGAGGAATTTTCCTTCCGAGGTTCTGGGTCCATCCCAAGCGGCTTGAGCGACTTTTGTTGCTGCTTCGGAGATCGTCACAGAACTTCCATCCGGACATGTGAATTCCTTTCCTATCGTTTCCTTTGCTTGGAATTTGCACAGACCAGGCATGCTCACGATGCCATCTACAACTCCATCGATCTCATCGCAGGCCTCTATTGCAGCATTCGTAATACCGTCGAATTCGCACGGACTAGAATATACACCTAGCGTATTCATAACAAATTGAGCCCAATAATCCGCCACGACAAACTTCACCCAATTAATAGCTGGCGCTGCAGCCAAAATCCCATTATATCCCTCCGGATACCGCTGTGCCATCATCATGCCCTGTCTTCCACCCGTCGAACATCCATTCCAATATGCATATTCCGGTTTCTCCCCATAGTACGAAGTCGCTATCTCCTTTCCAATAATCGTCATTTCATTTAGAGACACCGAAGCAAAATCCTGAAGAAGATAAAGATTTAGATTTCCCGAAGGAAGAAGCGCCCAACTCTCTATCGGAAATTCAGGTGTTCCAATACCGATGTCATCACTATGATGTCCGCCATCTGTGCCCGCTGCTGCATAACCCTGCGATACTGGAACCGTGAGCGAGTAGTCAAATCCACCGGTTGCGAAGGCGCTGCCTCCTGTTCCGATGAATCGTCCGTTCCAATTTTCTGGGGTTGGGAGGAATATCTTCACATTGATTGTGTCGTTTTGTCCGGGATGTGTGTATGTGAGGGTTATGTTGCAGAAATTAAGCGAGGTGAGGGTTGTGGCGAAATGGGAGTCTCTTTGTGGGACTTCCATGCTGTAGTTCGTAACGGGGGTTGCGGCGAGGGAGAGGAACGATGTGCCTGGTATGTAGGGGTAGGGGATTGTAGAGAGTGAGCAGGAGTCTGCGGCAAGGGAGAGGAAAGATGTGCCTGGTATGTAGGGAGAGGGGATTGTAGAGAGTGAACAGGAGGTTGTCATTATGTTTTTTGTTTAGACGTCGAGGAGTTCTGGATAGGGGTGAGGATGAGAAGTGATTTTTGCATTGGGATAGTTGGGGATGTTTATATATATATACTTATTTGTATGTTAAGTTATACTTAATAATACACTATTCACATTGTCATTACCTTCGAGTCAAGAGCTCGATTACAAAGTAAGACATTGAAGAGATACATAGATGTTTAGAACCTCGTTATACCGGACACAGAAAATCAGGCTTATTTAATCCGGTACAAGCGAGCTTTTGGTATATCAAGGCTTAGGAATTGAGGGAAGTAATAAATTTGTATGATAAATCTGATTTTAGTCTGAAATTTTGTTCGGCATATGCAAAACACCGGAATTTCCGGTATATTTATACAAAAACACGAGGTTTTGCAAATGACGATTGATATAAGCGGGCTTCCGGTATAAAATTTGTCCGGTATAATGAGGATCTAATACATTATATGGAGTTGTATGGGGTTATGATAAAGTTTGCGGGGCGTAAACAGAGGTATATTAATAATAAGTCTCTCTATGTTGAGATTTTGACAGGTTCGGACTTCTTAAAATTTTCCGAATCGCTGCTTCCTCTATAGAGTTACAGATGAGATGTCCTGCCGATTTTATTGTCACACTCAAGAATACTGGGTAAAGTATCTTGTATTAGAAAATACTAAGCTAAGGAGAAAAGAAGAAGGAAAACAAGAGTAGAGAGTTTTCCTGTGATTAAATACAAACGGGGCATGCCACGTGACCCGGAGGTGTGAGGCGTCACAGTAGTAATATAGTCAATATATAGGCCTCTTCCACCCAATCTTTTAATACATAGTAATTTTTGTTAGACAAAAACGAAAATTTGAAAGAAACTTTAATATCTTTATTAAAAAAAATTGTATCTCTATAATATTTTATCATATTAAATATTTAAATTGAATATATCATACTTTAAAATATCGAAACTATATCTCTAGTATTTATAGAGTTAGAAAAATTCGCTCTAAGTATCTTTACATACAAATTTTGGTGTAAAGGTACCTGACCCATATCATGACATGACCCACTTCTAGTCAAGTGTCACGATTCATTAATTCACGTGACCTTGAGGACCTTTTGGACCTTAGGGTCCCAAGGGTCCTCAAAAGATGATATAGGGTATATAAACATTCATTTAGTCTCGTGGTTAAGGAGCTTCGTGCTCAACTTAGTTATCAATTAGTTTACCTACATTCTACTTGATCTAGTAACGACTTCACTTCCAAGTGAAGACCAGTGATAAAGCCTTAACCCACAACTACCAACCAGACGAAACCTTAGGCAGCCGCTGCCTCTAGTATAGTATCGTTACATCAAGTTACGTTATAATTTTTTAATTTATTTTTAAACTTCAATAACTTTTTAGAATCTGAGTGTTATTTTTTGAAATTTGAATAGTATATTAACTGAAAGATTAGCTTTCGATTGGTTATTTTGCTATTTTTATATCTTCATTATTCAGAAAGTTATTAAAGATTAAAGTCAAAAAAACATCAAAATTATATGATTTGAGAGGTGAATTGGCCTATGCGTCTTTAAAAATTTTGCCGAGTACAAACATAGACAAATATCCCAATCCAATCCCAATCCAATCCCAATCCAATCCCAATCCAATCCCAATCCAATCCAACCAAAGAATCTCCCCCATCCAATAAAATTAAATACTTACTACATAAAGCCGAAATATTCCCTCCCTTTCTCTTTCCCTTTACTACCCACTATGATACGATATATAGAGTATATCCGAGTAAATCTAAATATAACACGGTCAATAGATGATATGTAGTAATATATCTATATGATATAGTGCAGGTAGTGTAGGTGGGGCAAGGGGGGGAGGGAAAGTTGATGCAGGGGGTGGAGGTTTAATGTGGTGTGTGCTTCTTTTTAGGTAGGTGGGTGGGTTGGTGGGTATGATGGGATGGGAGGTGATGCTATTTATTTTTATTGGATTGGTTGGTTGTTGTTTGGATGGATAGATAGATAGATACTCGTACAATCAGTAAGTATAAAACACTCCACTATTAAGTATATATTACAAGATGGTAAACTACAAAGAGATTAATGCCTACCTATAAGTGGATGTGCTTTATACTTTCTGGCAGCACGAGTAGATAGATAGATAGTTTAAAAGAGAGGAGAGGAGAGAAGAGGAGATTTGGATTTAGATTAGGTGATTAGTCTGGGGAGTATATAGTATACCTAGGTAGGTATAAGGTTTTTTTGAGTACTACATGTATATTCTGTATATAGATACCTAGTTTCAAAGACAATTAAGATGGTAGGAATATAGGTCCGTACCTAACTATAGGACACTCCTGCAATTAATATCAATTCCCATCCCCCTCCCATCCTATTATCCCAATCCATACTATAAACCCCCAACCTCTCATAAAAACACTCTCTCTCTTTACAAAATCCCACAATCGTCTCCCTCCCCCCCTCACTTTCCAATAAAAAAACTAAACCCCCTCCAACCCCTCAAAAAGCCTAACTCCCCAATCCTCCCCCGGATCATTAAATCTCCTCAACCATTTCCTCCCCACAAATCTCAATTTCGTCAAATCCGAATGCGTCAATTCACAATTCTCAGCCTGTAAATTTTCTTCAATCCATTGTTTATGACTACTTTTAGGAATTACAGAGATACCTCTCCCGATATTCCATTTTAGAGCTACTTGGGCTGGAGTACAGTTTCGTGATTGTGCTATTTCGTTGAGAATCTCGTTTTGGAGGAGGGGTGGAATGGTTTCTTTTTGGTCTTTTGATGAGGAAGAGGAAGAGGGAGAGGAGGAGGAGGAGGAGGAGTGATATGTGGGATTGGTGTTTCCAAGTGGGGAATAAGCTGTCATTTTTATTCCTAGGGCTTTATGTGTAGCTACCCAGGCTGATTGTTGGAGATAGGGGTGGAGTTCCATTTGATGTGTATATGGTATGGTACCTGTTGATACAACATTTTTGAGTTGGAGGGGAGAGAAATTCGACACGCCGATATTGCGGACGCGGGATTTGGGGAGAGATATTAGGGATTTGTAGGTCTAGTTGAGGTTAGTTGGGGAGATTTTTGGGTGAGAGAGTGAAAAGAGATGAATTTACTTGGACGTGGTCGAGATTTTTGGTTCCATCAGGTGCGAATCCAATAGGCCAGTGCATGAGATATAAATCCAAATAGTCCAGTCCGAGATCTTTGAGTGTTTGATTTAATCCTTATTCTACATTTTCGTAATCTCCATGACTGTTGGATCAAATAATTA